GAGATCTTAGTGGCGGATTAGAGTGTTGAGCTTCTGTGAAAGCTTGGAAACCGTAAAATCGTCACCAACTCGGCTCGACTGGGTGCACTACTATTAGAGAAAATACGGTAATATTTCTTTACAAAAACATCAATACGCCTCATGTTAATAACTTTAAGTTACTTTTTTTCAAGATTATTGCCTTTTGCGTTGCTGCTTGCCTAGAAACACTTGTGGAAAGCGCCTACTGTTGGAAGAAAATCGGAAAAGAAGCTATTTGAATAAAAGAGTGTATTTCTTCAGTTCTAGAGAGTGAAAATCAACTGAGCTCAGATATCGGAAAACAAGAAATAGCGTGTCTTGAGTGAGGAGTACCAAGCCCGCAGAATAATAAACATTTAAAGTTAACCAAGCTCCACCAAACCGTAACCATTCCCACCAATTTCATTCAAAAATCAAATTTTTATAACTTTTATTGCCATGTTGACTCAAAAAAACGAAAATAGTCTTTAACCGCTTTCAAGCGCTATTACATTTGTATACTTTAATTTGTATGTAATGTATGCGGATAAATCTTATATTCTTGAAAAGAATATAAGATTTATCTTTAACCGCTGGGTCGGTAACCGGTCGGTGGTCGGATTACCGACATTGGTCGGTAAAAATGCCCTACTCTTTTTCTGAAATGTCGATTTTGCAAGATTTCCTTACAAAAGATACTGTTGGATGGCAATGGGGCATTACTTTTGTGGACCACTGTATCTTGATGCTAAAAATAAAAAAAAAAATCATGCGATTTCCAAATAGCTACAATTTTCTTGTTTCATTGGTGGAGTTGGCCCAGAAAAAGCTCTGCTTTTCGTTTTCTTTTTCATTATTGCACCCATTAGTAGGCGGGAGTTTACCGCGAGAGAAATACAATTTTCATCACCTCAGAAAAGCAATTTGCGAGTGGGAAACAGCCCATTGGCGAATTTTTTTTTTTCAACTATCGCGCTTTATGACCCAATTACTCAACGCTTTACCTCATTTCTGTGGTTTATTTGGTTTCTATGGATAAAATTCTAGAAACAGTTGAAAGAACGATGCCATATGCTTTTTGCCTTGATGACTTGATGCCTTGATGCTTTTTGATTTATCCTTACCTAGTTTTAGTGAAGTTGAATGGCATTTTTGCAAATTTGTTATTAACCGTTTCATCAAATTGTAGATATAAGCTAGAAAGCCATTGAAAAGCTAGAAATCGTTTACAGTTTGAATCAGGATCGAACTTTTAAGGATACTACAGTGCGTTTCAAATTCTTAAACGCACCCTCTAAAATAGCGGATTTTGCATTTTGACCACCGCTACAACTATTAATCTTTTTCTATTAGAAAGAGCATGTCTTAAAACCTAAATAACACGAAAAAGAAGCATACTGTAAAAAGTAAAAATTTTCAAAATAGAAACTTTTTGCTAAATCGACCGTTTCAAATTCTTAAACGCACCTGCCTTTGCTGTTGTTATTTGAAATTTTTCGTTTTGTTGTGCATATCTTTTTATTAAATTTATAATTTTTGTTGATTTCCAGGTAAATGGCACACGGAAAGCTGCTCACGGATTATGATAAAGGGCAGATTGATGCCCGTTTGAGGATTGGCGACTGAATAAGGAAAATCGCAAAAAAATTTTGGCCGATCCGACTCTGCCGTGCGAAATTATAGAAAGTTCGAGTTCGTTTCTGCACCAAAGAAGAAGCCAGGACCGAAACCAAGCTTACGCCGCGAGCTAGACGCCATATTGTGAACAAAATCCACGGAAAAACGATCAATGAAGTGAAAACAGAACTGAAAAATCGACGCTTCGAAGTCGACAATTTGGCGAGTCGTCACGGAAAATCCACATATCGATCGACAATTATTGAACATGCAGCCGGTCGTGAAGCTTTGGCACAAGAAAGCCCGATTGGAGTTCGCCAAAGCTCATATGAATCAGGATTGATCTATGGTTAGAAAGCCGCTTATGTTTTATTATTTTTTTAGCGTTTAGGTGATCTTTTCCGATGAGAAGAAATGAAATTGGGATGGTCCCAATGGCGTCGACTACTATTGGAAGGATCTTCGACGTGATCCGATGGTGTTTGGAACTCAAAACTTTGACGGTGGTTTTGTGATGGTTTGGGCCGCCTTTTGTGCTGATGGAACGGTCGCTCTGAAGATGGTTTCGAATCGGATGACTAGATAGATATCTTGAACAATTGCTTGTTGCCGTTTTGCTCCTAAATCCAACCGTTCCGGACTTGTTTCAATACGACAACGCATCAATTCATCGAGCCGGAGACACCCGAGACTGGCTGAACAGCAACAACATTGCAACTTTGGACTGGCCCGCTCAGTCTCCTGACCTCAATCCGATAGAAAATTTATGGGAAATACTTGTCCAAGCTGTCTACAAGAATCATCGTCAGTTTCAAGACGTTTCTACACTTAAAGCAGCACTTTTTTCGGCCTGGAGCGATCTCGACGTCTCTGCTCTTCAAAACCTCATCAATTCAATGCCAGACCGCATTTTTCAAGAAATTAATCGTTCTGGTGCGTGTACAGATTATTAGTTTTGATTTTTAACCTTTGATTTTTAATTTGTGTCGATAAATAAAAATATTTTCATAGTGCGTTTAAGAATTTGAAACGGTCGATTTAGCAAAAAGTTTCTATTTTGAAAATTTTTACTTTTTACAGTATGCTTCTTTTTCGTGTTATTTAGGTTTTAAGACATGCTCTTTCTAATAAAAAAAGATTAATAGTTGTAGCGGTGGTCAAAATGCAAAATCCGCTATTTTAGAGGGTGCGTTTAAGAATTTGAAACGCACTGTAGGTTAAACAGTACTAAAAACTCCAAACGTTTTACCTTCTCTTTCTTTCCAGGATAGCTTCCTTCCTTTCTTTCTTTCTTTCTTTCTTTCTTTCTTTCTTTCTTCTTTCCTTTCTTTCTTTCTTTCTTTCTTTCTTCTTTTCTTCTTCCCCCTTATCTTTCCTTCTTTCTCTTGGCAAGTTAAGGTACCGGCTAGCTTAATGATTAGAGCATTTACCTGGAAAGCAAAAAGGCCGAGGGTTCAATCGCCTCTCTTGAAATCTCTCTTTGCCATTCTTTACTTTACTTTATTACATTAAATACATTATTGTATAAAAAACATTACAGGCTTTTAAAGCATTCCAAATGGAGGTTGATTGGACTAAAGAATTTTGAGAAAATCGAGAGAAAACTTTCAAGTTGGATTGCACTATTCTCTCTATTTAACTGCTGTAACACAATGGCTGAATGCTATGTAGAATTTGTATCAAAAAACAGCCCAATTAGGGCAGAAAATTGTCCCAAAAAATTCGGTTAATCGACATTTGAGACGCGCCCCGCCCCTTTTGCCATTCGCAACCCAACTTTGAACTCAAATATATTGGTGTTGAGCTGTTCAATTTAAATACTCTTGATATCATTGTATGCGCCAAGTTTTTCTCTGTCGATTGGTAAAGCAATTATTTAAATTGGACAGCCCAGCACAAAGATATTTGAGCTCAAAGTCAGATTGTCAATGGCAACGGGGCGGGGCGCGTATAAAAGGTCCGTCGCGAAATAGCCTATAAAATATTCTAAACGAGATGTATTTTCGTGTTGACAAGTAACCCTTTTGATATGTCTGATTCACGATTTCTTTCCCAAAAATTCGTGAATTTCTTGTTGATGGTATTATTGCGTAAGATCTGAAATTGATACGGATTGAGAATTGCTGAGAATTGCTGAGAAAGAAAGTTTAAGTAAATTGAAAAAGCGCGGGGGAAACAAGGCAAATAATTCTTGCTTGATGGGTTTTTGTTTTGTTGAGGGAATTAGCGAGAACTTCAGATTTTCTTTGAGTAATTTTTTAAAAATCCAGAAGCTTTAACGAGGAAATTGTTGATTTTCAAAGATCAAGTAGTCTACTTGAATTTAAGCCGATTCAAGTCTTGTAAAAGCTCAAGCGTATGATTTTGGAACATTTGATACGCCCGCCGCTTTTGCCATTGACAATCTGACTTTGAGCTTGAATTTCTTGGTGTTGGGTTGTCTAATTTACATTTTCTTGATATCATTGGATGCACCAAGTCTTTCTCTGTTTCTCTGTCGCTGATACAAAAACTATTTAAATTGGACAGCCCAGCATCAAGACATTTGAGCTCAAAGTTAGATTGCCAATGGCAAAGGGGGCGGGGCGCGTATAAAAAAGCCCCACAATCAAGAATTTGGGCATAGTGACGCCCAAAGCGGCAAAAATCGGCTCAATTGCTTACCGCTTCTTCCTCTTCCAAAAGGGAAGCGCTTTATACCCGATGGTTTTGCCAGGCGGCAAGCGATTACGCGCACAAAGAATACCTCGCTAGTCATTCTTATGCTTGGTAGCTGATAGATACTCGGCTGTAAATTTGTGCCCTAGGGTTTTCAGGGTCGGCGAATCGATTGAAGCTATTCATTTTGTTGAGTCTACCAATTAGACCAATTAGTTGCTTACTACCAATCTTTTTCCTCGGGTTCAGAGTAATGACTCAAATTTTCCCTAGTCATTTACAGATCTCTTCTTGACTAACTAACCAATAATAACCAGTTCCCATAGATATTCGTAGCAATATAATTATGGGATTGCTAGCTGCAAATAGCCGCAAATTTGAGTATCGTCTCTCATTTTTGATCTCTCTTATTCATTTTCTTCTTCATTTTCATTTTCCTCTACAAATCCCCCGTCAAGCAATTTCTTAATTTGAGAATCTTTGAGCTGACTGAGCTGAGCTGACTTTTTCTCGCTGAAAAATAGCATTATTTACTTTAGATTTCCCGTGGGAATGTTTTCAATATGTCTTCACAAAAAGATTTTCTAAAAACATCATTTTCCCATGTTTCTTTCGTGGAAAATGAAGATTTTTTTCGTTTTCAATTAACTATTCAATTCATACAGTTGATTCATATTTAAACTACTTCTTGAGAATTTGAATATTGTTAAATTTCAGGTTTCAAAATGGATTCGGAGAGGCAATCGATAGTAAAAGGTTTTCCGTGGATTACACTATTTTGTGGGATTTCATGTGGACTAAATATTGGGATAGCTACAATAATCGTGAGAATTTCAAGAAATCAACACTCACTTCGAGAAAATTTCTACAAAACCTCAGTGGTTCAGGTGGGTTTGATTGCTGGAATGATACAAGTGGACGCCAAGCTTTGACAAAACTTTGAATGCTCTTTTTTACAATTTGTTTTAAAGTTAACAAAACCTTGAACCATGTTATTTAGCTCCAAAACTTTGTTCAGTCTTCTGTTTAGCTTTCTTTTGCCTTAGTTAGGATCAAAGAAAGAGCAAACTTTAGAAAATTTTGGATCCGATTGTATCAAGCTGCCCAGAAAGTTACGTTCCTTTTCGTACTTTTGGGATAGAAACAAAAACTGCTATTGAGCTACGATTTGTTTCATTAGAAAGGCCAATTATTTTTCAGCAGATTAGCATTAAAACGGATTTGAAATCTCTTATGCCTGGATTTTTTTGGGAGTATAAAGTCGAGAAGTCAAAAAGGTGATGATGTGGAGACTTTAGCTTTAGAGAAGACACACTTTAGCCAAGGAAACCCATCTTGATGTCAATAGATAAAAGATAGAGCACAGAAAGTTTGATATATAGTCAAATTTTCAGAGAAACTCATTCAGCCAATTTCTTCGTAGAGGTTTTTTAGAGGAAAAACACTGTTTCGCACACTTTTTGCTTGAAAGTGAACTCAAGGTGACCCAAATTGACCAAAATTGACTTAAAAAGATGGAAATTTAACAATAAACACTTTTTATTTAGAAAAGCTATAGGTTAATTGATGAATATTTGTTTTATTTTTCAACGAAAGTATTGAAATGGAACGAAAAAACTTCCTGGACAGCCTAATACAGGGTGAAAGTTCTGCCCTTTTTAGAATTCTCTCTAAAAGCTCTTGACTAATCTTATTTTATAAGTGTTTATAGCCAAAAGATAGCCAATCTTTTACAGAATTTGAATCTGATTACAGTTTTGAGATTACTTTCTTAGATTTTGAGTTATGCTCTTCGAAAAAAGTATCCCTGGTGCATATTTTTGCGCTTTTTTTATTGCAAAAATTCTCGATAAAAATTATAAACTTACTCAAGAGTGTTGTTGTATTTTAGGTTTGTAACTGCTAAACAACTTTTTGAATACTTCTAATCGTCTGGGTTCTGAGTTTGACAGATTTTCTTATACTGGTAACGCTGGTGCGACCACAGAACTCATGCAAATTGGGATAACTCAAAATTTAAAGAAGCTATTTAAAAAAGGCAAATAAGTTTTAAATTCTGTGAAAAATTGGCTTCTTTTGGCTACATTTATGAAATAAAAACAATCAGAAAGAATTGAATTAAAGAGAATTTAAAAAGGACAGATCTTTGCCGACTTCGAGCTCAATGTAAAGCTTTTCCTTACTAAATGAATCTGTTTAGACACTACTGGAAATCTTGTGGGCTCTCGTTTTTTTCATTTTCATTCTTCCCGGTCAATTGGACATTTATGCAATCAGTGACGAGCAGAGCTATTTCCTTCAAACAATCTCGCAACCCGTTCGAATGTTATTGGTTACGGGCGCAATTTTAACGGCCATCGAGCGATTATCGGTCGCCCATGTGTCGGTGAGGGAAACTTGAGAATAAGAAGGGAAATTTAAGACAAAATTCATTGATATTGATTTATTAAACTATTATTAAACTTAGATTATTTAACAACATGAAAATTTGAACAAAAATGATTAGGAAATGGGCTGGAAACTCTTCCGTCGAGCTCTCTTTCTCGCATTCTTTCTTGTCCTCCCGACTTTCCTCGTGGCAATCATTTTTCGAAATGATGAATGGCACTCGAGAGGTGACTGCATACAATGCGATAATATGGTAAGACGGAAAACATTTTAAAATTGTGCCACCTAAACCAGTAACTCTGTCTGCCAGCAATTGATTCTTACCGTTAGGATAGATTCTTTTTCTTTCGAGAACTGGGAAATCCTCTCTTTCTCAACTCAATAGGAACAAACTTTCTCATTTGTTATTAGGTTGTTCGGATATAAACAAGCGTTGCTAAACTTATTGTTGTGAAAGAAGCTTTTAAAACATGTCTTTCTGTATTTAAAAGTACGTTATCTTGTGCATATTTGGAATCTTTTTAAACGGATAATTTCTTCTTTTTAAGATCTTTTTTCTTGCTTTAGATCTAGATCTAGAGTTTAGATCGACTTCAAATATATCAAGCTCGCGTCTGCCTACTTTACGCCTTCAAACTGAGCAAAACAGTCGCGGAATCCCATCGAGATTTGGTCAAAGCCTTTGGGAATGATGTATTGTTCGAAAGCCAATGCCGAGCCTGGTTCCGACGCTTTCGGAACGGTGATGAAAGTCTCGAGGATCATGAACACACTCGTCAAGAATATCGTTGTCTACCTCAAGCGGTAGACAACGATACTTTGAGAGCTGCAATCGAATCGGATCCATGTCAAACGACGCGTGAACTTGCGCTTTCTATTATACATTTCTATTATTATACTTATACAATTTCTATGTTCAAATTCTACCATCGACGAGCATCTCTACGCCATTGAAAAGGCGATCAGATACGGGAAATGGCTTCCTCACGTGTTAAGCAGTGCAAACGCTTATATCCGAACAACCTAATATTAGTCTATGAGAAAACCAAAATAACTCGATTCCTAATTTTCGTATGTAGACTTTCGCTACTTTCATCTATCAACTTTGGCGCGTGAGTGTGAGTATCGCGCTTGCTCAAGCCCATTAGACGCGGGTTCGACCCCCGGCTGTGCCATGACTTTTACTTTTTGAAAAAACAGAATATGAGTTGCAAAACTACATAGAATTCTAAGCCTAAAAAACTAAAAATCATGTAAATCGGCCCACGTGGCGCCGAGAACTCGCGCGTACAGACAGACGAACAGACAGACGTACAGACAGACGTACAGGCAGACGGACAGACACTTTCCTTTTATATATAGTACAGCTGGTACACTTTGCAAACTGTCAACAATTAATTACTTCAAATTTGCCAGGTTGATTGCATGATCGAATTCATTCTCGAGGGAGCATTGCTCGGTTTTTCCGTTGCTGTCATCGTCTCACTCTTGCTCTCTTTCATCGGACTTTCCCCAATCAAAACCTGCTCTAGACAAGTAAAACTCAGTGATCCCTTCAAAAAAAAAAATTTATTTAATGACTTGAGCTTTGTGGAACTTCCAAATTTATGAAAACGTCATTCAATTTGGGAAAGCCGCTTGCATGGTTTGGCAAAAATAGATAAGGATTTTAAAATCAGAGTTCAAAAGCAAGATCTCGAAGAAAAAAATGAAACGGAAGTGAACAAAAAGTTTTGTTAAATGGATTGATTGGGATTTTTTTGACCAATTATTTTTAACTAATCATTTAGCCAGAAAGCCTTGTCCGTCTTTTTGAAATTCTCGTTTATAAATGAATAATTAGTCTATCAATTATAAATGAATTAATAGCCTGATAGCCTATTTGCTTTAAATAAAAGTAACTGAAATAGTTTTAGCTGAAATTTAGCTAATTTTTAGGCAAATTTGAGTCCGCTTTGAAGCAAATTCGAACGGGAATTCGTGTTTTTTTTTCTAAAACCCTTACAATACAGAATGCGCCATAATTGTCGCAATAAGATAAAGTTCTGATTTTAAGGCAGACAAGAGCAAAAAAGAAAATCTTTTAACTGAATAGCACTTATGGTACATCAACAATTAAAAATGAACTATCAAATTCGAATCGGCCACCATTAGCATTCAAGCAGGCTCGCAGGCGTTTCGAGTCGGCGTCAACAGTGGCGACCAAATAGGCTGGCTTTCAATATACGGATTTGATTTACTTTTAGTCTGCCTAAAGGTATAAAAAGATTTATTTGCTGTCGCACCATGCGCCATAATTTTCGCAACAAGATAAAGTTCTGATTTTAAGGTTTTAAATGCATTTATGGTACATTAACAATTATAACTGAACAATCAAATTCGAATCAGCCACCATTAGCATTTGAGCAGGCTCGCAGGCGTTTCAGAAAGGCGTCAACGGTGGCGAACAAATAGGCTGGATCGAGCTCTTCCCACGCTTTAAACAGTGATTTCTTCAAGCTTTTGATGTTTTTGTGGAGCTTTGAGCAAGCTTTGGCTTCTAGAACCGAGCACACCGAAAAATCCATTGGGTTGAGGTCTGGAGAGCCTGGAGAATTTTTTAAATAACAATTTATAAATAAATAATAGGACTTTCTGATAAAACAAACGATAGATCGATTGGTTTATTATTCATTTCGAAAAGCAATCTTTCAAAAAAGCGGACAAGACTTTCCGGTCAGCTTGATAAAAGGGGCCAAACCAAGCAAACAGTTCAAACCAAGTTCGAGGTTCGAATCAGTCGAAGCTGATTGAAATTTTCCAATAAAAATCAATTTTCAGGAAAAAACCCACTACCGAATCGCCTCATCAATCACAATTATCAACTATTTCCCCCTTTTGGCTGAGACGGTTCGAAGTGCGCTCGCTTTCTCACAGCATCGGAGCCTGATTTACACAATGGATAACAGTCTATTTACGGCCAGGTGAGATTGTAGCTTGTGCTAATTGTCTAGGGAAATTCTCAGGTTTGCAAGATCTATTGGGTTGGGGAGAATGAGTCGGCGCGAAACTTTAAAGGGACTTTTTGCACACATAAAGCCTTCTTTAAACATACGTTTGGTTTCATCAAAAGGATCCACTATTTCTCTACAAAATGACTTTTGAGAGATTCCACAAAGCTTTTCTTTCGTGGAGTTTATGAACTTCCAAACGCAGCTGGTTGAAATGGCAAAGAGTCCGACTCATCATTTGAACAGTTTCTTTCACATAAACCTTCTTTGGTGTTTATATAAAAAAGATAGAGCACATTCAATTACTTAAGTTGCCAAATTTGCAGGAAGATCCCACCAATGGTTTTTTCTAGATGACAGTTTGTAGTTTTTGTGAAAAAATGGCTTTTTCTTGAGCGGAGGCGCTATTTGAATTTTCTTTTAAATGTCATTTTGTAGAGAATTAGTTAACCATTCTACTCATATCAAACGCATATTATTTCACGAAGTCGAATTGAAGTTTTAGACATTTTTTTCATTTTCGGCGCCGACTCATTCTCCCCAACCCAATAGAATACATAGAAATTTACATTCTGACGTCATAAATCAGAATTAGCAAATAGTAGAAAAATAGCCATTTTAAAATGATCAATCGGATCAATCGAATCATCAAATTTTCTTATAGGCTTTTTCTTTTCTTTCTTATATCATCAATTTAATTTAATCCATTCTTTTTAATTTCAGAATTTCTGCTTAAGAACTTTACTTTAAATCTATTAGTGCAAATAGGAGTTTTAAAACATTTTAAAATCATTCATGTTCATCATTCATTTTCATCATTCATTTTCATCCTAATCATTTTAAAACACTTTCTACGGTCGGTACAAGTTTAAGTTTAAAAGCTTTTGCTACTTTTCACCATTGACAGCTTTAACAAGGCAATTTCAAGTACAGGGTGACCGGACAAACCGTTTTTGACTTTTTTGACTCGATCTTCACATGCAGATGGACTAAATAAAAATACCTAAAGATCGTTAATTGTACACTCTTAGTAACTCAAATCTAAAAGATTTTCGTCCTAGGATCAGCTATAAAATCACAATTTTTTGGTTTAAAAAACAAAGTTCTAGAAAATCGGTTTTAAAAAAGTTCTCATGGCAAAAAATGGTCTTGCACAAAAGAAAAGTTCAAATTCAGCTATTCAGAGGCAAAAATATGTGATTTTTATACAAAATCTGTTCGCTGAGAACGAGCCGTGTTTGTCAAAAGCCAGCGGCTCCAGAAGATTTGGCCAAGCTGCTTCTTTCAACTCCTAAAACTTACAGAAATATAACTTAGCCTAGATACCGTATTTTCTCTCGTAGTAGTGCACCGAGTTGATGCCGAGTTGGTGACTATCTTACGGGTTCCAAGCTTTTGCAGAAGCTCAAGACTCTAATCCCCCACAAGATCTCATCGTCAGCTACACTTTCCGACCCCACATCGATAGGTTCTGATAAGCAGTTCTCGAGATTTCGGGCAATTTAGACGACGCTCAAGGTGCACTACTATTAGAGAGAATACGGTATGTTATTTTACTCAAAATCTGTTCGCTGAGAACCAACCGTGTTTGTGCAAAAAGAACAGCGCCTCCAGCGAGTTTGGCTGCTTCTTTCAACTCCTAGAATTTACAGAAACGATCTAGGACCAAAATCTTTTAGCTTTGAGTTACTAAGAGTGTATAATTAACGGTTTTTAAAAGGATTTTTATTTAGTCCATCTGCATGTGAAGATCGAGTCAAAAACGTTTGTCCGGGTTCTTTCTGATCTTTTTTCTGATCATCCTGTATATTGTAGGGAATTCGAGCCTAAAGAAATGAACCAGCCAATGAATCGCCACTCTCACACTTTCCATAGCAAAAGCCTTTCAAAAACAAATCCAAAAAGATTACCTAATTTACCTACCGTATTTCCTCTAATAAACGCCCGCCCCCCTCGACCAACTTTGGACGCTTCGTTTTCAGCTCCATTTTGAGATATTATTATGTTTAATATACCAAAAGATAGGAGACATTAAGGGCTATCTTTTGGTTTATTATAAAAATATCTCAAAATGGGGGGGGGGTAAGCTCTTTTCAGTATCGCCACTCTGACACTGGGCTGTTGTTTACGCCCATGGCTCTTGCTGATCTTTGATCCAGCAATCCGCTCTCCGATTTTCTCCTCTTTTGGCAATCGTTGTTGTTTTGCGAAAATCTACTCGTCTGCTTCTTCCAATTCTTCACTTCATTCACAAGGTTTTTACTGATAACCATATTTTTCAACTGGTTATTTTGTTTTTCAAAAAAATTAGGAGAACTTTTGGCTTTTCCCATTTGTTTCCCGAAAATATTTGTCACTAAGGCTTTGATTGAAATCAAAACTAAATTTCACCTGTTGAGATCATGCGCAAGCTGACAAAAAAACAAGATTTAAGTTGAGATTTTGCAGATTTTGCCAATGCAAAGATTTTCCCAAACACAAGAATTTGTAGGATAAATTTTCGTTTTTCTTCTTGTCTCCTAAGAATCTTTAAGTTGTTTGGATCTTTAAGTTGAAATTTTTAGGTGGAATTGCTGCCGATAAACAATCGCAAACCAATCATCACCCAAGCAACTCGGTGAAAACGAGCGCCATCTCGAGCGGACGTTTCCCAAGGGTAATCCGCTTTTTTTTTGCTTTATTTTAATTTACCAATTTTTGAAAGAACAAAGAGAAACATTGGAATGAAAAATTGCAAAAATCACTTATTGCATTGCTTTTGATAAATGTCTGCTCTGGAAACTGTGAACTGGCTGTGTCTAGCTGTGTTAACGACACTTAACGGTACTAACAATGGTACCATTAGGTCTCAAGGTTAAGTTGTCAAGGTCAGAGCACTATTTAAGTCTCCGCGAGTGTCATACAACTGACACCAGCTCGAAGTTCAGAATCGCTTCGTGATCTCAGAATCGGTTGCATCTCAGAATCTGGAATCAGAATCGGCTATGCTGATTCTGAATCAGTAAGAATTAGCTGCAAACACCCACGCAATTGCAAGAAATCTGGCATAGAAAATTCGCTTTAATTTCGGACTCTTTATGGGGCGTCAGAAACAATCTGGCGGCTTCACTGGTCTAGCGGATAGTGTGCTAGTCTAGGGAACATCTGAATTTCTTGGCTTGGATTCCTCCCAAGCCAACTCTTTTGCTTTTTCGAAGCATTTACATTAAATTGTAAGCATTGTTAAGCTGCCGTTAAAAATTCGGACAGATATACGGATAAGAGGTATGGATAAAACTTGGCTCGACATTACTCACAAGGGAATGTCCAAATGACATGCGCCATATACTAATCGATGTAGAATTTTGCGCTGGTTCCGAAGCTGCTTCCCGTTTTTCCAAAATGACACTCTATCAAAAGTTATGAGCGCTCAAAGTTTTGTATGGAAGAGAAAAGAGACCTTTGGCTTAGAAGCTGATTTCGAGGTGGAAAAACTCTTTTTTGATTTCCGTTTAAAATTTTATTTTATCTAATCTAACACTACTTTTAACTTTAAACAACACACCACAACCAAAATGAACAGAAAAGATTCAACAAAAGTTCAACATTGATGGGAGTCGATGAAATGGGAAAAACATAATTTCACGCAACAATGAGCACAAGAAATAAAAGACGATACACAGTGCACAAAATAAAATTGCACTTGAAACGGAAAACACTCAAACTATTCAAAGCTAAAAGAAGCAAAAACAAAAGTGAAACGCCGGACTCGAACTCGAACCCTGTTGGCTTCCTTCAGTCCTTGCTTTGTATTCAAGCATACTACCACTTAGCCACCATGACATCTTTTCTGTCCTCTCTGGTAAGTCAACTTATAAGCTGTTTCCTTTTCCATACAAGACTTTGAGCGCTCATAACTTTTGATAGAGTGTCATTTTGGAAAAACGGGAAGCAGATTCGGAATCAGCGCAAAATTCTACTTCGATTAGTATATGACTCATGTCATTTGGCCACCACAACCTGTAGACATTCCCTTGTCAATGTAACGCCACCTATTGACCTCAACGGTAACTGCTTTAATGTCTAGTTGTACTTGGAAAATAGGTTTTTGTCATCTAGAGCAATGATCTAAGCTGTTAAAGTGGCCCCTTTAAACAGTGATTTTCAGAGATTGATACCGATGAAGCACTGAAAATCTACTCCTGATCTGCTGATGCAAAGAATTCCAAACTGCACACTTTTTTGAAAGGCACCTTTCCGGATTTTTTTTTTATTTTTCGACTTTCGACTTTGGCGTGACCAAGTGGCAAATTTTCGCATTCGGCCAGAATTGATAAGCCGTTAGGCATTCATCGATTTTGGAGCTGAAAAGGGCATAGGCCTTTTCACCAAGGCCTATTCTTTTGCCTTACCGTAATAATTTGAACTATTGTGTAAATATTTTGGATTTTTTCATTTTTTTCATTGAACTGTTTGATTTGTGTGATATTTTCCTCTCATTTTGCCAATGTTTCGCTAAATGTTTTGCCCTTTTTCTCTTGAATAAACTTTTGATTGAGTTTTCTCGAGGAAGCACAGAAAAGTTCAGAGAAATTTTGGTTTACAGATCAAAAAACTGAATGTTTAAAATGTTCTGAAAGATTTTGATGTTATAGATGTGACTTTGAAAGACTTTGAAAGACTATTTACTTTAGAAAAAAGGTTAAGTTTGTGTTTGTTTGTAAAGTTTTAAAAGAGTTTATTTCTAGCTTTGTAATGGCAAAAAAATTGTTCGCATTTCAGATCTTTAGTTGTCTTATTTAAGCCATATTAATATTAATATTAATCAAATTCTGATTCAACAATAGTTTATCACTTTCTTCGTCTATTTCTTCTGCTGCTCTCTTGCAAACATTTAATAGACTACTTGATCTAGAATGGTAAAGACTATTAATCTTCAATTAATACATTTAATACTGATCTAGAATGGTAAAGACTATTAATCCTCAATCAATAAACGCAACACTTTCTTGTTTTAAACTATCTTTTCAAATACAAGTTTCCAGACAGTTTCAAGTATCTAAACTCTAATTAATCAACATCATGAATGCAGTTTGTTCATAAAAAGCTCAATTCTTCTTTTCCATACATAGATTTTTGATGAAGCTTATATTAAGATTAAAGCTATAGATTAAAGATAGATCCAGTTTAGATTGAAGCGCAAAAATACGGAAAAGTTTGGGGCTGACTAGTGAGAGGTTGAAAGCACTACAGGGTGTTTAACAATTACGGGGGATACTTTTTAGGAAACCTTTGATACCGAAGAAACTTTTGATAGAAAGTAGGATTTATAAGTAGAGAAACCTGCGTTTTTTGGGATGTCGGATTTTGTCGGCCGAGACACTTTTGTCATTTTAGACTGAAATGTCAATGTCATTTTAGACTTAAATTATTAAATTGAATTTATCTTGATAGAATGTTTTCAGCTTTTCTCGTAAGAATTTAAGCCTAGAAAGTCACGAAAAATGGCGGTGTGCCTCGAGGTACTTGGTTCGGATTCGATTCGAAGTGCCGCAAAAGCTAAAAATTAACTTTAAATGAAGAATCTTTAGTGGATTAATGATGCCGGGAATTGGAGGTTTCGAATGGTATATAATAAATCCTACTTTCCATCAAATGTTCCTTCGGTATCAAAGGTTTTCTAAATCGTGCCCGTAATTGTTGAACACCTTGTATAGTCAACAGGCATCTTACTATTAGAATTATTCTATTCAAAATCAAGATAACTTTTCAAAACTTTCAAATAAACCGAGTTGGAATCAGGGCAGCTCAGAAAGATGCGCGCCACCGGGACTCGAACCCGCGACCTTTCGCTTGCCGGACAAGGGTGCTAACCATTACACCACAAGGCAGATGATCTCTTTCACTCCAGAGGGACCTTAACTCCTCTTTTGAACTTTTCCAATTCGTTAATTGAAACTAGGGCAGATTGTGCGCCGCCAGGACTCGAACCAGCTACCTTTCGCTTGCCGGGCAACTGTGCTAACCATTACACCAAAACGCACCCGATCTCCCGTACTCTAGAGGGAGTTAACTTCCCTCCTCTCTGGACGAGACAGTTCCACGCGTCTCGATTTAAGAGCCTGGGGCCTGGGGTAGGCTCGAAACTAGGTATGAAGACCTTAGCCAGCATTGCAGAGCCCCATCCTTCGCCAGTTGGAACTAAGGGAGATCAAAAATTTGTGCGGGACTCGAACCCGTGACCTTTCGCTTGCCGGACAAGAGTGCTAACCATTACACCACGACCCACCAGATCTCTCTTACTCCACAGGGAGTTAACTCAGTAAGTCATAAATTCAAAAAAACTCTTGATAGGTTTCATCAAGACAATTCTTAATTTATGCAACTTCAAAGGCCTTCGCCCACTCGATTCTTATCATAAAGCCAAAAAACCAATAATTGTCGCAAATTTGAGTGCCCCTAGTACAACGCTATACTTTGAGACGCAAACCACACAAAATTTTTGAAAGAACCGCTCGAGAAAGACAGGGGACAATGAAGATAAGATACAGTTGGGAAAGAAAGAGAACTGACTTCACAACACAAGCCTATTAGAGCTATTTTGAATATTATACTTTTCTTGGATTGGTAAAATCGATGAAACGCGAGAAAGACCCACTCCTATCGGCGTCGAGTGTGTGAGTTCTTTCTTTTTTTCTTTGAGGAATTTTTCGATCATATCTTTTCAAGGCTTATCTCGAAGCCCATTGTCCGATCGGCGAAAATCGATCAGGCACTTTAGGCCAAGAATGGGAGTTTCTGGTAACCAATTCTGGAAAATAGGCACTTAAGAGTTGAGGCGAATCTCGAAACTAGAGGTTTTAGGCTGAGGCTGAGGAATTGTTAAATGTTAACTTGCTAGCTAGTTAACTTGCTAGCTAGTTAACTTACTAGTTAGTTAGCTTACTAGTTAGTTAGCTTACTTACTAGTTAGTCAGTTAACTTACTAGTTAGTCAAAATTGGTCTTGGTCTTGGTCAAAAAGCTCAAAATCTTCAAATCGTTTGTTTTCCTAAAAAGAACTCTCAAAATAGCTATTTTCAATACGGGAAAAATCGATCAGGCACTTTAGGCCAAAAATGGGAGTTTCTGGTAACCAATTCTGGAAAATAGGCACTTAAGAGTTGAGGCGGATCTCGAAACTAGAGGTTTTAGGCTGAGGCTGAGGCTTAGGATCGTTAAATGTACATAGGATTCAAAAAAAGTATTTAAAGCCACGTTTATTAGTCAAAATTATACAGCTATTCTTTCAAATGCGGATCAGATCGCATAGGTAATTTTGATTTGATTTTTGAGTTGATTTTTGAGTTGATTTTTGATTTGATTTACAATTTTTAAATTAAGTTTTAAAAAGATTCTGCAAAGATTAAGCTTATTAAGCTTTTCAGAAAGTCTTTTTGTTCTTTTTCGTACTTCCGTTGCGAAAATAACAAATTCACCAATTCATCTATGGTTTGCTCTAAATAAAAAGTGTTTATTGTTCAATTTTCCATCTTTTTTAAGTAAATTTGGGTTTGGGTTTACTTTTAAGCCATTTCGAGAGTGAAATAGACGTGTTTTTCGCGAAAATCTATAAAAACCTTTTCGTTAGGTTAGTTAGTTTCGTTAGTTTCCGAATATTTTGCGGGTCGTGACGCTTTGAAAGCCTATAACTTTGTCTAGAGATTATATTTTTGTTAACTTGTTATATCATTGTACAGAGGACATTACAGGCTTTGAAATGATACCAAACAGGGCTTGATTAGATAATCCAGTCAAAGAAAATTAGAGCTAACTCTGAGCTTACCTAGAGGAAACTTATCCAACTCGGGTGTCGTGTCGCTTTGTTTGCATGGGAATGGAAAATCCAGTCAAGCTCTATTTGGTATCATTCGAAAGCCTGCAATGTCCTCTGTACAATGATATAAAAAGGTAACAGAAATATTATCTCTAGACAAAGTTATAGGCTTTCAAAGCTTGATGACTTGTTCAAAATTCCCGGGAACCACGCAAGAGCCGAATTTTTCCGCATTTGCTCAGAGTTAGCTCTAATTTTCTTTGATTGGATTATCTAATCAAGCTCTATTTGGTATCATTTGAAAGCCTGCAATGTCCTCTTTAGAATTATATAAAAAGTTAATAAAAATATTATCTCTGGACAAAGTTAAAGGCCTTCAAAGCTTGACGACTTGTTCAAAATTCCCAGGAACTACACAGGAGTCCAATTCGTCTTTTTGTAAAGAATTAAAATTCAAGTTTAGTTTTGTAACCTAGAATTGAATTGAATTAAAAGATTGAAGATCATAGAATTGAAATTCTTTTGAAACTGGAACTTTTGCTGAACACTGCACTGAACACTGAACAACTGCTGAGTAATCCTTTTGTTCTATAGAAATAGCTGACATTTTGGTTCATTCAAAAACGATCAGTAGGTTTAAATAGATTTTTGAATCAGCTGACGGTTTAAAAAGATTCATTTTTCATCACAAACTTTCAAATTCTCTTTTAATGACTGAAAATTCGGCTGCTGTATTCTATTTAGAGGAAATATCGATGATAATCGTCAAGTCAACATTTTAAAATAACCTAAAACTTTAGCAATTCTATCAATTAGGAATACTTTAAATATAAATTGACATTTGAAATTCCTGAATATTTTCAAAATGATTCTTTAACTTTTCACCTAAACTATAGTCGCAAGTTTTCAATCGACGATGACTCAATTTTGCGAAATAGCCTATAAAATATTGTAAACGAGATGTATTTTCGTGTTGACAAGTAACCCTTTTGTTATGTCTGATTCACGATTTCTTTCTCAAAAATTCGTGAATTTTTTGTTGATCGTCTGATTGCGTAAGGTTTGAAATGGATACGGATTGAGAATTGCTGAGAATTGCTGAGAAAGAAAGTTTAAGTAAATTGAGAAAACGCGGGGGAAACAAGGCAAATAATTCTTGCTTGATGGGTTTTTGTTTTGTTGAGGGAATTAGCGAGAACTTCAGATTTTCTTTGAGTAATTTTTTAAAAATCCAGAAGCTTTAACGAGGAAATTGTTGATTTTCAAAGATCAAGTAGTCTACTTGAATTTAAGCCGATTCAAGTCTTGTAAAAGCTCAAGCGTATGATTTTGGAACATTTGATACACCCGCCGCTTTTGCCATTGACAATCTGACTTTGAGCTTGAATTTCTTGGTGTTGGGTTGTCTAATTTAAATATTCTTGATATCATTGGATGCGCCAAGTCTTTCTCTGTCGACTGGTACAAAAACTATTTAAATTGGGCCACCCAACACCAAGATATTGGAGCTCAAAGTCAGATTGTCAATGAAAAAGGGGCGAGGCGCGTATATAAGCCCCTAAACTCCGCCCCTTGGCAATCCAACGTGGAGCTCAATATCTTGGTGTTAGCTATCGAATTTAAATATTCTTAGTATCATTGGATGCGCCAAGTCTGTCTCTGTCGATTGGTACAAAAATTATTTAAATCAGACAGCCCAGCACAAAGGTATTTGAGCTCAAAATTGGATTGCCAATGGCAAAAGGGAGCGGGGCGATGGACCTTTTATACGCGCCCCGCCCCCTTTGCCATTGACAATCTGACTTTGAGCTCAAATATCTTTGTGCTGGGCTGTCCAATTTAAATAATTGCTTTACCAATCGACAGAGAAAAACTTGGCGCATCCAATGATATCAAGAATATGTAAATTGAACTCAAAATCAAGAGTTGGCTCAAGCTCAACATCAAGATATTTAAGCTTAAAGTTACATTACCAATGGCAATAGGGGCGGGGCGCGTATAAAATGCCCGATAACCCACGTTTATGCCTATGTTCAGCACATAAAGCTGAAATTGTAACTTTTCAAAAAAAAAACCTGGAAACGTTTCATAGCCTTTTTGTGGTTTGTGTTAAAAAGAACACAGCATTCGACTCGAGTCACTCGATCTATGAATGCAAAATTTTCACTGTGTTGTAGTAGGCAAAAGCTTCACACAATAGAATACAATGGAATGGAAAATTTGGTGAGATCGCCCGTAGTATAGCATCAAAATCAGTACACGTTTTGTATCCTTTATTCGGATATCTACCATGTACAATCAAGGTTTTTGTCAAATTTTCGCTCAAATGCCTTGGCTTTGGTTTGGCATAGCTTGAAAATTTTTAGCCATATCCAACCCCGACTTGAAATACCGTAAAAGCTCTAACAGAGTTCTATAGGAGCGCCGCGTAGTCTAAGTTTACACTGAAAGAACCAAAGAACCAAAACCAAAGAATTCAGCCAAATCTTACACTATTTTTTTCATCTTTTCAAATTGGCTACACTGTTTTTGTCAAAGTTTGTTTTTTTTAATTAAGCCGTTTTATAACAAAACTTTTACAGAATTTGTAGACTAGTTTAGAGCTTCTACAGGATTTGTAGGCTAGTTTAGATCTTCTACAGGATTTGTAGCCTTGTTTAGAGCTTCTACAGGATTTGTAGCCTTGTCTAGAGCTTCTACAGGATTTGTAGACTAGTTTAGATCTTCTACAGGATTTGTAGCCTTGTTTAGAGCTTCTACAGGATTTGTAGACTAGTTTAGAGCTTCTACAGGATTTGTAGGCTAGTTTAGATCTTCTACAGTAAACAAGTTTTGTAAAGGATTTGCTTTTAGGAATTCAGGCTCACGAGGTTACTAGGTCAATGTCTTTCTGGCAGACAAACCCTTGGAGAGTTCTGATAAAGACCAAATTGAAAGGCCTTACATTCAGACCTCAACTCAGACCTAACCCCGTCGCATTCATTTTATCTCTAACTTCTCATATGTGGGAGGAGTGACACCATCTGACGCTTTCCCCTTCCCCAATCTCTCGTCTTGCCTATCTCTTCTAGGTCGCCTCTCCGAGCCTCCCCTCCTTTCCCCAAATATAAAAGCTACTCTCATCGCCCGACTTGACGAGTACAATAAATACTCAGCTATTTGGTTCTTTGATAAATAAATACTCAGCCATTCGGTTCTTCTATTTACTTCTTTCAATTAGTATTTTAAAATGATGACCCAACCGATTGAGACTATCTTCAACCCGAAAATGGTCGAGAGATCGTAAGTTCATGAACAAAGACTTAAAATTTCCTCTCTACGTTTTATTTTACAAATTTTTATCTTGAATAAGCTTTTAATTAAATTAGCTAGGCTTTGAATAAGCTCCAGTAAGCTAGGTTTTGAATAAGCTTTGAATTAGCTTTGAATTAGCTTCAAATAAGCTGAAATAAGCAGAAATTAGCTTCAAATAAGCTGAAATAAGTTGAAATTAGCTTCAAATATCCTCCAGTACAATATATTTAGTGAAAACTAGGGTCAAAAGCTGATTTCTTTTTATTTTGTGTGCTTTTTGCTTTCGAATTTGCAAACGAATCCTTTCTGATGCACTGAATTCTCAATTGTTCTTGTCTTATCAATTCAGTCAAGTCAATCAAGTCATTATTGCAGAAAAAGTAAAGGATTCGATGCGCTAGAGTGAGCAAGCTAGAGTGAGCAAGCTTTAGACAAGCTCAAGTAGAGTTGGCTTGCAAAAAAATCAAGAAGACTAGCTCTAAAATTGCTTTCTATTGCTTTCTTGTTGAATTGTTGAATGCTTGAACGAAAATAATCTATAATAAAAGCTATTCTGAAATAATTTCATAACTTCTGCGTCACAAGAAATAGAAAAAGCAAGTAAATTTACGAAATCTGACATCATATCAACTTTTCTTTCCCAATTTCATTTTACCTCTTGTTCGAATAACAAATAACCTCTATTTGTTTACATTTCCGATTTAAAATCTCAACTTTCTTTCAATTGAAAAACAATAAACTTTTCAAAGATTCAAACTATAAACTCATTGCCCTTTCAATAAGGAAATTGCTACTAAAACCTTTCAAAAAGCTTTTTTTCAGTGAATTCTTCGCATGAATTGCTTCCAGAAAGTTTAAAAAAAAGGAAAATAAAAGGAAAGAAATAAAAAGGGGAATCTTTTAACAAATTATAAATAGATTTTGATGAAATTTTTAAAGAAACAGCTTATAAAGGAATGATTAGAATAAATGTTAGTTAACTTATTGGTTAGTTAACTTATTAGTTAGTTAACTTATTAGTTAGTTAACTTACTAGTTAGTCAACTTACTAGTTAGTTAACTTATTAGTTAGTTAACTTATTAGTTAGTTAACTTATTAGTTGGTTAACTTATTAGTTGGTTAACTTATTAGTTGGTTAACTTATTAGTTAGCTAACTTGTTAGTGAGTTAACTTATTAGCTAGTTAACTTACTAGTCAGTTAACTTATTAGCTAGTTAACTTACTAGTCAGTTAACTTACTAGTCAGTTAACTTATTAGCTAGCTAACTACTAGTTAGTTAACTTATTAGTTAGTTAATCTATTCGTTTGTTACTTAACAAACTGAGTTTTAAAACAAAACTGGTTATTCAATTGTACTTTTCAAATCAGAAACTTCAAATCCAGCAGCTTAAACCCCTAAATTTGGCAAATTCAACACTTGCCTGTGAGCCAGGCTTGCAGGCCGAAAAAAACGGAAAATTGAATATAAGTCAAGAGATGGGGCAAAATGGAAATGGCAGCTACGTTTTCCGCAATTTTTTTCTACTTTTTCCGTAGCTTTTTCCGTAAGTCAAAAAGCTCAAAATCTTCAAATCTTTTGTTTTCCTAAAAAGAACTCTTAAAATAGCCATTTTCAATACTTATCTGCTGATTTAAATTCAATAAAAGTGCTGAATAAGGTTGTTCGAAAATTTTCTCAGGCTTATACTTGAAAAGTTGACAAATTTTGGCTTGAAAACACACCAATTTCTTGTTTTCTTTCAAGACACTAAACCCAAAATTGCTTATTTTCACCGCCTAGCGATTTTAAAAGATTTGAAGAGAGAAAAAGAAGAAACAGTTTGCATGAAAGAAGAGAGAAAAAGAAAAGAAAAATAAAAAGAAAAGAAAGAAAGAAAGAAAGAAAGAAAGAAAGAAAGGCGGAAAAAAAGAAAGGCAGAAAGAAAAATCACCAATATTTTATACTCGTTTGATCTATTGCACAAATCTATTGATCTACTGTTTCTCTCCATTTATCTCTATTCTTTTCCCTTTGAAATTTGAAATCAAGAGTTCGACAGACCAAGGCTAGGATTATTGAGAGAAGAACACTAAATGAAAATTCTCTGATCAAAAACTCACTGGTAATTTTTTTGAAAAATGGGCTCATTCAGCACGTCCTATCATGCGACTGGAATTGCCAAATCGGACACGACAGCTTCGTTTCATTGCCATGATCATGAAGAAGCGAAGAAAGAAGGTTGGTGGCTAGCTTTTAAACTTTTCAATTCTTTAGCAATCCGTTTAACAAATAGATTTTGAGTAATCTCTTGCTCACTTTCTCAAATTCTTTATTATTTTATCATAAGCTAGCCGGTTAAAACTCAAAATTTGAAGGACAATTGTGTTTTGAATATTCACTTGACTACTGGCTAGTTTTCTAAGCTTTTATCGGTAAAAATTCCATTTGAAAAGACCAATTTAAGACTTGAATCTAGCTTATAGCTTTAGCTTGTTCTTGCTTTTAGCAGCTATTTGATTAGAACTCTTTCTGAATATGAAAATAAGGTACAGTATCGGTCAAAATTCTACAAGATCTGCTATAAGGAATACGGTAGTTTTATCCAACTTTTAGGGACTTGAATCAAGAATATCTTGTAAGGTTATAGCACATCTTGTAGAGCTCAATGAGAGCTTTTAAATGCTATATAGCACTTATTTATTCGATGTCTACATTTAAAGTTACAACCCCTTAAAACAGTACCACTTTTTTGGAGAGAGATATTTGACCGGCACTGTACTTGTGAATCTTAAGTTAACTCCTTCTGGAGTAAGGGAGATCAGATGCGTTGTGGTGCAATAGTTAGCAAATTTGCCCGGTAAGCGAAAGCTCCTGAGTTCGAGTCTCGGCGGTGCACAAGTTTTTGATCTACCCTAGTTCCAACTCCAACATTACAACAACTCCAACCAACATTTAACAATGAAAAGTTTAAATATAAAGATAAGATTAACAAGTACGCTGCTTACAAGTAAATTGTGAAAAAACTAGTTGTGAAAAGAAGTTGTGAACAGAATTAAAGAATCTATTATTCAATCCTACAATTTTTAGATGACAAAAACCGAAAAGCTCGCCGAATTCTGTGGATCTCCGTATTGATTTGTCTCTTCTTTATGCTGTGCGAGGTGGCCGGTGGCTACATTGCGAATTCCCTGGCCATTGTCACCGATGCTGCTCATTTGGTCGGTAAAACTAGCAGCTTTTCAAATGAATCGATTCTAGCCATATCCATTCTTGTATCAACGGGTAAACTCGTAGATTTTTTTCACTATTTCAAGCTTTATCACTTTAAAATGGGATCAACTGGTGTAGGGGAAAGCACAGCTCTAACAAGATAGCACATATTCTTAAATGTTTAACAAAAATTCAAAATATATTTTGCTTTGATTCAGCTCACCGATCTCGCTTCAATGCTCATTTCGTTGTTTTCTTTGTACATCGCAAATCGACCACCAAATCAAAAGATGAGCTGGGGCTTTCATCGAGCTGGTGAGGGTTAAAGAAAAGCTGACTAAAAATGAAACTTTGTCACCGTAAATACTCTACTAAAACCCTTATAATGACCGGCGTACAGTCGCGTAGTCTAACTTTCTAACGTCCCATTCTCCGCGCTACTTTATGCTACAGTGTACGCATTGGTGTCAAATGATAGCCCTTGAAATCTAGTATTTTTCGTACCAAAAGTATATTTCGGGAAAATCTAGAGGCTGAGAAAAATGATTTTCTAAGAGAAGCTAGACTACGACTACGACTACGACGAAGTTAGCCTACTGTAAGTGACGTTCTATTAAAGTATTTACTTAATAAAAAAGTAGGCAAGTATCTCTAATAGAACGCCACCCCTATAATGACGGGCGTACAGTCGCGTTGTCTAACTTTGAACGTCCCATTCTTCGAGCTACTTTATGCTACAGTGTACGCTTTGGTGTCAAATGATAGCCCTTGAAATCTAGTATTTTTTGGTACCAAAAGTGTAGTTGGGAAAAATCTAGAGGCTAAGAAAAGCCAAAAAGAAGTTAGACTACGCGACTGTACGAGGAGGGGGGTTCTATTAGGGTGCCAAAAGCAAAAGAATTGGTGGCAAGAGGAGGCGAACCCGCGACCTCTTTCGACCTCTTTCTTCCGTTCGTTTGAGAAACGCGCGCGTTAACCACTCGGCCAGTAGATGGCCGACTACGGGACTGTACGAGGGGGTGGGGTACTATTACAGTATTTACGGTATTCATTACCTAAAAATGTATTTGAATTATAGCTTCTAAGATCAGCAATTCTTATGTGAGCTCTAAAATTATCAGATCTTTAACGTAAGAATGCAGAAAACTTGCTTTTAATGTTTTTAGTGATCGTTTTATCGAAAAGTCAAAGTTTTGGCAATCGTTAAGTTTTGTATTCGCTTGTCTTGCGCAAGAGCACTTTTCTAACAAGAAATCTCTTTCTAGAAGTACTTGGCGCTTTCTTCTCGGTCTTCTTGATCTGGGTTGTCACCGGAGTTCTTGTCGTGCTGGCCATCATGAGAATCATTCATGGAGATCACAAGGTTGCCTTTACAACCTTTAATCAATTTAAATCAATTCAAAAAAACCAAAGTTTACCATTCTCTGACCTCTCAATGACTAATCAAACTAATCAAACTAATCAAACAATTCCTTAAAAGAACCGAATCAGATTTTATCAGAAATGATTCACCAAATTTCATTTCAGGTTGACGCAAAGATTATGGCGATCACGGCGAGTCTCGGCGTGCTCGTCAATCTGATGTGAGTCATTTTTGCAATTTTGCAATTGCAATAATTTTCCAAAAACTTGGGTTTTTTTGAGTCCAGAAGTTTTATGACCTTCAATAATAAAGATCAATTCAATTCTCGGGAAAAAAAGTAGCGGAAATGGCCTCAGTCTTATCTATGTGATCGGGGAAAAAACCTCTTGACTGTCTCTTTTTTTTCCAAAGATAAGTGGATTTTCCCAGGAAAATGATGGGGCAATCGGCTATCAAATAGGATCTTTCAGAAAAACCAGATGATATTGGAAAAAATGATTTGAACTCGGAAGTTGTAAACAGGGGAAAAGTGGGGAGAGGGGTTTTATGGAATAATGGAGTTATTGAATGCGTTTGCGGGAAGGGGAAAAACTACAATGAACATAGAAATCAAACGTGAAGATCTAGATTAGATTTCTGGATCTAATCTAGATCTTTTTAAGTGTTTGACGAACTTTATAACTTAAAAGGTTTAAAGGTTTAAAGGTTAATAGACGTGCAAAAATCGGTCTCAAAAATGATCTCGGTCTAAACGAAAAGAATACCTTATAAGAGCACCTTATAAGAGCCTGTTTGAGAGCTTTTTTGAGAACTATTGCCGTGAAAGCTGCAAAATAGGATTAATGAATTACTGAAATCAAAGATAAACAATGTAAATACTCGAAAAATTCCAGTATGGGAGCCTGAAAAGAACGCCTGTTTGAGAGCTTTTTTTTGAGAACTATTGCCGTGAAAGCTGCAAAATAGGATTGTTTGTGAACAAAATAGGATTGTGAATTACTGAAATCAAAGATAAACAATGTAAATATTCGAAAAATTCCAGTATGGGAGCCCTTCTCTTCTTCGGTGGACACTCGCACTCGCACGGTGGAGGCGGTCACGGACACAGTCATGGTGGTGCGCCAAAGAAGAGTAAAAAGGTAACCATAAATGATCATTTACATAGATTTACAAATGCTTATTGCATTTCAGCCAACTTGAGGACTCTTGGTTTCAAAGAGAAAAGAGTTTCAATAATAGTACACGTGTATATAGGATGTTCAAGAATTATGGGCACTTTTTCTCTAGTGTAGCTCCGCCTAGAGTAAACCATTCCCCATAAAGCTTTTTTGGTAGAAATTACTGCTTATTTTCAACACTTTACTCCAATACTTTGCTCAGAAACTCGAAATTAGCAATTCTATAGAACTTTAAGACTTCAAAACTCAAGAACCTCTGGGACGCGGAGCAAATTGTGAGCAAATTTTGAACTTAAACAATTACTATTCAAAAAAGCTAGCAAACAGCAGATTTTCTGGATTTATAATTAAAGTATTTACAAGTGTTTCTTCCATGTTTGGGTAGTCATTGTTAAAGTAATTCTTTATTTTCAAAATTTGCTCACAAGGAGCCGCGTCCCAGAGGCTTTCAAGTTTGATTGGAGATTGGAGATTTGAAGATTGAAGATTGAAGATTTCAAGTTCTATAGAATTTCTAGTTTTGAGTTTCTGAGTAAAGTATCAAAGTAAAAAGCCCCTATCGAACCCCGAATCGAACCCCGAATCGAACCCCAAATCATCAATCTAGTTTTCTTCAGAACGCTACACTTTTCACCTTCCAGGCTACATTATTGATGTAACAAAAAATCAAAAAAATCGATCCCAAATCGATCCCGAATCGATCCCGAATCGAAAAGCAATAAATTGAAAATAAACAGGAAATTCTGCCAAACAGGAAATTCTACCAAAAAAAGCTTTATGGGGAATGGTTAACTCTAAGCAGAGCTACGCACTAGAGAAAAAGTGCCCGTAATTCTTTGGCACCTTTGGTAGTCATTACAATTGTCAGCTGCTATCATTTTCATTGATTTAAAACTCAAATTTTAGAAGGTGCACGCAGCTGAAAGCGGTCATGGACACAGCCACGGTGGACACGGTCATTCTCATGGCGGACACGGGCATGGGCACTCGCACAGTCACGGCAGTGAAAACAGTGACAAGGACACGGAATCTGGCCATTCTGGAGTAAGTTCAAACATCAAACTTTCTTCGCAATGACTTTGACTCGTTATGACTTTAACGCCAAGCTTTTTGAGTCTTTAGCTGACCTTACCGGCATCTGATCTGATCGTGAGCTTATCAGCAGTTCAGCGAGCCTAATTCTCCACCACTAACATAGCTTAGCCAAAGCTTAGCAAAGCTTCGTATCAGTATTGGTATCAGCAGCTTGATAGAAACGCTTGTAATCAACCAAATTCAGCACGGTCACGATGGTGCCAACATCAATGTACGTGCTGCGTTCGTTCACGTGCTCGGCGATCTCATCCAAAGTATCGGTGTCCTCATCGCCGCTTTGCTCATTCTATTTTTGGTAAGTCAATCTATTTTCAATGAAATCAAACATCAAAATCAAAATGTTACTAATTCGCAGCAATCGAACTTTCGGTACATTTGTTTTTCTCGGCAAAAGTCATAAAAGGATTTCCTGAAAAATCCTGAGAAATCACGTGCTAAAATTAGAGAGATACGCCTAAAAATAGCCAAAAGACCGGGAAAAGTTGTTTTGAAAGGATTTCTGCAAAACAAAAAAACAATTATCAACAATCTTTTGATTTTAGCCAAAATGGACGATTCTCGATCCGATCTGCACGCTCTTTTTCTCTGTGATCGTTTTGAGCACCACGATTTATATTTTGAGGGACGCACTTGTTGTATTATTGGAAGGTTAGTTTACAAAATTTCTTAAGCTAATGATGGTGGGTGATTTGTAAAGATGGGTAATTTGTAAAGGTGAGTAATTAGGAGACTACCGTAATCTTGTCGAATCTTTGATTGGATAAAGATATTTGAAATTGGATAAAGATACTTTGGATAAAGGTTTTGGAGATAGCGCTTGTTCTCCCCTTCTTTCTCTGTCTTCTTTCTCTGCCTTCTTTCTCTGCCTTCTTTCTCGGCATCCAAAAAAACTTCTGTAGCTCAGTGGGTAGAGATCTGACTGTAAGCAAAAAGCTCAAAGATTCAACTCCCATCGGCTCCTATCTTTCCCTGTTTCCTTTTAAAAACAACAAAGAAGAGAGCAAGGGAGAAAGGAGATCGAAGGGGAGGAAAGTGAGAAGGATCTCCTTCATGGGCTAAATTTTAGTTCACAGTCAAAATATTCATTACTTTTCGAACGATAAAGGCCTGGATACAAGTATTGAAATATTGAAATACAAAATATATCAAGTAACCAATTTTCAGGAAGACCATCTTCGGTGAACTTCGGCGAAGTGATCGGCTCACTTCAAGCAATTCCCGGCGTCAACAAGGTGCACGATCTCCGAATCTGGGCCCTCACTATGGATAAGGTTCGTGCAAAACTAATATAACTTTACCCAAACATAGCTGTGAACTTTCAAGGGTACTTTTCAATCTTTCCCACCCCACCAAAATCATGCAAAATTTTGATTTTTGATCATTTCAATTATTCTCAATTAATTTTCCCCAATTTTCCTCAATAAACATAAATTTGCATTTAATATTCATTTTTCAATAACCCATTTAGAAATTATCATTTTGTTTTAGGTTGCCGTTTCCGTCCATCTCGAGATTGAGGACGAGCGCGAGGCGCAACGAATTCTTCGAGATACCCGTAAAATGCTCAAAACCGAACACAACGTTCATGAATGTACCGTTCAGATTGAGGTTTGTTTGCCAAGTTTTTGATCTTACTATTAGAATTCTCGACTCTTGCATGGTTTAAGTGACTTTTGAAAGTGTAAGTGTCTTTTGAAAGGTTAAGTGTCTTTTGAAAGACTAAGTGCCTTTTCAAAATTTAAGTGTCTTTTGAAATTTTAAGTGTCTTTTGAAAGTTTGAGTGTCTTTTGAAAGTTTGAGTGTCTTTTGAAAGTTTAAGTGACTTTTGAAAGTTTAAGCGTCCTTTGAAAAAGTGTCTTTTGAAAGGTTAAGTGACTTTTGAAAGTTTAAATGTTTTTTGAAAGGTTGAGTGTCTTTTGAAAGGTTAAGTGTCTTTTGAAAGGTTAAGTGTCTTTTGAATGGACCGTCAAGCTCCAAAGATATAACTTTTCACAGAGACAACATTTTCATTTATATTTTATATATTTTAAGAGTAAAAATTTCTGGCTTTCGAATGAGATCCAATAAATCTAAGTTTGAAAGATCAATTTTGAGGAAATCAAAGCAGAATCGCCAGAATCAACGGTGGAAGTCATTTGATTTACTCAAGACTGGTCGTTCCAATTGAATTCTTTTTGGTATATTATTTGAAAGGCAGGAATTTTCTCTCTTAAAACATATGAAAAGTGAATGTAAATGCTATTTCCAAGGAAAGTTATGAACATTTGAAGCTTGCCAAAAGCCAAAAGTGATTTCAAAAGTTATTTAAACTTTCAAATGTCAACTAAACCATGCAAGAGCCGAATTCTACATTCAACTTGAATAACTTGAAAAGTTTAAGAAGTTTAAGAAGTTTAAGAAGTTTAAGAACTTCAAACTTATCAACATTCGTTTTTCAGTCGTACAACTCCGAGAAAGACGAGTGCGTGCGCTGTGTGCCATTGAAGAAATAAAGCTCAAAACGAAATTCACTTTTGCATAATATCTGTATTATAGAGTTTTGATAAATTGTGTTTTAATTTCGAAAAGTCTCAAGCAACCACATTTTGAAGCAAAACAGGCTACAAGGCGGTTGATACTGTCTATAGGAAACCGTCTAGATAACCGATCAAAAATTTCCAATTAATTTTGAGTATGAAGTCTTATAAACTGTTGGATATTTTCTTTAAATCTAGAGGTTTTGCATTTCATAAAAAGTCCAAGCGTGAAAATCTTCTTGGAAATAACCCAAAAACTTTGAGCTATCTTTCGCAAAAATGTAAAGGGAGCCAATACAGGATGTCTAACAATTACCCAGACCGGGTATTTTAAGTGTAACTCAGCACTCAGATTTACAATCATCTCACGCTTTGTTTTAATAGAAAATCTAAATATTTTTCTACGGTGGATTCTTAGACTTGACGAAAAAACTTTTTCTGCATTTTTTATAGAACCTCAAAGTTGAAAGTCAGGAGTTGCTTGGCGCGACACTTGTTTTTGATGATCGGCATTTCAAAGAGCGTCATTTCAAAGAGCGGCATTTCAAAGAGCGGCATTTCAAAGCTTTTGATGATTATGAATGTTTCAGCGCTAAATTTAGTTTTATTAGAATACATTTACTTAAAGCTTAAAGATTCACATTTAACACAAGCTGAAAAAAGAAAAAAATTTTCGCTTCGCGGGGTCATCTCTTGACCCATCGGACCCATGTGAAACCAAGATTCCCAAAATAACAAAATTTTGCCGAATTGAGGGTCATGTTACCTTCCGATTCGTTTGATAATTTTTAAAACGTAGCGCAAAAACAAAAGCGTTTAAAGATACTCAAGCTTTGGCGTTTTCTGAAAATCAAAAATGAAATGAAATGAAAGCCGCCAAAAACAAGTGCCGCGCCTGACTGCCAACTTTGAGGTTCTAGAAAAAAACTAACCCCGGCTGTAGAATTGGCAAACCCAATTCCGGCTCATTTTGACCACTATGGCGAGTTCTTCGTCGGTCGGGATGGGATCCCAAGTGCCTGTAAAAGGGTGCTCAAGGGCACCGCTGTGAATTTTTGGATTCATCCCAAGGATTTCGGTCCGCAGGGGCAGCAAAAACAAAAAGCAGAGGTTCTTAGAACTTTTTATGCCTTTTTTCTAGAACCTCAAAGTTGGCACTCAGGAGTTGCTTGGCGCGGCACTTGTTTTTGGCGGCTTTCATTTCATTTTTCATTTTCAGAAAACACCAAAGATTGAGCATCTTTGAACGCTTTTGTTTTCGCGATACGTTTTAAACATTATCAAACGAATCGGAAGGTAACGTGACCCTCAATTAGGCAAAATTTTGTTATTTTGGGAATCTTGGTTTCACATGAGTCCCATGGGTCAAGAGAGATGACCCCACGGGCTTTTTTGGGCTATTTTTGAGCAGCTTTGGGGCAGCTTTCAGGCCATTTTCAGTTCAAATCCTTTTCTTGTCCAAGAAAAAAAACTACGCTTTTAGCTCACAAAGCCAAATCGAGACAGCCGGCCAAAGCCACACGCAATGTGGACGAGCAATTGCTGTTCATCAAAATGGTAATCATTTGCTTATCTATTACGTCTATTTTAAGTATTGGACAACTTTTAGATGGAATGGATCTTTCAGCGATCTCCGAATGGCCCGATTATCGAGTCTACGACTATCACCCACTTCAAGAGCAAATTTTGAATTTTTGCAAGAAAAAAAATCGTTTTTAAAGGGCTTTTCCGCTAAACAGATCAACTTTGAATAAAAGTTTTATCACTGATTAATTAACTAGTTGATTCTAATTCTAATTCTCATTCAAATCGCAAAATCATACAAAACGAGGTAGTTCGACCAACTTCAAAGTGTTCAATTTTCTCACAAAGTGGAAATTTAAGGCTGGAGCTGTGTCTTGTGAGAATTCTGACCAATTTCTGACCAATTTCCTGATTTTTTAAATCAAGGAATTGGTCAGAATCTAGGCTATAGCTTAATTATTAGTCATTTAAGATTCAAAATACAACGAAATCTCACGGAGAGATTCCCATGCAATACAAAAAATCTTTTTCTGACTAAATGTTGCCGATCTTTGTCATTTCTAAAGAAATTTATAGACAAACGTTATCAAGAATTGTGTGTAAACCTGCGATTTTCCATTTATTCGATGAGTTCATCAAATGTAACGATAGCTTCAAAAGTCGATTCTACTCAAAATGCGCTCGAAATTGTTACAATGGCTTTGGTAAATTTTTGTTAAAGTGCAAACAAAGTGAACATTGTTTACAGCTGTCTTTTTTCGGCACAAGCTTTGGAGTTGCCGGGATTTGTGTTGTGCAAAAGAATTCGTATTTGAAAGGTAAGAATTCTTAAAAGGCTGCTGCTTTATTTTTGCTCTATTTTTGGGCATTTCATTCGGTTTAATTACCCGGGTGCAACCCTACATCCCACCGGTGGATTTAGCACTTTTTTGAGGCCGATTGGGATAAAAATTTGCATTCAGGGGTTTTCGAGGATGAGGAATTCGAATCCGTTATTAGTTTTTAAAGAAAACTGCTCTGTTTTTGGTTATTTCATTCGGTTTAATTACCCAAGTGCAACCCTACATCTCTACTAGTGGTGCACCCAGAGCGGAGGTTGTAAAAACAGTAGCGCGCACTACTATTAGAGAAAATACGGTAACGTATTCGGATTCTCTATCTCAGAATGCTTTCGGTTACAAATTTCCAGGTCTAGAGCTAGCATACCGTATTGATTTTAATAGAAACGCAGCCTTCAATAGAAGCAATAACTATGAATATTCAGCTTAGTAGATCGAATACCCTGAGTTTCGAGTTTTTAAAGAAGGGTAGGCATTAATCGGGACCGGATTTTGAGGAAAACGTTTTCTTGGTAGCCATATGTTTTTCTATTTTTATATTGACAGTTATATAAAAAACCCGGCTGCGGTGATTTGCCCGTAACTTGGTATTTTGGAGCCATTCGATTACCCGATTTGTCATAAGTTGGTGTAGGCCGGTACTCGCTTCACAGTGAACATCAGAAGGCTAAAAATTGATTTTTTTTTATACAAAATTTAACACATTTGAAGCAATAAAGAGAACAGAATCAGAGAGCAATAAAGAGAACATAACCAGTGAATGAAACCTGATCTTCCCCTTCATCTTCTTCATTTTCGCTCAAATTTAAAAGTTCTTTGGTTCCAATACGGTTCCAATACGGTTCCAATATAGTTCCAATATGGTTCCTATTTTTGTTCAATAGGGCTCCAATACGGTTCCAATACGGTTCTAATACAGTCCCTATTTTGGTCCAATACGGTTCCAATATGGTTTCAATATGGTTCCTATTTTGATCCAATACGGTTCCAATACGGTTCCAATATGGTTCCTATTTTTATCCAATACGGTTCCAATACGGTTGCTATTTTGATCCAATACGGTTCCAATACGGTTCCAATATGGTTCCTATTTTGATCCAATACGGCTCCAATATGGTTCCAATATGGTTCCTATTTTTATCCAATACGGTTCCAATATAGTTCTTCAAGTTGACCTCGAAATTTATCGATATCATCATCTTCGATTTCACAAGCAAAGTGATCTCCGACACCAAAAGACATCTTCAAACGTAATAATTAGGATTGGTGCAAAAGATCATCCCAAGAAATATAAAAAAATAGCGATATCATAACCAGTCAATGAATCAAATCTTTGGATCAAAATTATAACTTAAACTAGGCATTTAAATTCCGTATTCAGCAGATTCAGCTTCGGCTTTGGCTGAATAGCTTTCATAACAAGAATTTGTCTGTACTTTCTGTACTCTGTACAAGACTACTTTCATTCTGGTATACTGTACTATCGTGAAATCCTAGGCTTGATCAATATTTCAACTTACAGGCTTGGTAAAACATTATCTCTTGTTGGATTTGATTGCTCTCACAATGGTCAGCTTTGGTCATTTGATTTGGGGTTTACCATGTTGCTTGTGGTGAGTTTAGATTTGAAGAATTCTTTTCATAATTTCAAATTTAAAGCTTTATGTTAAGTTTGGGGTGCGACCCGCTTTAACCTTATCATCGGGGATGACTTTGCTTCAGAATAGCCGAGTAGCACAAAAAGGTTAAAAGGGTTTCCCCAAAACGCCTACAACGCCTAACAAGAAGACGCAGCATCCAACATAAGGTTAATACTCGTGATAAGAGTACAGAACGGATTGATACTTCGTCGATTGCGACACAAATGTTAGTAAGTTCTTTCTACAGTGTTAAACCAGCGATCTAAACAGGATTTAAAACCTGAAGGGTAGCATAAAGTAAATTGAATTTATAATTTTACTGTTTATTAGTACAGAACCAAAAATGCAACGATACCCATTACAAAAACAGCATGCGCATGAATAGAAACATCAAAGTCCCCCAAGAACGAAGGCAGGCGCATCAAAGTCCCCCAAGAACGAAGGCAGGCGCATCAAAGTCCCCCAAGAACGAAGGCAGGCGCATCAAAGTCCCCCAAGAACGAAGGCAGGCGCATCAAAGTCCCCCAAGAACGAAGGCAGAAACATCAAAGTCCCACAAGAACGAAGGCAAAAACCTCAACCCCAAAAAGGGCCAGAAGCTCTGCCAAAAAAAAACCCCTTTCTCCAAAAAAAATAATTTTGGGAAGAGAGAAAAAAGACGAAAAAATGCGACGCGAATATTTGCAAAATAGGAACGCAAAAAGGAAGGAAATGGATGCGACCGTTATTTTGACAATTCTAGGAATCTCAACAAACTATTGCCATTTGTCAATCGACTAGTTGGCAATATTGTTTATGCGTCAATGACAATTGGATACAATGCAAGGGTAAGCTAAAGTTGATGTCAAAGAGTGGCACAGATGTTACACCAACCAATTTCTTAAACCAATTTCAGCTCTTCCTTGGCATTAATCGACTACTTGCCATTGCCTTTGAAGGAAAATACTTCAAAATGTTTGAGCGCACGAGACTTTTACAGTACGCGATTATGATCTCCTATCCACTCATTGTTCTCGTCCTTCTTTTTCTCCGTGAGTCAAAAAGTCAAAATCTTATTTGACCGTCATTTTAGCTAGTTGCAGTGTTATTTTTACGTCGGATGGAATCAACCATTTTGATTTTCCAGCTGGATGTAGCATTCGATTACTCATTCTCACTTTGGTCTCATCATTCAAAGCTACTACCTGGGTTTGAATTTAGATAAACTTTTTCATAAACCAATTCATTTCACTGTTATGTTTAACAAAAAGATCTCCAATTAACGAGTGACTTTTAAAGTCCATCCAAGTACTTAAAAACTATTAGATTTCTTGATAACTTTTGCAACTTTTGTCCATAAATTTGTTTAGTTTGTCTATAAAACAAATTTACCAATTAACCTACACTTTGCTCTAAATAGAAAACGTTTATTGTTTTTTTGTTACTCTTTTAAACAAATTTAGGGGGCACGGAGCGGGCGGGGTGGTTACTTTGGGCGAAATTTTCTTGACGAAGCCAAACTGGAGCTAGATTGGTCAAACTGGAGCTAGACTGGTCAAACTGGAGTAAAACTGGTCAAACTGGAGCCAAATTGATCAAACTGGAGCTAGATTGGCCAAACTGGTCAATAAACTGGTCAAACTGGGCGTAAACCGGTCGAACTCGAGCTAGACTGGTCAAACTGAACCGAAACTGGTCAATTTTCAAAGCCTTATCAACCAATATGGTACCAGCTTCCTTTTCTCTACAATTTGGTTCCGTTTCTCTACAATTTGGTTCCGTTTCTCTACAATTTGGTTCCCTTCCTCTACGATTTGGTTCCTTTTCTCTACAATTGCAACTGGATCCTTTGCGCAACTCACCATAACTTTCTTCGAAGTCGGCGAATCTTTATGATTTTAGTGTTATTTTGTAGATCTCAACAAGTGCAACAAAATGACATTAGAATCATAAAGATTAGCCCAATAGAGAGGGAGGTGCGCAAAAACGGAACCCTTAAACGCACCCCCAAAAAGCCAATTTTGCATTTTGACCACCTCACAACAAAAAAAAAATTTTCAAAATAGAAACTTTTTGCTAAATCAACCGTTTCAAATTCTTAAACGCACTATGAAAATATTTTTATTTATCAACACAAATTAAAAATCAAAGGTAAAAAATCAAAACTAATAATCTGTACACGCACCAGAACGATTAATTACTTGAAAAATGCGGTCTGGCATTGAATTGATGAGGTTTTGAAGAGCAGAGACGTCGAGATCGCTCCAGGCCGAAAAAATTGCTGCTTTATGTGTGGAAACGTCTTGAAACTGACGATGATTCTTGTAGACAGCTCGGACAAGTATTCCTCATAAATTTTCTATCGGATTGAGATCAGGAGACTGAGCGGGTCAGTCCAAAGTTGCAATGTTGTTGTTGTTCAGTCAGCCTCGGGCATCTCCGGCTCGATGAATTGACGCGTTGTCGTATTGAAACAAATCGGGAACGGCTTGATTTAGGAGCGAAAACGGCGACAAGCAATTGTTCAAGATATCTATCTAGTCATCCGATTCGAAACCATCTTCAGAGCGACGGTTCCATCAGCACAAAAGGCGGCCCAAACCATCACAGGACCACCGCCAAAGTTTCGAGTTCCAAACACCATCGGATCACGCCGAAGATCCCTCCAATAGTAGCCAACGCCATCGGGGCCATCCAAATTCCATTTCTTCTCATCGGAAAAGATCACCTAAACGCAAAAAAATAATAAAACATAAGCGGCTTTCAAACATAGACCAATTCTGATTCATATGAGTCTTGGCGAAGGCCAATCGGGCTTTCTTGTGCAAAAGCTTCACGATCGGTTGGATGTTCAATAATTGTCGATCGATATGTGCGTTTTTCCTTGCCAAATTGTCGACTTCGAAGAGTCGATTTTCCGTTGCGTTTTCACTTCATTGATCGTTTTTCCGTGGATGTTGTTCACAATATGGCTTCTAGCTCGCGGTGTAAGCTTTGGTTTTGGTCCTGGCTTCTTCTTTGGTGCAGAAACGAACTCGGACTTTATATAATTCCGCACGGCAGAGTCGGATCGGCCCAAATTTTTTGCGATTTTCCTTATTGAGTCGCCAATCCTCAAACGGGCATCAATCTGGCCTTTCTCATAATCCGTGAGCAGCTTTCCGTGTGCCATTTATCTGGAAATTAACAAAATTATAAATTTAATAAAAAAATATGCACAACAAAACGAAAAATTTCAAATAACAACAGCAAGGGCGGGTGCGTTTAAGAATTTGAAACGGTTGATTTAGCAAAAAGTTTCTATTTTGAAAATTTTTGTTTTTTACAGTATGCTTATTTTTCGTGTTATTTAGGTTTTAAGACATGCTCTTTCTAATAGAAAAAAGATTAATAGTTGTAGCGGTGGTCAAAATGCAAAATTCGCTATTTTAGAGGGTGCGTTTAAGAATTTGAAACACACTGTATTTCGTAGATTTTTCATATTTCATAGATTCATAACTCTTCTGTAGAAAAAGAGTAGACCTTTCTAATGAATTACTAAACAATTGTGAAAGCTGGACTGAATGGATTGTTAAACACTTGAATATCTCATACTAGACATGTGCCTTTTCGATTCGCTCGTCGATTTGTGTACAACGAGAATTCACGTTTTAAGCCCTTTAAAATCGACCTTTTCAAACGTTTTTTATCGTTGGATAGCATTTTACAAGCTAGAGCTCTAATAGTGAAAAAAAAGGCTTGAAAAAGTCCATTTTAAAAGGGCTCAAGATGTGAATTTCTGCTGTATACTTATCGAGGAACGAATCGAAAATGCACATGTCTATCTCATACCATTCTAGGGTTTTGCCAGCTACTTTTTCATGCCACTGATTGTCATTTTTGATTCATTTGTCTTCTTTCTGATGCGACGTCGATATCGAAATTTCCAAAAGGAACAAAAACATCAAGCGAGTCAAACAAAAGCTCGAGATCTTCGAAGAGAGTACAAGTTGGCACTTCAGGTAGGAGATTATCAAATTGACAAATAGGAGATTATCTGTAATGATAACTTCCCAAAATTTCAGATGGGAACAAACGCGGTGGCTTTGTTGTGTGTAATTTTCTCCAAATTTGCTAAAGTACTCCTTGTCGACGCATTTAGTTATTGGTTTGCCTCGACGGCTTTCTTGTTGCTCACTTGTTTGCTTTCAAAGTAAGTAAGGACTAAAGTTTTCCTAAAATGTAGCAATGGATGACTTCATAAAAGTTCATTTAACTGAAATAGCTTATAGAGTAATATGGGAATCAAATTTGATTTCAGGTATTGAACAGGTATTGAACAGAATTGAATAAACTTTTCAGCATTTCATACGCTCTTTTGCTCCGCGATTCAACCTCGAAGAAAACCGAGAAAAAGGCCATAATTTCGATTGGAGCAAATTCTTGAATAAATTCTTTATTTATTGAGTCGGTGGGTATGAAATGTCGCTACTTTTTCTATTGATTGCTAAACTCGTAAAAAAACGAAGGTGGTGCTGTTGCGTGAAACTAATAAAGTCAAGAACCCTTTTTCAAAGACAATGAAACCTTCCTCACTTTCTGTTATTTCGAACTTTTGACAACTCTGTTTTTGAAATTTTACTAACTGATACTTGACTTTGTTTTAACTATTGAAAATCTACCATTTGGACATCTGCGACACGTTATGTTGTACGAATTTCTACAAGAACACAAGGGCCTCTAATGCTCAGCAGAGAATGTTTATGTGAACTGCGGACAGGCTCCACTACGGACATGTGCAAACTGGTTTCCGTTCTGGGGATATACGCTCGAAGACAAGGACCGCTGGATGGCCACGCGGTCATCCAACGGTCCAGCTGGATAATGCCAAGTTGCTCAAAATTTTTCAAACCAACAAAAGGCTTTCTTTTCGCTAAATAGCAAAGGAGTTATCAGTTGGTCATATAAAAATACTCGAGCATTTGCATAAACTTGGGTTTAAATCGAAATTAATTGGATTTGGATTCTCCATGATTCGAAATTACTTGGACTTGGATTTCAAATGATTTAACAGACACCCAGAAATGGCAACGTGTCGCTCAATCAGTGTCGCTCCTCTTTCTTGATTCAAGCGCAAATCCTTTTTATCCCATATTTTGACAAGGGATGGAAATGGATTCGAACTTTCAACTTCCGGTGAAAGCGTCAATGGGTTGCTGAGGGGGGAAAGACCGAACCCGGCATCAAGCCAAATGTGCATGAGAGGAAGTTGACGCTCTCGGTGTTCTGGGATTTGGAAGAGCTTATCTACTGGGAAATTTTGGATAGCAAGACAATACTTAACTAAATCAAATACTCCGAGCAACTTAATAAGTCAACCAAATCTTTGCCAGAGAAAAGACTCCAAAGAGAAAAATCATCCGCAATCAATCATCATCAACATGATAATGCTAGATCACATGTTTCGATGACTCGTTCTAGAGTAAACTCACTTGGTTGGGAGGTGATGGCGTATCCGGCATACAGTCCAGATCTTGGATTGATACACGTTTCGCCGAACCACGTTTTTGCCGAATAACGTTTCGCCGATCTCACGTTTCGCTGAATCTTTTTCTTAAATGTTGGTTTGTCTGATTTTTTGTGACAGAAGGATCTTCGGATCTGGACGTCTTTTGTGATATCTCTGTGACATCTCTGTGACATCTGTGACATCTGACAGACAATCAGGACTTATGACCTGATTGTCTTCCTTCTTTCTTTCTTCTTTCTTTTTTAAGATACTTTTTAAAAATCAATATTCTTTCACTAATTTTTACTAATCCTTTTATTAAATGCAATGAGTTTCTTTGTGCCGCTATACCCCAGCGGGTAGGCAAATTTGATTACTTCCTTAGGTTTGCAAAATCAACAAAGTTTAAGGGACTAAATTGCGATGCAGTAAGACAAATGTTACAAGGAATTTGTAAAAACCATCAAAAAAATTAGTTTTATTTTTGTTTTACCTCAAAACAATATAGGTTTAAAGCTAAACTTTGACATTTAGGCAATCAGAATTTGCATTTAAGAAAAATTCAGCGGAACGTTAATTCGGCGGAAGGTTATTCGACGAAACGTTACTTTCTCCTGTTCTGGCACTTCTGATTACTGCTTATTCCGGGCGATGAGCAATGATTTGGCCAACAAATGCTTTGATTTCAAAAATGATGTCAAAAAGTGGCTCACGGATTGATTCGGATCAAAAATTCTACTAGAGAGGCATCTTTGTCAATAAAATGGGCTTAAGTCATTCAAAATAATAGAGGATATTTAGAATGATTGCGGGTAAAATATTCAATAAATCAGTTGTTTATTTTGTTTATTTTTAGCTACCTTTCATACTCATCAACCCAATATCTTTAATAAATTATCTTGCGCAGATTCATTAAACTTGTAGATCCTGAAATGAGTACTTTGCTAGGCGAAATTCAGTTTGTACGCGAAAGTTTTTTCAAGAGTCAGAATGACTCTTGAAAAAATGATGCTGATCGTTTCTTGCGAAGAATATGTGCGTGGGATTGTTCTAAAGCAAAAAATACAAAGTTTAATTCAAGCTAAGTAAACAGAGTACAATTTGGCCAATAATCTTCTTTGTGAGTTATTTATTGTTGTAAGCTAGCTATTGCTGTAAGTTAGTTATTGTTAAATCGAACCGTAAATTGTGTTTGCTGAAATTCCCCAACCCAGAGGCTTCTCGAACGCAAACTATCAACGATTCAAAAACATAACGATTCAAAAACACTTTATGAAACTTTTCTATGGCGATTTCGTAACAGATAAATGTTATTTTCAGATCACATCATGAAACTTCTAAATGTTGAGTAAGTTTCCTAAGCTGAATAGTTGAAAAACCCGTAAACAGAGAGTCCAAAAAAGCCAAAGTGATAGTGGAAAAGCTGTACATATAAAGACGTCTTATCGCCAAAATCCCAAGTCACCACTCGATTTTCTGCTCAATCAATACTATATGGAAAAGGATTTACTCCAAAAAATTGTCATTCTTTCTAAAGCGGAGAAATTTTCGACCAAAATCTGTGATCTCACTCTTCAAGTTACCATCAAGGCTTTCAGAGCGGAGAGGCCACTCTTTTCTGGTGAGAGCATTGATGTGGCGAAGAATGCCCTCTTGAAATCTTCATCTTGGTTTGAGCCTGCTTATAAGCAGTATTCTATTGGAATCAATTTGGATCAAAGACAAAAAGCTCAAATGTCACTTTCTGGGTTCAAATTTATGATCGATGAGTTAAGAGGTGACTCAGACGCCATTTCCGAGTCACAGGAACTTCGGGTTAGTCCACTTTGAAAATTTGATTGAGAAGAAAAATTTATTGCATTCGTTTCATTTTAATAGACATTTATACCTTCAAAAGCCCAAAATCCAGTTTTTTTCCTTGTTTTAATGACTTACTGTAAATACTGTAACCCCACCCTCCTCGTACAGTCGCGTAGTCGCAAATGTTTTTAGTATTTCATTTTTTTCAAAGCGCCCGTCCTTTCAAAAAATGCGTATTTGGTATCAAAAAATAGCCCTGAATTTGAGCTATTTTTTGATATCTAAGCGCGCATTGTAGCATAAAACAGTGTCGAGAAAAACTCGTTCAAAGCTAGACTACACAACGCTCCGCACCGTCATTATGGGGGTGCGGTACTATTACAGTATTTACGGTAGGTAACTCTCTTAAGTATTTGACTGACATCAAGCAATCTCATTTCAGCGTCTCGAAGAAGTCCTCGTGAGTGAACCAGTGAAATGCATAGAGCAATACATTGTGAACACCACTGGACTTGAACCTGAAAATGTGACTCCAGAAAGGATAAATTTTGAGAATATTCCTAAATCTCATTTCTGGTGGTTTTATGAAGAAGAAGAAGACGAGGATGAAAAAGAAGACGAAGAATTCGAAACTCTACCCTGCTTTTAAAAATGTGATAAACCCTTTCTATTAGCTAGCTAGCTAGTTTCTAGTAGCTAGCTTAGAAGATATTAACTATAAGAAAAGAGTACACAATTAGAAAGTAATCCTTTGCAACATTTACCACATTTTTTTACATGTGCTTCCTAAAAATTCTTCAGATTGTGATGCTTGAATTTCTTTTGGTTTTCGGTTTTGCTCCCACATAGCTCTACAGGTTTCAATGTAGAGAAATGCGGGAAACAGGTCTCTTTTTTTAAATCAAAATAAAATTTTCAGATAATGGAAAGAAACGGCAGCACGACAACACTCGACAGCCGCAATTTAAGAAAATCTCAAAAGAAAAGACCAAAACGGGTACAAGAGCGTTTACTCAAAAAACAAATGACCAAACGTTACACAAAGTGGGTAGAAACCGTGCACCGAATCCAAAAATATTACTATCTTTCTTTTCATGGAACTCAATTTCATGATCTCACTGGTTTCGATGAAGAATTACGCATCACGAAAATCTTGTTCGCTATGTTTGGATGTTCATCAAAAGCTTATTCAAAGGAACAACGCGATATGGCTAAAGAAATTTATCTGAGAATTTCCGAAGAAGTCAAACAAAGCCAAGAAGAAAAAGTTTGAGCTCGCCGTAGTTTTTGTTTGCTACTTATCAAAAGAGGAGAAAACGTTTCACCAAAGAACATTTCCTGTTTTTTCGATTCCATGGAATGATTCAGTGTTTAATCGTCGATTCATAGACACGAATTGTGAAGTTTATGCAAACTGGGAGAGCTGGCAAACAAATATTCGCCATCTTTTGTGCTGTTACCCAAAATATGGCTTTTATTCGTGTGACGATAATGGGTCCTTTCAGTTTGATCCCAATGAAGGCCCCGTTTTGAAATTTAACTACCTAAAGACAATGAGTTGGCCAAACTTATCCAACGATCTCTTGCATTACTTTGGATTCAACTCATCTCCCTTATCAAATCATTTCTTTGATGGACAACTTTTGATGGGATTGTGCTGTAGTACAATTTTTCCAACCCTAAATGAAAGCTCACTACTTTTGAATGATGGGAGACTTTCCAGGAATCTTGTTCGAATCAATGCAATGTTATCGACTTTGGCTTCACCCGAACACTATTTCAAAGCTTTATTCGATATCACGACAAAAGATCAAAACTATCAAGTTGTGTACACAAAAATGCAACGACTTTTGGCAGCCGTATTATTGGCCATTGATCTTTCAAAGGGGTTTCCTGATAAGTATTCTCTGATAGAAGCTTTCTTTTTTCTGATCAGTATATTGAGCATGTTTGATCAAAAAAATTTATCCAATTTAAACTTTTATCACTTTTCGATGCGCACTTACTTTTTCACTAATACATTCGTCAGCTCTAAAGATGCGCGGGAGATTATTTTCAAATTTGACAAGCTAAACCTCAAGTTGCTAGCTTCTAAAATGAGCGACGTGAAAACAAAAATGATATTTGAAAAATTTTTGGCTCGAAATCCACAAAAAAGAGACGACAGACGGGTTGTCAGAGCCGTGAATTTTATCGACAATCCAGTAAAATTCTTCAGCACAATCTCAGAGCTGCAATATTCGGTAACTCTCGACCGATTGAACAAATTGGATAGAGTTGTGATTTTGACTGACCCAGAAAGCTTTTCGCAGACGCTAGACCTCAAGAATAAAAAGTTGGTTGAAGTCTTTAATTAATTCTTAAAATTACCTAAATTTTATTGTTAAACGAGCCAGGATAAATATATTAGGTTGTCCAGTTATAAATACGCGATTTTAAGATAACAACTCTTTATTTTAAAAGCAACACTTGAACAGCTCAATCAATATCTTCATTATCTGCTAACAATATTTGTTTTCATCTTCTATGCAAAGAATGAATTCTCTCGGCATAAAAATTGGCTAGTTTTGAGGCAAAGAATTCGGCTAACCATTTTTCGACCTCTTGAACATCTTGAACAACATTTTTGAACTTATTTCCAGTCAAATGGTTTTGCATCGAGCGAATTTAATGGTAAACCAAAGGAGAAATATCCGGAAAATATGGCGGATGCGGAAGCGGTTCCCAGCCCTACTCTTCATGTTTTCACATCGTCATTTTCTGCAAGCAACGGATAGCTTTCCGAGGGAGAGATATCCGGAGAATATGGGGGATGCGGGAGAGGTTCCAAGCCCAACTCTTCGAGTTTTTCTTGAACAACCTTTGCAACGTGTGGACGGGCGTTATCTTGAATGAACTTTATTTTTGAAGGATCAAAGTCTTTTTAAAGCAATACATTGTTCACTCGTTTCAGTTGTTGTGAACACGTTTCACCCGTGACTGTAAGTCCAGATTGGAGCAGGTCAGAACCAACAACACCTTGGGAATTCCACCAAACCGTAAGCATTACTTTCTTGCCGTGGAGGTCGGGTTTTGGTGTTGGCATTGGCTCTTCACTAGGTTCTAGCTATTGCCGTTTTTGTGTAGAATTATCATAATGAATCCATTTTTCATTACAAGGAAGGATTTCCTCCTAAAACCCAGTATTTTTTGCCAAACGAAGAAGAATACCCGTCATGGTTACATGTAGCTTTATTGACATCACTGAGAAGATGAGGAACCCATTTCCCTTGACGGCTCGCTTGCCCCAATTGATGTAAATGTTTGGAAATTTTTTGAGGGCTTACTCTAAATATTTCTGCAAGTTCACATGTAGTTTGTCGAGGATCAATTTCAATCGCCTGCTTCAGTACTGCATTATCGAGTGCAGGAGGTCGTCGTTGGTGGTCCTCATCTTCCAAAGATTCATTTTCTTCTCAAAACAGTTGAAATCATCGGCGACACTGGCTTTCCGAAAGAGGATCTTCCCCAATTACTTTGCAGAGGTCTCGAGGAGATTCAGAATGATTCAGCGGCGTTTTTTGACCAATTTGAAGTCATACCAAAGGCTGGCACAGAGGCGAAACTTCGTGTCGATCATCTAAACACAGAAATTAAATCAAAAATGATTTGGCTTCCCGCCAAAAACATGAAAAGTTTTAATAAATAAGAAATCCTGAACAGGATATAGAGAATTGGGTTTGATCAAATTGTATAGCTTTCAGGTGTGCTGTTCAAGAGCATTCATAACTCTGCATTCATAATTGGACAACCTAATAATATTTGAACTGAATTCCGTAACAACATTTTATTTTAGGGTTAAATTCACTACTAAATCACAATTCTCCGCGAAACACAAATTTCTTCAGCCAACTCGTCTGAAGAAAGCACTAGGAAGACATGTACAGCAGCACCGATACCTCTCAATGGCAAATAGTCAAGAAAAAGGGCGGATAAATAATGTGATTGGCGCGGCGGCAAATTTTTGTCGAGATACCGTTAAAGTAGCGGAGAAGCTGGCTGATGAAATTGGTGCAGAGTTAAAGAAACAAACGACTCCTGGAGAGTTTTTGTCTCTGATCGAAATAATCGTTGCCGAGAAAAGTAAGTTTTAAAATGATTGAAACTCTCATGCCAAAATTTAGAAAAAGCCACCTACGATTTCGAAGATAACTCCATTTTTCAGCTGTTCAAAATGGCGATTCTAAGAGACTTGGTGATTATTGATGGAGTTGAGCAAACCCTAGAGCTTAATTCTCTTAAGCTGAAATTTGCCGACAAGTTTCTGGCTCTTTATCACTACCGGAAGCATGGCGACGAGTTTATGGAAGGTTGTCCTTTGACATACTATTTAGGAGAATTGCCACAAGCTCTTCTCAAAAAAGGAAAGCTTTCTGAAATTTGTCGAGTGACAACTATCAAAGAGGTTGGACTATTTTTAGCAACATATCCAAAAGAATTTCTTCAGGATAACACTCAAGAAATTTTCTATCGTCAGACGTACATCTTGCAAAATGATTCTATGCTGGTCACAACGCAATCAATCTCAAATTCAAGTGCGAGAATCAGCACAATTCACAAAAATCGCGGTGTCTCCGCCAAATATCAAAATCGAATTGACGAGTTTGCATGCGGAGATCTTGCAAGCGATACAAAAGAGCTTTTGGACAAAATGATCACTCTACGAATTTCATTTGAGAGAGAGGATTTTGTTGATGCACAAGCACAAGCTGCTGAAAATATAATTGATCTTGTTGAATAATTAAAGTTTGAAATAAATTTATTTCTGAAGATATTTGAGGATAGTTAGGTATGCATTATATCGTAAATTTTCTTTTCTGGCTCATGTACCGAATTCTGATCAAATGATCGAAGATGTCAGTGTAAAGAAATATTCTTTGCGTGCTTGGTACTCTTCACTCAAGACACGCTATTTCTTGTTTCGAGGTATCTGATCTGAACTAAAAACACTTTATTCAATAGCCGATTGACTCGGAATCTTTGGGCTCTGTGGCGAGTTGCCACTGCTGAAGTGCGCAAGTGTTAAAGTAATTGTGATATGCCAGTTTGCTCCAGTTTGAGCGAAGTTTCCCCCAATAAGGGAAAGTTTTGATAAAGATTTGGTTCCTTTTCTCTACAGATTTGTTCCTTTTCTCTACAGATTTGGTTTCTTTTCTCTATTGTGCGTTTTCAAGACATCTACCATTGAACCACACCGAGACACGGTCTCACAAGAAATTATAAAGATCAAAGTATAAATATATTTCTTATAGGCTCTCACTTGAGCAACTTTCACACAAGATCGACAATTGAATTAAAAGTGACGATAAAAACAGAAACAATTTCGTTCTAATTAGGACACAACTTCCACACGATGAAAGGAAAGCAGAAAGAAAATGAAAGATAACAAAAAACAAAATGAACAACAGTTGCCTTATATAAGAAAAAAAAAGAAAAAAAAAAAAAAAAAAAAAAAAAAAAAAAAAAAAAAAAAAAAAAAAAAAAAAAAATTAAATGAGTTGTTGGGGGTGTTTGTTCGAGTAGGCTTTAACACAAGATACTCGGCTAACAAGCTACAAAACAATAAATGATTTGGGACGCGAAATAGAATGAAGGCGCACCGATTTCCTCAATACTTTTCCAATTTTTAGGCTGTCAGAGTTAGATAACTTTTAGTGGCTATTCGCCACAGTCAGTTGATCGTTTTTTTTAATTTTATTTTCTGTTCGTTGGGTGTGTGATTTGATGGGTCTAGTTTTTGAAGAATCTTCGGTAAACTAGTCTCACTCCAATGTGAGATATCTTTCCAGTGGTTTAATTGATTGTGTGTACAAAATTAAGCATTTTTCTAGATCTTCAACAATATCCGCGAATATCACAAAAAAGAAAAATGTTTCCTCCAAAGTTCAAAGTTCTTTTTTTGCTTTCATTTTCTAAGTTTTCTTCTAACTCTTCACCTTCCATATAATCCCAACGGAAGCTTTCTAGCGTAGGCAAAATATATATATGTCGTTGCCGAAAAGGCAAAAATTTGAGGTTTTTGAAATTTAGAAAGGAGATCGTCGTGTGTCCTCTGTGCGCGAGCATAATCGCGCTCGGTCTGGCATACTAAGCTTGCTGATATAGTTCCCTTCCTTCTTGCAAATCGGAAGCGTCCATTATGGGTCATCCGGTAGCCAATCCGTTGTCTGCCCCATGTGGTCACCGCTTCCCAAAATTAACCCCGGCTGTAGAATTGGCAAACCCAGTTCCGGCTCATTTTGACCACTATGGCGAGTTCTTCGTCGGTCGAGATGGGATCCCAAGTGCCTGTAAAAGGGTGCTGAAGGGGGCCGCTGTGAATTTTTGGATTCATCCCAAGGATTTCGGTCCGTAGGGGCAGCAAAAACAAAAGACAAAAAGTTCTTAGAACTTTTTCTCCCTTTTATTTCTGGAGCCTCAAAGTTGGCAGTCAGGAGTTGCTTGGCGCGGTACTTGTTTTTGATGGTTTTCATCTCATTTGATTTTTCATCTTCAGAAAACCCCAAAGATTGAGTATCTTTGAACGCTTTCGTTTTAGCGATACGTTTTAAACATTACCAAACGAATCGGAAGGTAACGTGACCCTCAATTAGGCAAAATTTTGCTATTTTGGGAATCTTGGTTTCATATGGGTCCCATGGGTCAAGAGATGACCCCGTAAACCGAAAATTTTCGTTTTCCAGTTTCTGTTAAATGTGAATCTTTAAGCTTTAAGTAAATGTATCCCAATAAAACTAAATTTAGCGCTGAAACATTCATAATCATCAAAAATTTTGAATTGCGGCTCTTTGAAATACCGCTCTTTGAAATGCCGATCATCAAAAACAAGTTCCGCGCCTAGTAACTCCTGGCTGCCAACTTTGAAGTTCTAGAAAAAAGGCAGAAAAAGTTTTTTCGCCAAATCTAAGAATCCAGCGTAGGAAAATATTTAAATTTTCTATTAAAACAAAGCGTGAGATGATTGTGAATCTGAGTGTTGAGTTACACTTAAAATACCGAATCTGGGTAATTATTGAATACCCTGTATTCAACTTACAAGAAAAGGTGCACAAACTGCTTGAATAGTTTCTTGCAAAACGTTTTGCAATCGCAAGCCTCTGTAAAAAATTAGGTACTTCTTTAGTATCGGAGGTAATGATTTTGGCGAACTTGTGTTACTAATTTAGTTATCTCAAAATTGTTCAACTTTAAAGCATTATTAGATAGCTTAGGCTTTGTAGCTTCTGATAGTTTTTAAGTTTTTCAAAATCTCTCACAAAAGAAGTGTTGAGATTGCGAGTGGAGGTTTGGCAAGATACTAAAGAAATACGAAAAATTACTCTAAATTTTGGACTCCTTATGAGGGCGCTATCCAAACAAATTCGACCATTTGATCTGATCACTTTTGACACTTTGAACACGTGGAAACACTTTGATCCACGTTTTGACAACAATGAAAACAACAAAACGGGAAACGGATTCAAGATAGCCCATAGCCGATTCTATAAAATCTAGTAATTCTCGATTCAAAAGGCCAGTTTCATTCCGCAATCTTTCCTTACTAATCAAAAAATTTTCTGTTAGTGTTGAGCATTATCTTGCCAAACTTGTTCTAAATATTCATTACCAATCTAGAAAACTAGGCGTTTAGAAAAGACCTGGAGAGCTTGGAAATCTTGAATCTTAGAAAAGACCTGGAGAGCTTGGAAATCTTGAATCTTAGAAAAGACCTGGAGAGCTTGGAAAATCAATTCTTCTCAATGTTGATTTTGGACAAAGGACAACGGTTGATACTCAATTTGATCAAAAAATTTCTATTATTGTTGAGCTAAAGGTTTTAAAAACTGTTATTAGATATTAAACTAATCTATTGAATCACTATTTAACACGAAAATCGGCGCCAATTATGGAAAACCGCTCATGGAAAGCGGTAGCTTTAAGCTTTAAGTTGAAGTGCTACAGTGAAAATGCTAGACATGTCCGCGAATTTCGTTTATAACTCAAACGTGCGAAAACAGCAGTGTCATTCTCCTATCATAAAGCGGTAAAATAACTCTTCGATCATGAATGGGAAAAGATTTGGAAAAGAAAAGAAAAGACTGACTGAACAGGTGGTCGCTCACAAGGGGTGAAAAGCGGAAATCACCCATTGAGTGAGGGCAATGAGCACTGAAAACAACGGAGATTCACTGCTCAAGCAGTTTGCACAATGAAATATTTGCAAATACTACGATCAGCTTTGATTTTATTATAGTTGTAAAGCTCTATGAAGTCTTTTTTTCTGCTAGCTCAAGTTTTCGTATTATTGGGTTGGTGAATTGAAAACTGCCGGCTATTGTCATATGTGACAGTTTGAGCACTTTCTTCAAAAGAAATCCATTCTGGTGTCAATGGAAAAGCTGTAGAAAATCAAAAATGAAGCTTATATCCAAATTTTCAGAACGATTCAAAAACTGGTTTTCAAGAAATGCAAAATTTACGAATTTTCACAGAATTTGCATTTTAGGCGAAACTACTGAGTGTATCTTTTTGGAAATTTGGATATAAGCCTGATTTTTGATTCTCTACAACTTTTCTATTGACACCAAAATGGGTTTCTTTTGAAGAAAGTGCTCAAACTGGGCTGACAGCTGACATCTCCAGTCCTCCATTTTCGAGTCTCACACTTGTCTCACACACAAACCAAAATCCTACTACGAAAGAGGAATCCGCAAATTGCCTGTAAAATGGGCAGAAATCGTCAATAATACAGGAAATTATTTGGAATGAATTGATGGTTTTATGTTGAATAAATTTTAGTTCAAAGTCCCGCAGTTTTCAATTCACCAACCCAATAGATTCTAGTTCTTGTCCCTGATTAACAGCCATTTTAACTCCGCTCCTTTTTCGTCCGTTTGCCGGTAGATATGAGGTAGATATTTGGGTCATACTAGGCTGAAACTTGGGCTCAAGGTTACTGTAGCTGAAGTAGAAGAGTACTGTAGCTATTCTTTGTCAAATATGGATTTCTGGGATCACTAGAATTTTCGCTATAACACTACACTAACACAACACAATTCTCCGCTATAACACTAGAATTCACTAGAATTCTCCGAATAACTCCGCCACTTTTTCGGTCCGTTGGCCGTTGGCAATCTACAATTTTAGACACCTTGACTGGATTCGTTTGAAAAGCGTTGAATTTTCTTTCATTGATTTCCTTGATAGAAAATTTGATTTCAAGGCGAATAAAAGCAAATTAAACGTTTTTCAAATAAATCTGTCTAACAAGGGAATGACCAGAAGTGACCGTGGGATGAATGATATTGATTGGATTTGATTTTGATGAATCTCATCATGAATGTTGATGAGCAAAAAAATTAGCTGCCAAGAGTACTCTACCATGAGAAATGGGGCTGACTAAAAGCACTAGAAGGCTGCCTAGAAGCAAAAATCACGTTTTTGACCCTCCTTGAGAGAGCTGAAACTTTTTAATCAATCAATATTTCTGAATAATCTCTTTTGCATGTAATAGAACTTGAATGAAGCTCAAAAGTAGAGAATCTCAAGAGCTTTCGAATCGGCCAAAGTACACCCAAAAATAGCAATGCTAAAGAAAGTTACTGTGGTTTATAGTCGAAAGAGAGTACTCATGCGTAGTCGAAGCGATCGACTCAGGCGACAAATCACTGTAACTTTCCTTAATGCTAATATTTTTGGGTGTGCTTCAGTCGATTCGAAAGCTCTTGAGATTCTCTATTTTTTGAGCTACAGATCATACCAATCTAGAATATTTGAAGGAAACTAGAAGCGTTTTTAGTTTACGTTTGTAGATTACGTTTGTAGTTTGTCGTACCCATGTCTATTGATCGTTTTAACCTTGCAGGATCACATTTTGCCCTTGCAGGATCACATTTTGTTGGGCTATTATTTAAAAATACGTTACTTAACAACAATCCTTTTGGTTGAGAAGAGTAACTTTTCAACATTGAGCCGTAATCATCAAATCTTGAGTCCAATTCCAAGTATTGAGCTCAAATCACCTATTGCCAATCATACAAATCTTTCACTTTCACGGCTTTCACGAACCGCAGCCGTCTTTTGCGAGGATCTCTTTTAGTTTACACCCCTTTCCCTTCTTTCAAACTTTTCCCAGCTTCGATCCTAAAAGAATCACTCTTTGTTTTTTCATCTTTCGCTTTTCATCTTTGTCTTTTCATCTTGGTCTTTTCATCTTTGTCTTTTCCTTAACTTCGTGGTGGTTTTGTTCTGCTTCAATTTCAGTCCGTTTTCTTTCTTTTAAAGCATGTGTCACAAAACAGCCGACCTCTGAATTTATAACACTCACACATGGCCAAATACACGAGACAAATCAAGTCCGCATGTTCTCCTCTCGATTTTATTGAAAGCTGTTGACTCGTAAAATTGGCCAAGGCTAAGAAGCAAAGGTTTTTGCTATTTGTAGTTCTTTTTTGTGCTCTCTTTTGCTATTTGTAGAAAAACAGTTACTGTAAGATTTATGGAGTAACTGTTTGAACTCGATTCTTTGGCATTTGAACTCGTTGAACTCTAATTTGTACTGGATTTTGTACTCTAACTGTACTCTAGCTGTACTCTAGCTGTACTCTAGCTGTACTCTAACTGTGCTCTAGCTGTACTCTAGCTGTACTCTAGTTGTACTCTAGATGTACTCTGGCTGTACTCTAGCTCTACTCTAACATTTGAAATTCATTCTGAATTTGTCCAAGTCAAGCCAGAGTCATCTGGTGCTTCATTTTTTGAACTATCAGACCATTTTTTTGGACCAATGGCTAACAATCCCAGTGTTTGGCCTTATTATAGGCCTATTCTGAACAACTTAGCTTCTATAGGTTCTATGGCTTCTTGTCATACTTTTAAGTTCCAGTTTCAGTTGAAAACCATTTCAAGCTGATACCCAAAACACTCAAATCTCAGCTTTCATCTATTCAACATCTATTCAAGCGCAATCCAATCAACCTTTGAAAACTGTGCTCTACAAAGCTAACAAGCTATTCATGAATGGACCAAATTCGATAGCAAAAAGCTTCTTAATCTTCACTTTATTATTCGTCGTCGAATCGATCGATTTGGACCCAACATCAACTGGTAAGAAAACCAATGCAGAAAACCAATTTAAAGCCTTTAATTACTCAATTTCTAGAACTTGACCTTCTTGATTGGTCGGGTGGGATTCGAGTGGCTTTTTGTACAGATGCTCCTCTACCCGATGTGATCTCACCCTTCAGAAGAGCTTTATCGAAAATTACCACCAAATATTGTCAAAATGTCACCGCTTGCAATTTGAAGAAACAGTGAGGGAAACAATCAGACAAATAGAAACGTGGAAACGATTTCAGAGTCGTTTTCCAACCCGAACAAATCTTGTTCATCGATGGTTTTCCAAGAAGAGAATTTGGAGAGCTTCATCTCAAATTTCTCATCGTTCTACCGCATAGTTCGGTTTTGGAAACGAGACAACAACGGCCATTACTGCCAAGACAAGTTATTTCAGGTAATCTTATATATATTTTTTCAGTGATAAGCAAAATTTTTGAAGTTTTACTTGTTTATTAAATGAAAAAGAGCCTTTGAAATCGATGTGGATTAGATGAGAAATTGGGATGAGCTTGGGATAATTACTTTGTGATTATTGAAGCAGATACTGGGTCCACATTAAACCAGTTACCTCAATTGATACCTAAGCCTAGCCTAGCCTAAGCCTAAGCCTCAGCCTGAGACTAGTTCCACATTCGAATCAGTTACCTCAGTTGGTACCTAAGCCTAGCCTAAGCCTAAGCTTGAGCCTAAGCCTAAGCCAGATCTACATTCAAATCAGTTACCTCAATTGATACCTAAGCCTAGCCTAAGCCTAAGCCTAGCCTAAGCCTAAACCTCAGCCTGAGTCAGATCCACATTCAAATCAGTTACCTCAGTTGGTACCTAAGCCTAAGCCTAGCCTAAGCCTAAGCCTAGCCTAAGCCTAAGCCTAGCCTAAGCCTAGCCTAAGCCAGATCCACATTCAAATCAGTTACCTCAATTGATACCAAATTTAATCAGCATTCAAATCTGTTTCTAACTAACAGAACGATAAGCCAAATTGAGACATGTTGGGAAAACATCGAGGAGAACTCGCCAGCCGACTCGGATGGAATATTCTTTCGTATGAACGGTAAGCAGTGGAATTGAGTGGTGAACAATTCAAATACAGTCGACTTTCTCTATAGTGGAATGGAAGGGACTTTATATAGAGCTTTCCGTTATATAGAGCTTTCCATTATCTGGAGCTTCCGTTATCTAGATAGAGAATTTAAAGTCCAAAATTTTTTCGTTACAAGTTCCGTTATAAGTTTGCCGAGTTCTTCAATCGCATTTACATAAGTGTTTTATTCATTTCTGAAAATGAATTCATAATAAAAACAATGCAATTGTACCAATTTTGTTAAATTAAACTTGCTTTACGGTTAACGGGGCGGTAAGTTTTTTGACCAACTTGCAGTTCATTTTTAACTACCTTAAACTTGTCAGATCAAAAAGTTTTTAAAAGATTTAGATAGTTTAGAACGTCAGCTTTCAGAAACTATTTGTTTTATCAAAAGTTATTGACAAAAACCTATTTGAAATTGGACTGCAAGTTGGCCAAAAACCCACCAAAAAACTATCCGTAAAGAACCCCAAGCTTTTAAAAAGTTGTAAAAAAATTCGTTATCTTGCTTTGCTGAGAACGATGGAGGCGAATATCTTCAAAACATTCTTTCATTTTTCAAAAGATTCTTTCATTCCAAAACAATTTTTCAAGCTCCATAGCTTTAGAGGTGCCGTTTTTCTCTGAAAATTTCTCAAAAATTTCAACAGCTTGACTTCTACTTCTTCTACTTCTTCTACTTCTAGTTCTTCTACTTCTTCTACTTCTTCTACTTCTAGTTCTTCTACTTCTTCTACTTCTTCTACTTCTAGTTCTTCTACTTCTTCTACTTCTTCTACTTCTAGTTCTTCTACTTCTTCTACTTCTTCTACTTCTAGTTCTTCTACTTCTTCTACTTCTTCTACTTCTAGTTCTTCTACTTCTTCTACTTCTTCTACTTCTTCTACTTCTTCTAGTTCTTCTAGTTCTTCTACTTCTTCTACTTCTTCTAGTTCTTCTACTTCCTCTACTTCTTCTATTTCTTCTACTTCTTCTAGTTCTTCTAGTTCTTCTACTTCTAGTTCTTCTAGTTCTTCTACTTCTTCTACTTCTACTTCTTCTAGTTCTTCTAGTTCTTCTACTTCTTCTACTTCGTCTACTTCCTCTACTTCTTCTATTTCTTCTACTTCTTCTAGTTCTTCTAGTTCTTCTACTTCTTCTACTTCTTCTACTTCTACTTCTTCTATTTCTTATACTTCTTCTACTTCTTTTACTTCTTCTTCTTCTTCTACTTCTTCTACTTCTTCTTCTTCATCATCATCTTCTTCTTCTCCTTCTTCTTATTTCATCTTACATCTTCGTTTCGAAAAACTTCATCTTCTTATCTCTACTATAGATAGGGTGGCTGATAATTATGTGCGCGTGGTTTTCTTTTCGTTGACAGCTGAAAACATCTTTCTAAGAAGCTTATGTTTAAAAAGTAGCTACCGTAAATACTGTAATAGTACCGCATCCCCCTCGTACAGTCGCGTAGTCGCAAATGTTTTTTAGTATTTTTTTTTTGCAAAGCACCCGTACTTTCAAAAAATGCGTCTTTGGTATCAAAAAAATAGCTGAAATTCAGGGCTATTTTTTGATACCTAAGCGCGCATTGTAGCATAAACCAGTGTCGAGAAAAACGCGTCCAAAGCTAGACTACGCAACGCTCCGCACCATCATTATGGGAGTTGGGATTCTATTACAGTATTCACAGTATTTATACTTAGCCACTATGTAAATATAAAATATTACGTAATATTGAAGAGCTTAGCGGTAAATTAGTCGATTTGATGACTGAAAATCTTGACTATTCCGTTATACAGAGACCTCGTTATATAAAGCCGTTAAATTCCAAATTTTTCCTCCTTTATAGAGATTTTTCGTAATATAGAATCGTGCTATATAGTTTTTTATCTTTAAAATAGCTTAGCGTTGGCCGGGATCAAAATTCCATTCCGTTATATAGAGCTTTCCGCTATATAGAGCTTCGTTATAGAGATAGTCACTGTGTAGAATATCAATTCTCCAATTCAATTCTCATTTTTGCCAGTGACAGATTTAAAGCTCCATTTTATAGGTACCCCCGTTTCGATCCAATGACCGAATTCATGAACATCGCCATCATTCCAATCATCATTTTCTCGATTCCACTAATGATCTTCTTGGCCTATTGGACTTCAACGCTAAGGTTGATTTTAAATCAGTCGTTAAGATCAGTCGTTAAGATCAGTCGTTAAAATCAGTCGTTAAAATCAGTCAATCAATCGTTAAAATCAGTCAATCAATCGTTAAAATCAGTCAATCAATCGTTAAAATCAGTCAATCAATCGTTAAAATCAGTCAATCAATCGTTAAAATCAGTCAATCAATCGTTAAAATCAGTCGATCAGTCGATTTTAAATGAATTTTTAGACCAAACATGGGAAGTGAATCTTGGTTGGTGACTGGATCGTCAGGTGGGAAAAACGCGGCGCTCAGGTGAGTCTCTTTCTTCTTTTTTTCTTTTTTTTTAACCCCAACGGCTGACTCTATCAATCTCAATCGCTTAACGAGCATCGTAAAGACTAAATGAACGTCAATGAAGTTGAAAAAGTAGAAATAGATTATGTTTGATAAAGCAAAATGGTTTTCTAATCTTTACAACGATTAACCTGACTTGCCCGCACAAGGAATCGAACTCGAGCAAAAAATGAAACGCTTGTTTTGTATTCAAGCGCTTTATCCCCCATACAATGAAGTCACGTTTGAGATTTGTGAGAACCCTTATATACGCTACTGGACAATGAAATATCATATTTGAAAAAAGATCGTCACTTTCGCGCGTCTGTAACTTTTCATCTGTAACACGATCGCTTTTCAAATTTGACATTTCATTGTCCAGTACTGTAGGTATCCCTATTTGGTTCCCTTATAAAGGCATCCGGTATCCCTTTCCCATCTCAAATTTTCGCAATTTCACTCTAGAACTTAAAAAAACGTATAACTTTTTATAGAAAGCTATTTTGCAAAAACCGAAAGCTGATTCGCAATCAACGTGAAAGTCTGCGTCGATTGGTTTATGGCTTATCTCATTTGACCACATCCTACTGTTGCCTTTCCCTTGTCAGACTTATTTAAACCCAAAAGTTGCATAGCTTTAGACTATCGAACCTGAAAACCAGAAGATATGATTGATAAGCTTAAAGGTACTGTAAGGTCCGGAATCGAGCACTTGGTTCTTGAAACTATTGGTTTCAAGGACCAAGGCTAAAATTGCTGACCACTTAGCCAAAATCATTAACTTCAGCTGCAATGTTAACTGTTTGAATACCAATTTCGGATCTTTAAGTTCTATAAGTCTTTAAAATCCTTAGTTTGCAGAAAATTCGTACTTTGCAATAGCTAAGAAGTGTTTTCAGACGAACAATGGAGATAATCGCCGAGCAGAACGAAGAGATCAAACGACAGGAAATGGCTGATCGTATGAGAGACCTCAAGATAACGGGAGCGCACGAGGGTTTGAGTGCACCAGCGCATTTGTTGCTGAATGTGGCTAGGTGAGGGAATTCATGAATAAAATGACTTTAAATGCACTGATAACCGTTTAAATACCAATTTCAGATCTTGAAGTCCTTTAAAGTTCTTAGAATATTCTTGAAATTCTCAGGTTATCGATAGCTTCCTCTTCCTATTCGGCAAATCTACAACTGAGCCCATCTCAACCACAACTTCAGCCAATGTCTCCACCACCGGTAATCATTGCCCCGTCATCGAGAAGATCATCGACTATTTCTGGGGCAGCATCACAGGTTTTAATTTTTTACTAATTTATACCCATTTATATCAATTTATACCAATTTATGCCAATCTAGACCAAGTTTTGCCAAGTTTTGCCAATTTTTTGTGCAATAAACCATAACTTTATATGATTAACCTTTAGCAAAAGAAGGTGAATCGTCTTGTGAACGTGCAATTAGGCATTAGACCCCTAGTGTGCAACTAGACCCCTAGAGAATCAAGTAAAGAAGACAAATCTGAGATAACTTTGTAAGTATCCGTGTGCAGTGCATGAGAGGGTACCGATGGGGCAATGATTATTTAGATCTTAGATATTTATTCCGAATATAGCACAATCACTAATCTAGCGAGGAAATACAATAAAATAGAATCAATTGTTGGTTCAGTGTTTCGAAGCCAAAGAAAAGCAATACAAGATCGGATCCGTCCCCTTTTATTACAGAAACGATCTTTAGAGGAAGGACAAGAGAATCAGAGATATTCAAAATCAAAGCATCGTATAAGATTTTACAGAAAAGAGCTACTTTTCTGGATACCTAGCATCTCCTCGGCTAATATTGGGTGAATGAGTGAGTAGTGAGTTGAAAACTGCGGGACTTTGAACTGAAATTTATTCAACATAAAACCATCAATTGATTCCAAATAATTTCCATTATTATTGACGTCTTCTGCTCATTTTACAGGCAATTTGCGGGTTCCTCTTTCGTAGTAGGATTTTGGTTTGTGTGTGAGACAAGTGTGAGACTCAAAAATCGAGGACTGGAGATGTCCCAGTTTGAGCACTTTCTTCAAAGGAAACCCATTTTGGTATTAATAGAAAAGTTGTAGAGAATCAAAAATTAGGCTTATAGCCAAATTTCCAAAAAGATACACTCAGTAGTTTCGCCTCAAATGCAAGTTTTGTTGCAAGTTTTGTGAAAATTCGTAAATTTGACATTTCTTGAAAACCAGTTTTTGAATCGTTCTGAAAATTTGGATATAAGCTTGATTTTTGATTCTCTACGACTTTTCCATTGATACCGGAATAGGTTTCTTTTGAAGAAAGTGCTCAAACTGTCACATATGACAATAGCCGGCAGTTTTCAATTCATCAACCCAATAAATAGAAACAACCGTTGGTTCAGTGTTTCAAAGCCAAAGAAAAGCAATGCAAGATGGGCTCCGTCTCCTTTTATCTCACGAACGATCTTTAGAGGAAGGACAAGGGAAACAGAGATATTCAAAATCAAAGCATCATATAAGATTTTACAGAAAAGAGCTACTTTTCTGCACACCTAGCATTTCCTCGGCTAATAATTTTCTAAAAAATGCCAAGTTTCGAAAGCTACTGCACACTTAAGTACTGTACTACGTCTTGTCGCTGTGAGAGTTTGCTAAGGATGAAGAGTTCGTCTTGTCGCTGTGAGAGTTTGCTAAGGATGAAGAGTACGTCTTGTCGCTGTGAGAGTTTGCTAAGGATGAAGAGTTCAGTGAGTGCGCTAAAGAGTTCAATGAATAAAGGCTAGAAGCTAGATTACAATAGTTCTGTATCATCAATTGTATAAGAAAAAAGAATTTATTCACATGAATGGTAAAAACAATACACAAGCACAACCGTAATCTAGAGAAGAAACCATATTTATTAAAAAAAGAACCAACAATCAAGTCGACGGGATTGAACTTTTGATCTTCCGACTAAGATACAAGGCTCTTAGCCATGGCGGCCATTATCAAAGAATCCTCAAAGTGATTTTACTTTTTAGCGACCACCGAGCCCACCATCTTCTAGTTCGAGTCAAGCGGCTCAACGAGGACTCCTCCAAATGAGAGATGCGAATCCGCACTTTAAAGGATTGCACCCGTAAGTTTCGAAAAAGATTCAAACTGTCCAGAAAACTTCAAACTTTAAACTGTTTAATATTAAAGTTCAATATTAAAGCTCAATATTAAAGTCGAACCAGAAAGTCTTTTCGTTTCTTTTCGTACTTTCGTTAAAAAATAACAAATTCACCAATTAACCTATGGCTTTCTCTAAATAAAAAGTGTTTCTTGTTGAATTCCCCATCTTTTTAAGTCAATCTTTGGGTTTGCTTTTATGCAAATTCGAGAGTGAAAACGTGTTTTTCGGGGATTGGCTAATTTCCGCCATTTTATTTGCGCAACTGGGTCATTTGCCCAACTCGCCATAACTTTGTTCTAAGTCTTTATGATTTTGATGTTATTTTGTTACACTTATTGAGATCTACAAAATGACACCAAAATCATAAAGATTGGCCCACTAAGAAGAAAGTTATGGCGAGTTGCGCAAATGACCCAGTTGCGCAAATGACCCTGTTGCGCAAATGACCCTGTTGCGCAAATAAAATGACGGAAATTAGCCTACCCCATTTTTCGTAAAAATTGATGCATTTGTTGGCTTTAAACGAAAGTACGAAATGAAACGAAAAGACTTTCTGAACAGTCTAATACAAATAAAATAAGTTTATTTTAGGGGAAAGAGAGATCGAAGAAGCTCACGGAGACAATCATCAATAGAAGGAGCTCTTGATAAACGAGCAAGGAAAAGAGGTATAAGGCTAAAAAAAACAATAAATTAGGCTGACTGTGAGAAGGGTTTTTCTCAAAAAATTCTTGAAGTCTCTAAAAATACCGTAATTTTGCCTACCATATCTTTCGACAGTCTTCGGAATTTCAATCGTCCATTTCAATCGTTTCAATCGTTTCAATCGTCGGAATTGTTTGGGTTTGACAATAAACGTAACATTACGGTAGTTTTATAAAGATTATGGTAGATTACGAGATTAGATGTATTTTATAAAATGCAACGCAAGGAACTCGACCGTTTTCCCAATTCAGCTTCTATTCGACCCACAACTTTTTCCCCTTACCAATGACCAAATCCCAGAATACCCACCGTAAATACTGTAATGGTACCCCACCCTCCTCGTACAGTCGCGTAGTCGCAAAAGTTTTTTAGTATTTCATTCTTTTCAAAGCGCCCGTACTTTCAAGAAATGCGTCTTCGGTATCAAAAAAAAAAAGCCCTGAATTTCAGCTATTTTTTGATACCTAAGCGCACTTTGCAGCATAAACCAGTGTCGAGAAAAACGCGTCCAAAGCTAGACTACGCGACGCTCCGCACCCTCATTATGGGGGTGCGGTACTATTACAGTATTTACGGTATTTCCTATTTCCTATTCTTATTTTCTTATGCTTATCTACCTATTTCCTTATGCTATTACGGTATTTATGCTATTACGTTCCTTATGCTATTACGGCATGTTGTTATCATCTCTTTTTGCCCAAAAATCTCCGAGAAACTCGTGATTACAAATTTCCATGAAAGAAGGAATTTGGGTTACTGTAAAATCTACTAAAGGGCTTGCGAGTTAGCTTAGAGGCTTAGACGGAACTGTGACGCTCGGAAAAGGTTAGCAAGTTCAATTCAAGTTGAACTTCAAGTTCAACTTCAAGCAAGCAAACCAAAAGTACACCCTAAATATCTAAGGGATTAGCATATTTAATAGCATAATCAACAGTATAAACAAGATTTTGGTTGACGACAATTTCCAGGCCTCTCCATCTCCTCGGCGCCCGGTGCTCAACGTTGGAAGACTGGCTCTCTTGTGCTCAGCCGCGGCTTTCGGAAGTAATTCCCATCCAAATCACGTGATCTATCTCAATTTCTCAATTCAGTTTCATCATTTTTACTTTTAGTTCTATTTTTTTCACTACAGGGTTCAATCTTTCTATCGATTCGTTCGAGTTTTCCCTTCTCAAAGAGCTTCCTCTTTAAACTGAAGATTTGAATCATCATATCACTAATGTTTTATCTTTTCTCGTCTATAAAAAGTTCGATTTTAGTTTAAGCTTTACGTTTTTGAGATTTTGTTTTATAGTGTTTTCATTTGGTTCGACTATCGATGGGTTCAATAAAATTTTTCATGCAATCAGTATGCAATTTTCATGCAATCACTCAACCTAGCAACTCATTTGCTAAGGCTCTTGTAAAGTCCCAGCTTCTTGTTACAAAAGGTGTTCAAGAACTACGATCTCTACCCAGCAACTCATTCGTTAAGTTTACTGTATTGTCCCAGCTTGTTACAAAAGGTACAGTCGAGCTTCGATATAACGAATTTTAATACAACGAATACTTCGATCTAAAGAAGATCTAAAGAAGATCTAAAGAACTTCTTGGTCGATCTCTTGAGGTTCGTTGTATCGAAGTTCGACTGTATTCAAGAACTAAACTTAAAGAACTTCAAATTAGGATCGATTCTCATTGAAACCAAATTATCCCCAGGTAGATTTAGTAATATCATTTTCATGAAATTTCATTTAGAAATGATTAAAGTGAATCGGTTTATAGTAATAATTTAGTTGCTATTAAAGACAAAAAATTGGCTACAACCTTGAGCATTTCTGCTAGTTTTGGTTTAACGGAATGCAGCATTTGTGGCAAAGATGCAGCCAAATCCAAGTCAAAAGCTTAACCCCAAAAATTTGAGCATAGTGACGCCCAAAAAGACAAAAATTGGCTTAGGCCCTAACCGCTCCTTCGACCTTACGGATTCGAAAAGGAAAGCACCCTAAACCCGATGGGTTTGCCAGACGACGAGCGATTACGCGATTACGATTACAAAGAACCCTTCGCCAGTGATTTACATAGTGATTTTTCTCTTTTGCTTTATAGATAGTACAAAAAGAACTTGACAAGGCAGTCGTGTGCCGGATCTAGTCTTTCAAAATGGCGGCATGCCAACAAATTCGTATTCAAAGTACAGCCAATACAATACAGTGGGCTGGATCGTTGTTGCTGGAGAACGTCTTGAGCTTCACCGATGACGGGGCTTGAGACGATAACAACCGTCTCGGCTTCTTCTTCGTATTCTTTTGGCACTTCTTGGGTAGTGGCTTGGACTTGGACTTCTTTTGGCATTGGTTTGCCCGATTTGACGTGGCCATTGAAGTTTCTTTTGGAATCGAACCGCTGCTTGCATTTGGCACAGACGAGGACGGCTTTTGCGATGTGGACCTTTAGGTGCATTTGGAGGCCCTTGAACGACGAGTAGACGGTCTTCTTGGCGGCGTTTGGACACATTCTGCATGATTCGACCACCTTGTCTGAATCCAAAGTCTCCAGAATGTAGTCGACGTATTGAAGAGGAAGACCATCTTCTTTGCAAATCCGTTTCTGATGGGCTTCGACGGCCTTTTTGTTCTTCAAGAGCATCTGGCATTCGCGGCATCGAAAGGCGAAGTTCTTGTCAAAGTTGTGGCTCCTCTTGAGATTGTGGACCTTCTACCGTAATCCTTTGTAATTAGAGTGTGCTCCTCACGAGTAATGAGTAATGTGCTCCTCACGAGTAATGAGTAATGTGCTCCTCACGAGTAATGAAAAACTACCAACTCCAATGGTAGTTTTTTTTTTCTCTTTTACTCCTGCAAAATTCGAAGTAGCAATAACTTTCATAAAATTGGGCTAACTAAACTGGCCTTGCTCCTTTGCTAACTAAACTGGCCTATTTTGAATACAATAAATGCTAAACGTTGAATGAGTTTATCTAAAAGTTTAGACCAAGTTTAAATTCGAGTTCTTCTAGTTAACAGGGAAATTTCTCTCAATGATTATTTTGGGGTTCGAAAATGGAGAAAAGTGAACGAGAATACTTGATTGCTTTGATGAGATCACAGCTATTCTTAGATCGTTCTTTAGTTTTTCCCACGGGGTTAAACTTAAGCCAATTGTCTTCTGTTGCCAAAAATTTTTGATTAGGTCAGATTTCAGCTTCCGAAAACGTCTATGGGAACGTCAAAACCGTCAACCCGTCAAGTTCAACGACGTAGATCAAAAGAAAAACCCGATTGTACCAATTATAGTGAAAAGGATTGCGTTTAGCAAAGAGGCGTTGAAAAAGGATATGTGTGACGACGGCCACCAAAAAGCTATTCGGTCTAAGCTAGAGTCTAAAAAGCTATTCAGTCTAGGATAAGCTACCGTAGTCTGGCCCGGTTTTTCGGCAATATAAGCCGCTTTCTGTGTACTTTTTGGTTTCCCTCTTCTTCAGAATTTTGTGAGAAAGTTTTCTCTAAATTTTTGTCTATAAAATCTGTTTGTTTTACTGTTTTACCAGTTAGCTCTTGCGATAAATTGTATTTTGCCAAAAGCTTAGAATTTACACAGAAAGTACACTCGAGTCGCGACAATATGTAAATTTCAGTTTCCATAGTCAAATGTAAAGTGTTGTCGAGTAAAGTAAAGTGTAAAGTGTAAAGTGTTGTCGAGTAACAAGTGCCGAATATTGAGATAATGCTTGCTTTCACGAAGATCCACATCGATTTAACTTTTATTCGTTATCACAAAAATGTTCGTTATCGAATGCACCATAAAGATATCGTTGCGTGCTTTCCTGAAAAGTTAGTTCTTTTTTGTCTCAAACGTTCACTCACCAAAACAACTTTTTCGTATACTTTTGATAGGGTTCCGTCAGAAAACAGATTAAAATTGATCCCACCACTCCGTGCATTGCAATAAACACACAGCCAGCATTGATCAGCCACTGCTTGACGATGATGTTCCAAATTACAATAACCACATAAAAACGATTGGAAACGCCAGAGTACTATATGGGATGAAGATCTGTAAATGATAAATCGATGTTCATTTTAACAACAACATTTTAGAAAGTTACCTGAATGATCAACGAAATGCAGAGTTTCTTGTGTAGCTTGAGAGTGTGTGTGCTCATATAAATAAGCGGTTTGTTCAGTAAATGAAATGAATGATAGATCAACCGAATTCCCCGAAATTTTTAAGCAACTACTCATCAGCCTATCGACAAAAATTAGCGAAAAAGAAGAAACAAAAGATTGATTGATTAAGACAAGATTGATTAATCAATCAATTAATCAATCAATCAATCAATCAATCAACAAGCCTAGAGATTTTGGTCTAAGTAAGAATAACCATGCTGCTGAAAAATGGGACTGCTAACTCTTTCCACCTACGTTAAAGGGGAGGGGGTAACAATCGAAGCCGATTCTAAGTGAAAATTTTTTTCCCCCGATAACTATCATTTTGTTTTTTATTCGATACTTTGTATATATATGAAAAATGGCAGAAATAAATCGGCTGATTGATTACCTATACGGAAAACTTTTGTTGATGAACATCTTCTGCCAGGTGAACCAAAATTAGAGAGCTAAGGAACCAAATTTAGAGATATAAGGAACCAGGTGACGGCGGACAGGTGACGGAGGTGATTACCTATTCGGAAAACTTTTGTTGATAAACATCTTCTGCCAGGTGACAGGTGACGGCGGGCAAGTGATGGCGGACAGGTGACGGCGGACAGGTGACGGAGGTGATTACCTATTCGGAAAACTTTTGTGGATGAACATCTTCTGCCAGGTGACAGGTGCCGTGGCAAGCCACTTCCGTCACAGTAAACTAGAATCATTTCTTTTTTGGACTTTTTATTCGAGATGAGTTTGAGCGAAGATAAAGTTATTGAAGATGATAAACCGATGTACGTCATTGTTGAGTTATCACAATTGGAAATTTTGCTGCAATTCAATATTTGCGGGAAAATTCCAGGGAACTGAAGTAAAGAAAAGTCGAGAATCAATTGAGCAAGAAATGAAATTTCTTGCTCACAGCCGTAACTCGATGTTCATGTCAAAATGATAACAGGATTCGATGGTCGACACAGAAGTTTGTAGAAGGTATAGAAACTAGGTCGTCCAACCTTGCAATCGCCTGTTCCTGCAAGCCTGCAGCAAGATGGTGAATCGGAAATCTGTGGAAATCAGCGAATATGGCAGGAAATTAATCAGCCGATTTGTTTCTGCCATTTTTGATGTGCAAAGCATCAAATAAAAACAAAATGATAGTTATCGGCAAAAAAAATTTTTCATGGAAATCGGCCTCGATTGTTACTGGGGAGTTAATAGAAAACAATCAGAGCATCTAAAACTAGAAAATCTAGAACTCCATACTTCTGGTTTCTTAGGACAATCGTGGGTAGAGGAGTTGTTCTTGAAAAATCATTTTAAGCTGCCAGATCCTTTTATTACAGTATCAATACCAACCTCTAAAAATGCGGGCAAGCCCGGGTGGGTGCTCCAAATGAAGGCCATAAATGCAGAAAACGCTAAAGAAAAACCATTGAACGAAATGATGTCTCCTTTTCGGGCACATCTTCAGCATCGATGAAATTGTTGCCCAAGTTTTACAGTGAAGGAAAGATGCTTGTTGAGGTGGGTATTGGAAAACTAAGATTTGCAATTTGAGCCTAAGCCAGCTGCTGGTAGAAATTGCCGAACGTTTCTCTGTTTCAGATCTTGTCACCTGCCATTCTTGGTGGATCAACAGCTCCTCAAGATCCAAACGCTATGGCTCGTTGCCGTCCCAACTTTGGCTGCCTATAAATTTACTAGTTCTACTTTAGCATTTATTTTTTTTGTTCATTCAATCAGATTCAATCATAACATTCCATATGATCAAACGATTCCAAACAAACTACTTCTCTTGATCCTTTCAATATTTATATGCCATCAAATCTTTTCATTGAGTAGCTGAGCAAGTGGGATTGCACAATGGAGTCCCTAGAAAGTTCAAAATTTAATTTTATGCTAAATAAAAATGCATAAATGCATCTTTGGTATTTTATCAGTTTCAGTGATCTGTTTGTGTTAATAAAGAGTTTTTCAAAACTCCATGAATTCTCACCTGATCCTTTGTTTTTCTGAATTTTCAAGTTTCATGAATTCTCACCTGGTGCATCTTTTGGTTTAGAGTTGTCGTTCAGTTTAGAAGTGATTTTTTTTTTATCCAATTTCGAGTCGGGTTTTTTTTAATAAATCTTGGATCCATTCCATGAGTGACTAAACAAAGGACGAAACTTCAACCTAGTCAAATTTAAAGCTATTAGGTTGTCCCATAAAAAATTGCGGTTTTTTTCATTTGATTCGTATTCAGCGACAAATTAACACTTTCTCTTTCTGTTTTTTTTATTATACTGCTTTACAATTCTAGTTTTATGTGCTAAATTCTCTTTTTTAGGAATCAAAAACAAAAAAAGTTGTGATCGATCACATGGCGCTGTCTCGTAAAGAAATCCATCAATAATCCATCAACGATATTTGAAGAGGATTTCCGCGGCCAAAGCAGCGAGAGAAATCAATTCTTTTATGGGCCAACAATCGTCAAGGAAAGGACTACACGATGGTGGTTTCAGAAGTTCCGGAAAGCTGACAACCGGCTCACACGAAAGCGAGGAAGCGGTCGTCCCAGAAAAGTGAATCGACCGACGTTGAGGCGCCAACTTCAGCAAAATCCCGAAGGAACGACTCGGATTTTGGCACAAGACTATTGCGGAAGAATGACAGTATGGCGTTGGCTCAAAAAAACCGGAAGAAAGTGGTTGAAACAGCGGCAAATCCCTTATCAACTGAACAATTCGATTAAGGACCAAAGAGCGCGGTCATGCCGTCAACTACTGAACGAATATCGATGCGGTCGGCTTCCTCTTTCCAATATAGTGACTCATGATCAAACGTGGATATTCTATGATAGTCGAGTGTTGAAACGACAATGGTTGGGAAAAGGTCGTTTGGGAAAAGTGGTGCCAAGACGAAATATTCATGGAAATAAGCGACTTCTGTGTGTCTATTGGTGTTCCTCTGGCATACTTTTTTGGGAGCTACTCCATAAGGGTCAAACTTTTAAAAGTAATGTTTATAGACGCCACATGCAACAAGTTGAGCAGAAAATTCTCCGGTTGCTCTATCAGAATGAATGGAATGGCCCCGTTTTTGTGCTTGAAGACAACGCTTCTTCTCACAAATCGAGCAAATCGAAGAATTTTATGGAAAAACAATTTGCACTGGAATGTACTTTCACACCCCCTTATAGCCCGGATATTGCTCCTTCTGATTACTACTTATTTTTGTCGCTAAAGCATTTCCTTCGAGGCAAGCAATTCAACAACCAAGGTGACCTCGAGAACGAATTGGAGGACTACTTTCATTCACGCCAGCCCGATTTTTACAAGCGAGGACTTGAAAAGTTACCAAAACGTTGGTTAAATGTCTACAATAATCATGGAAAATATATCGTATGATCTACGTTGTTACTTTTTATTTTTCGTTGAAAAAAGAAATTTCTGAAAAACCGCAATTTTTTATGGGACAACCTAATAGTACAAGAATTTATTTTTCGCAGAGCCAAGGATCAGTTGAAAAATGCAATCAAGACATCGAAGTAAGTTGATTTTATTATTCTTTTTTGAAAAACGTGTTAATTTTTATGGTTTGGCGTATCCTCTGTACACAGCTGCGAGAAGAAAAATCGACAAAATGGGCTCGACTTCTCCCAATTGTTCAATCAATGAAAAACCGACGTTATCATCGAGATATTGGACGTTCCCCTTTCGAAGCAATGGTATAATTTTTGGAATTAAACTTAAATATGCTGAGTTTGTAGTTTGGAAGAAAGTTAACGCTCGGTTTTACCGTTGAGCTGTCCAATGATGAAAGAAATTTACCAGAAAATACGGAGGTTAATGTTTCTAGTTTTTGTTTAACTTTTTTGTTTTAGGAAATCGAGCCCGAGCCCGAAAAATTTGAAGATTGGACCGAATCAATCAAGGCTGCTTTAACGGATAATCCGACTTATTGGCCCGATTCCAAAGAGTATGATGAAATTGTCAAGGAATGCACAGATACAGGTCAGTAAAGCTTTGATTATGATTTAATTGAACTTTTTATTTTAGGATCGTATCATGTGAATAAGGAAAATGTATCACATCGAGCTGAAGCCGCAGAAGTACATATTTCAGGTTGATTTTGCCTTCTAATTATTTTCTCTAGTTGGCCAAACGCTTTGTTTTAGAATTGAACCAAGCCTTGCAACATCAAGTTGAAAGCATTGAAAAGGATAGCACAATTGCAGGTTAATTTTTTCGCTTAAACTTTTGTTTAATTGATCTACATTTTTTTAGAATTGAATCGTATTGATGAGAAAATTTGTCAACATCGAGCTGGCGCCGTCAGATTTCAACAGAAGCAAGCCGAGAAGATGCTCGAATCTTCTAAAAACAGGTATAATGCATGCTTTTCAATTAATTCAATTGATACTATGCTTTTTTCTTAGATATGGTTCTGTTGATGTTGGAAAAACTGTTCGAGTTCCAATCGATACGGTGGATAGACCGAAGATTGGGCATCCTTCTCTTTTCGGAGTTTTGTTGGAAACAAACGACGGATTTTACAAAATTGTCACTTCGAATGGAATTCTCCCTCAAAAGTTTGTTTGTTGTTGTTGATTATTAAATAATTTTATAGGTTGACTCGCAACCAGTTTGTGCCAGCAAGCAACAATTTCATCGATGCTGAAGATGTGCCCGAAAAGGAGACATCATTTCCCTCAGCAGTCGGCGCCGAATCTCTCACCGGATCTCAAGGTATTTTTTGTAGCGTTTGTTTAATTGCTTTTTTTTTAGGGCACAAGCACTGTAAGTGGATAAATGGATGCGTAAATGGTCGATGTGTATGCGTCAAGTCGAACGTTTTGTGCAACAATCGATGTCACAACAGTTAATTTTAATTATTTTTTAGTTAAACTTGATTTTGTTCTAGCATTTTGTTGTGTTGCACCTTAGGGAAGTTGTTAATTAATTTTTTGTTGTTAATGCTTATTATATGTTTGCAATAAATTGTTGAAAAGTGAATAAAACTTGCAATTCATAAAGCAAAATTTCCTTTCATTTAGATGACATAATCTTTCGAATTTGGCAACAGAAGTTACCTTCCGAGGTGCTAAAATATTTGATCCGATTAACCTAACTTTTTTATTTGCATGTGAGATAAGTCTGCATTGCATTTCAAATGTTTCGTTAAAAAACTTTCAATCACCATCGACTAGCCGATGGTGATTCAATCACTAGCAGCTGAAAGTCACGGGCGGCGGCGACATATGTAAAATTAGAATTTAAGATTTGTTTTGCATTTTTAGTTATTTAAAGTCAAAAATCGAGGGTGCTCCTATCATTTTGCAACGCACTGTTTATTTGCAGGAATGTGTGGGGCGACCCTGATCAAAGATCCAGTTTTAGTTGTGTCTTAATCCATGAGATTACCAGTTAGTTTAACCAAATCTGCTCCAGTTTGAACTTGACCATCCCACTATTACATCGTACATTTCAAGAAGATTGGAGCTGTGAAATACAGGGTGGTCCTTTCAAGCAAAGCTCTCTGTTCTCCAGGCTGGTCGCGCGATCAAGCTGACAGATCCAGTGATTAAAAAAGCTGGCACACAAATCAAGCTTATCCAGTTTTATAATCAAAAAGAGGGGATATTTTTCTTTAAAACTAGTCGCTCTACAACTAAATTGGGCTAGAAATAACAAATCTACAATCATTTTACAAATTTCAAATTTAAGAAATTTTGAAATTAGAATTGGGAGCTTCTAAAAAAGATTCTTTATTGAAATCGTTAAGAAAGTCTAAATTTTCTCAAAACTTGATACCATATGATAAAAATAATCAATTTTTCTAAAAATTAAGTTCATTACCTTGAATCTTTTTATGGCGCTTCTTTTAAAACTAACAGAACTTTCCGGCGACAACCGGAACCGGGAATAAATATAACAGAACTTAGAGCTAATGGAAAATTCGAAAGCATTTAGTTTTGTCGTTAAAAAGCAGGCAAAAGAAGTAGCAGGGTAGGTTACAAATTTTTGAATTTTGATGAAAATTTAAAACAAGCGTAGCAGCCTCGTTCGGTTGCTTCTTAGAACTAAAAAATATTTAGCTTTCCAATGCTCATTAGTTTATTTCACTGGTTTAAAAGATAATTCCAAAGGCTGCACTGCCATTTGCAGTTGCAGTTCGAGGTGATCCAACGCATCTGCTTACTCATTGCCATTTATGTGGGCAAGTGGAGGAGCACCTATGGCAGTACGGTCCCACAAAATGTGCTCATTTTTCTCAGAAACTGGCAACAAACGTGCGTCATTCATAATTCCCCTTTTTCTGTACATTTCAAAAACTTTGTTGAAGTTTGGAATCCGGATTTGCTTATCATCTAGTCGACTTTCACCTACGGCTTGATGCCCTCACTCAAATCCGCTTTTTTTCGTTCTGTTATTTGAAAAAAAAACGCGAAAAGTTCTATGAGTCTTTCAGATAAAAAACGAACGAGGGCTTGTTTGAAACAAAAATTCTTGAATGCGAGTCTCTGCTAATTGGTTAATCTTTACACAATTTGTTGCACTTTCCTGGACAGCATTGGATATTGAGTCGAAACGAAGGGTTTTCGATTTGACCAAAGAAAATCCATCTTTCGCAATTCACGGTCTTCATCTCTTCAGGCTATTCACTTTATCTGGTCTGCAAGTGATCAGAGTGAATGGCTGTGATGGCTGTGATTTTATCATCGATTTCACGCATCGCACGTGCAACGAAACGCCCGTTGGAGTAGCTGGAGTTGATTCGGTGAGCTGACTAACAAGAGAATGGTCCGAACTGGCCAAACGGTTTCGCGGCGCCGCTGAGATGCAAACGCCTATCGAACATGGGGACACGGTGCTCTATTTATTTTTTGCCCATTATCAATGGTTCACAAGAAAAATGATTACAAAATTTGGGCGTCTACTCGGGAGATCACATCTTGGGGATATATAGGCTCTTTCCCTTCCCTTCAAACACGACCGGATGTTGTAGGAGTAAGTGTTCGCGCTCTTAAGGTGCCTTTTGCTTTTTTGACCCTGGTTCGGATCCAGTCGCGGAAACTATATTATTGAACATTCTAAAAGAAATAAAAAGTGTTTTTAAAGGTTTAGCAAAGAAAAACAAAAAAAAATTTTCGCAACCGGATCCGAACCAGAGCCCTTATGCTACGCCCGTATGCTACGGTTCCGGCGGCGTCTCTGATATTTACGGCGGCATCTTCGATCTTTCCGGTAAAACGTTCCGCGGGGATTTTCCGAGAAACTTTCCGGGAACGGAACGTTCCTCAGGAAAAAACCATGAACGTTTTACCGGAAAGATAAAAGGTTCCGCTGGTCAGGTCAGAGACGCCGCCGGAACTTTCTCGGAGCGTACCATACGGGCTCAAGGTCGAAAAGGCAAAAGTGAGATGAAGAGCGGGCACACTTACCTCTACACCTTTCGATCACCGTTGCGGGAAGGGGAAAGATCCTATATATCCCCAAGATGGGATTTCCCGAGTAGGCGCCCAAATTTTGCAAGCATTTTTCTTGTGAACCATTGATAATGGGCAAAAAATAAATAGAGCACCGTGTCCCCATGCTCGATAGGCGTGTGCATCTCAGCGGCGCTGCGAAACCGTTTGGCCAGTTTGGACCATTCCCTTGTAAGGAGATCGGGCTATTTTTAAGTTTTGCCGCACCTTGTCGCCAATCTACACCAGCAATTTCCAAGTTTCAAAAGAGAATCGTCTTTGTTTTTAAGCCTCTCCTGCGACCGCTGGAGAACCATGTGCTCTGTTTTGATCGTTATCCGTTTTCAATCAACGGGAAACCACCGATGAATCCTTCATGTGAATTTGTGTGAGTTTTGCGATGTGGTGCCAAATTGGTCCTCAGAAAGTTAAGCTGATGCCAATCCGATCCCTGACAGTTTAAAGCTTGATTGGTTTAAACAATTTGACCCAGTCTGATTAGTGAAAAGTTACCCAAGAGAAGTGTATCACCTCAAATGGGAGCTCTGGTCTTTTCAGGCCGCTTGCCCCAATCGATCAAGGGCAAGCCTTGTACTCGTGCACTTATCGAATAAAAAATGAATCAACATTGATCGTACAATCAATTGATAACTCAGAGGACGCACAGTATCGCATCTATGGGATCTCTTTTCGCATCGCTAAATGGGTTAATGGTAAATGAGAAGTGGTCGATTGTCGAGCCAGCATTTTTGTTTGGGCAAAAGTCGTTATTCAAAGCATTTTGCTGATTTGTTTTTTTGGCAATGAGTTATCAAATCCAGATCTGATTGTGTTATTCCTAAAATTTCTTTGTCAAATTCGCCAGAATCGGCGAAAGTGCTGGTGGTGCCGCTTGAAAGCTACTTCCATCAAGAGTCGGAGATGGTGATGATTAAGCAACAACAGATAGTCACGTTTCTCAAGAACCCCTACGTGGCCAGGTTATTTTTGGGGATTTCAAATTTCAATTTGTCTCAGTGACTCAGACACAAAGGGTGGATCGCTTTTATTTCAAGCAATCGGCAACGAGATGACCGATGACAGCTTTTTGCGGGTAAATTTCAATTTTTTTAGTAAAAAAGAATAGTAAAAGACAAACAAAGGCCTAGATTAGTGTAAAAATTGGCTTTAGCCTGATTTGAGTTGCCCTGAGGTGTTCGACATATCGGCCTATCACGGTTCCGACCCAGGCTTAATGGTAAACCGATCGTTCAACATTGGAGATATTGGAATCGGGGGGTTGGTAAAAAAATGAAAGAATTAGCTGAGCATTTTGTGGTTTAGAAGTATAACAGATCAGACAAAAGTTCTTGGAAATATATTTTCGAATGTTTGCTATCATAAAACACACTTTCAAGTCTAACTATCATGTTTTTCGGAATCAACGTAAAAAGTTATTCAAAAAATGTTTTAACAAAGTATAGAAGAACCTTATTTTCTAATTTAACGTTCATTGAATTTTTCAACATGATGTCGTTGCTTGAATCAGGAATTTGTTTGAATTAGCTGTTTGAATTAGCATTTAAAACCGATTTCATTGTCAATTTACGAAGTAAAAAGGTAAAGTCAAAGTTAAATTTTTGAAATTTACGAAAAATCAGGCCAAGTGGCTTGGCTTGACCCGGAAAATCAGGAATAGCTGACTAGGGAAAGGTACCAGGTCAAGGTGGCCTTTTAGTACGAGGGCCACGGGACTTGATAGAATCGGCTATGCTGATTCTGAATATATTAGGTTGGTAAAAAAGAAATGAGCGTCGTGTTTGTTGATTTTTATTTTATTCACAGTAAAAGATTTTTTAAATAGTTTATTCTATTGGAAAGAGCGTGTTCTTGCGCATCGTTTGATATATAATTTGTCTATTTTTACTTTGTTTTTTTACAAGAAAGAGTGTTTAGAAAATGTCGGACCAAAAATTTCGCTTGCGGGCCTGCTTGTGGTATGAATTTAAGCAAGGCAAATCGGCTGCTGAAGCTCATCGCGCTCTATCTCAAGTGTTTGACGAAGATGCTCTATCCGAAAGTCAGTGTAAACGATGGTTCCAGCGCTTCCGAGACGGCGACGAAAGCTTGGAAGACCAAAAACACGAAAATCGACCTCAAATGATCGACAACGACGCATGGAAGGAAGCCATTGAGTCGGATCCACGCCAAACTACTCGCGACCTGGCAGAACAGCTCGGCTGCACTCATGTCACCATTGAGAACCATCTGCATGGCATTGGCAAGACAAATTGATGCGGAAAATGGGTACCGCATCAGCTATCCGACCCAAACAAGGCGACACGCATCGCAATCGCCGGAATTCTCACTCACCGCGCCAAGAACAGTGGGTTTTTCGCCTCCATTGTTACGTCGGATGAGGAGTGGATCCAATACGACAACACAGCAAGAACGCGGCAGTGGTTAGACCCCGGTGAAGCTCCAAAACCGACTCCAAAACCGGACATCCACGGAAAAAAGGCGATGCTTTGTGTTTGGTGGAACAGTAAAGGCCTGGTGTACTTTGAGGTTCTGGATTCGGGTCAAACAGTTACGGCGAACCTCTACCAAGACCAATTGGACCGCGTGGACCAGGCGCTGCAACGTCAAGGTGTGGATACGATATCGACAAAATTCCTCCACGACAACGCTCAGCCGCATGTCGCAAAAATCACCCAGCAAAAAATTGAAGAAATGAGCTGGGAAGTCCTGGCTCATCCGCGATACAGCCCAGACTTGGCGCCTTCCGACTACCATCTGTTCCGATCAATGCACCACTCCTTAGCCGAGAAAAAGTTCAAGAACCGCGACGAGGTCCAAATTTGGGTGTCCAACTTCTTCGAGTCGCAGCCGGTCGAGTTCTTCAAGAAGGGCATCCATTCTCTGCGTGAACGTTGGCGACAAGTCATTGATGCAGATGGCGAATACCTTTCGGATTAATGTATTGTTTTCGATCGAGAAATAAAGAAAAACGCGATTTTTGCTTCCCGCCCCACCCTAAAACGTGGATATTTGGTCAAGAAATATATAAAGATTCAGTCCAGTTGCATTTTAGCACTTACTTCCTTTTCTTTTACATGTATTTTCTCAAATTTAACCGCATTCATAAATATTTGTTTGTTTTTTTAATAGAAAACATTAAATTCTGAAAGAGTAATCTTAAAAAGTTGAAAATCAGACTTAAGAAGACTTGAAAAACAAGTGCCCAATTGAACACTGACTTTCCTTGGGCTTCCATTTAAAGGAAGAATGTTTAGAAGTGATTTAGGAACATAAACGCTTTGTTCTTAAATGTTATTTGTTGCTGCTGGAACATTACTCACGACCTCACGGACTGCTTATGCAAAAATTGTAAAATTCAATACGCGGAATGGAGTTAAATTGAATTTCACAAAATAGTGGAATTCAATTCAAATTTTCTAATGATTCTCTCAAAAAAAGCAAAAGACATATACGAGCGAACTCGAACCCGGGCAATAAAAACTTCGAAGCGTTCTGGAGGCAAGCACACTATCCGCTGCGCCACCAGCCCTCTTATTAAGGAAGAAAAAAAGCTTATAAGGACTGCGAAAATCGGCCTAAACTTTAATGTCAGATATCTACAGAGCTCTTTGGAAAAAGTAAAAGCATATTCAGAATCAGCATACCCGATTCTATTGGGTTGGTGCATTGAAAACTGCAGGCCATTTAGCGGGACTCGCAGATGAAAAAACAACACCATAGAACCAACTGAAAGGGCGGTTTGTTTACTTCAACATTCCCTCTAATTATTGCGAAAAAATCATGCTTCCAGCTTTTTATTTTTTGGTATTTTTCTTCACTTCTTCTATTGCACTCGACAATCTGCCACCGGGACATATTCGTCATGTCATGCTTCATGAGTTCCTAAAAGAGCCCAGTGCAGGCTTGGTAGCTGCTAATATTAAAAAGATATATGGGGAGAACTCACCTTCCGAAAGAACGTTTCGAGTATGGTTCGGCAAGTTTGGATCTGGGGACAAATCAACAAAATCTTTTCTTCCTCGAATTTTGACGAGATGAGAAATGGGTTTTATCTGTGAATTTTCGGAGGAAGCGGGAATGGGTGGAGCCAAAACAGGAAACTCGAAAGTGACCCCAAGCCCGATTTGCACCAGAAGAAGTTTATGCTCTGCGTTTTTGGGATATGGAGGGGATGATGTACTGGGAGCTGCTGGATAGCAAAAAGACCCTTAATGCAATCAAATACAGTGAACAGTTGGGGAAGGTGAATGAATCCCTGAAGAAGAATAGGCCCTCCAAGTCAACGATCGTTCTCTTCCACGACAACGCGCGCCCTCATGTTGCAAAACTGACTCGCTCTAAAGTAAACAGCCTTGGTTGGGAACTTTTGGCGCATCCCGCATACAGTCCGGACCTCGCCCCTTCTGATTACTATTTATTTTGGACCATGAGTAATGAGCTTGCGGGAGAACACTTCGATTCGGAAGAAGGAGTCAAAAATTGGCTCCAAGAGTTTTTCGATTCAAAACCAAAATCCCACTACGAAAGAGGAATCCACAAATTGCCTGTAAAATGGGCAGAAGTCGTCAATAATAATGGAAATTATTTGGAATGAATTGATGGCTTTATGTTGAATAAATTTTAGTTCAAAGTCCGAAGTTTTCAATGCACCAACCCAATATAAGCCCCCTTGGGTCTCTTATTAAAAGGCCACCTTGTCCTGGCGTCTTTCCCTAAACAGCTCATTGTCCCTAACGTTTTCTTTCGAGTTCGACCAGTTTAGTCTCTACTTTTTCTCAAGCGCATCGGTGACGACGATTATCGGAAAAGCCAACTGCGACTTTGCAATCAAATACCTCCACAAAATGGAGTGTTCGTTTATGCAATTTTTTCTATCACTAGTCTAGCTTATTTTTAAGTCAACTCCAACGAAAACATAATGAATTATTTGGATTACCCAACATTGATCACCTCTGCCTATTATCCGTGGCCATTAGATGATCCAACAGTAATCGAGGGATGTCAAATTTTCACTCCAAAGTTCTCCGACCAAGTGGTAAAGGATCTTAAAATTGAGAAAAACCTTTAACCTTAAATACCTTTAACTTTTTGTCAAACCCAAGCCATGATTTTAACTGATGCTATTATTACCAGACAAAGTCGGAGCGCCGGGTTTTTGTCGATGTGCTTCTCCTGGAAAACGGTGTACTCACGTTGAGTACAGGTCGTGACACAACTCTTCTTCAAACCTGCGGTGTTTTCATTTCCTTTAAGGAATACCTAAGGTAGAGAAACGGGTTCTTTTTCACTTTTTTTAAAGTTAACTTTTCAACATTTTCAATGAGCTCCGAACGACATGTTTTTTTTATTTTTAGCTTCACGGATCTCCCAAACGGTACTATCGAATTCGATGCTGAATGTTTGGAGGTTTGCCAAAGTTTGCACTTCAATAAGTTTCATGATGAAATAATTACATCAAAAGGGTGATTTAGAAAATTTCAGTTAAGCTTTTGCCCAAATCAAGACCAGAAACTATTTGGTTTTATGGCGATTCTCGGAAAAGCGGCACAGAATCCACAAAAAATCAAATGCTCTCAAATATTTACGTTGACCGACGAAGAACCGCAGGCCGTTTTTCATCTAGCATCAGTTCGCACACTAGAAAGTAAACTGAAATTCGACATAAAATAAATTAAATGACTTCATTAGACATTAAAGGGGATGCAACAATCGCGACCGATTCTAAGTGAAATTTTTTTCCAGATAATGCTTTAAACGAGTAAGAAACAAAGAAACAACTAGCTAACACCAAAACAAATTGGCTGGTATTTGATTTTCTTGTTGACGCTTCGAATTCCTATTGTTGTTCATAGCAAACGCCTGAACTAAAAATAAAATCAATATACAAAAATAAAAATGAAGAGAACATAAAAAGGAAGAGAACATGAAAACAAAATAACATTTAAAAGGATAACGACAATCTATTCAATATCACTTTCCGCATCATAAAATCCATGAGATTGGGAACTTCAAAGTTGGTACACTTTTTCCATAAAACATATTTAATACACCAATTGAATCAGACTTCTCTAAGTAAAAGTTATAGACTATCTAATTTAAGACATGCTTAAGCAAATTTGGGTAACTTTTGAAACGAATTTGAGTGGAAATTCAGGTTTTTTGAAAATTCTACAGGGTGCGCCATAATTGTCACAAAAAGATAAAGATAAAGTTTGATTTTAAGGCCGACAAGAGCAAAAACGACAAATTTTTAACTAAATAACGTTTATTGTACATTAACAATTATAAATGTATTATCAAATTTGAATCGGTTACCATTAGCATTTGAGCAGGCCCGCAGGCGTTTCAAAAAGGCGTCAACGGTGAAAACCAAATAGGCTGGATCGAGCTCTTCCCACGCGTTCAACAGTGATTTCTTCAAGCTTTGGCTGTTTTTGTGGAGCTTTGAACAAGAACTTTGTTTGGCTTTTAGAAAGTTTGGCTTTGGCTTCTAGAACCGACGACACTTAAAAAAAATCCATTGGGTTGAGGTCTGGAGAGCTAGGTGAGGGTGACTCAGCAAAAGTGAGGGTGACTATTTGCTGAGGGTGACTCAGCAAAAGAAATGAAATCCGGGAAGTTGTTTTGGTAGAACTCTTGAACTTCCTTGAATTTGTGGGCCGGTGCTGATAAGTCTGATCTTGTTGATAAGTCCAAATGCGATTTCCAAAATGTTTCCAGAGCAAGAGTTCGTCCTTGAGAAGGGCCAAGTAGTTATCGGCATCTTTGATAGAGATCGCCATCTTCTTTGCCATTTGCCTTGCCAACTGGTTTGGCTTCTTTCGAACTCGATCCCTCACTCGCTTGATGTTTGTCGAGTGTTCATCATTTTTGCCTCCTCAACTTCTTGCCCCCTAGAAACCTATAAAATCGAAGCTTTTCTAAATCTATCAAAAGCCTGTTTTAGAGAATAAATGGGCCTTTTTAATGGTCAAAACCGTGAATTAATTGGCGCACTAGTTATTTCTATAAAGTGCTACGAATAAGTGTACCAACTTTCAAATTGCCAATCTAATAAACTTTCTGCCAATGATTATATCTATTTCTTCATCATCTGAAGCATCAACATCTCTTTGTGGAAAGCCAGAACTTCTTGCCTGTTTGTGCCAATGTCTTCAGCACCAGATCTCTTTTCCATTCCTTGCTCGCCGGTCCCATTTTGGCTTTGTTTGTAAAGCCCCCTTTGGATTTTGAAAAACATCTGTGTCGTAGCCGATTATGAATGAAAGGTTAGGTTAAAAATTGCCGGTGCTACAATTTTCATTCAAAATCGGTGGGACCCCGTATTATGAATGGGGCTTCAAAGTTTTCTCTTGAAAAAACAGTTTTTTTCCTCTAATTTTTTTTTCTTTTTATTTAATCTTCCTAATTTAAAAAATTTAACATAGTTATCAATGATTCTGCGTTGAATGATACTAAATACTTGATGGCTGGACGCTCGTAGACCCACTCATTCATAATCGGCTACGACATATATACCGTTTCAACGGTATATAGATGTTTTCATCCCTCATCTCAACTCGTCTATTATCATTGAATGCAATAGTTGCCAAAATCGTTCGATAAGTAAAACCCGGCTTTGGGAAAAATTTTCTCTTTGGACGATAGCGAATGCAAACTGAATAAAAACTTTCTAATGATGAAGAGTGCTCTTCCGCCACGTTTGAATTGGTTAAGACCTGTTATAGATCTTCAGTCGATTTGTTTTTGGTGCTAGCAATATGTTTCTTAATCATTTAAAACACTATGATTATCTGGAAAAAACTTTTCACTTAGAATCGGCCGCGATTGTCACATCCGTTTTAACTTTCAGTGACAAATTCTCCGATTTGTGTTCAAAGTGATTGTCTTTCCTCCGATTGCCGAATCGTTGCTGACTTGGCGCTTCTGTGTCCGGCGGATATTCTGGAAAGCCACTACGAAACAAACTCAAAAAAAGGTCTTTCCAGGAGGAATGCCTAGCCGAAGCAACAATACCGATCAGTGGCCTCTATCCGCGAATCGACGAATGGACATTGACGTTTGTGCCAACACGAGAATAATGCTGACGTTCTTTTAGTCCCTCAAACGACAAACATTATATTCTTTGCAACGGTCGAGTGCTTGTTGATGAGCTCATCTATCTCAGCATCCCAATCGACAACGTATATTACGCTTTTGCTGCTTATTCATTTCATCGTTTTTCAACTAAGGATCTCTACGGTTAGTCAATCAGCCAAGGGGTACATGCAAAATTACAATGACACCTCCAGGCCTTTTTTGCCACTACATTTTTATCTTAAATTATTGTATTAAAATAGATTTTAGCCGCTTTGGTGTCATTTTAATGTAAAGTGGTCTTTAAATCCTTGTTCTTTAATCCCCGTAGTCCTGGATCACCTTGTAAAAACCAAAATTCGTATAATTTAGGCGAAAGGTACCGTTTGATAGAGGTTTTCGTTATATAGAGTATAAACAAAGGTTTTTCTTGTCATTTTGTGTGATAGCCAAGCAGATCAAAAAAATTGTCGTTATGTAGAGGGTGACGTTATAGAGATAGAAGATAGAGGTTTGACTGTGTATTAAACATCATTGAACTCGATCGAGGGGTGGCGCCCATCAGACGAAATACGGTATTCATTTGCTAGGATTCAGCTTCATACCTGAATATCTAATTTTTGGCCGTACCTCTTCCTGACTATATTTTAATCTTTTTAGAAAATTCCCTTCTACTGCCTGTCAATTTTAATCCACTACAACCTGTCACTTCGATTCTCTTTCGATTTGAAGCAACAGACAGTCCGAAATGGCTGACATTGGTCAACACAGTCGATCAGTCATTTCTTTCGTTGAAGCAATTTCGATGGGTTTTCTTTTTTACGGAAAAATCACATTAATCTATGATTTTAGGATCGCGCCAATAAATCTTGTGAATATCAAGTGATTCTCGGCCCACCGGATGGCTATCAAAAGCACTCTGAGCGCAATTTCACAGTCTTTCGGTGAGTGTTGTCGGCATTTATGGTTGAATATGTATTAAAATCTAACATATAAGTCGTTAATAAATAAATTCCAGCAAACTAATCCACTATTTTAGTGACACTGTGCCTTTTGTCGAGCAATGGCTCTTCTCTGATGTCTACAGCATGCACATGCCAGCCGGTTGTGCGCCGAGTTTAGCGATTGAAGTTTTTGCACAAAGTGCGCGGTGATTTAGATTCGATTTTAGATCGATAGATGTTCTTTAATATACCTAGCTGCTGTTTAAAAAATGGCATGTCAATTTTTCGACTGAATATCTTTAAAATTGACCAGTATTTAGAGAATTTGATGCATCGACATTTGACCTTTTAAGATCACCAAAATCATAGACAAAAGTATACATGCGAAACAAGGTACTTTTTTGTAGACGATGTTGGCGAGAGAAACTCCATTGTGCCGCTTCAACAACCAAACATAACACAAGAGATCTGTGAAGGAAGTGCTACTTTTATGTCATCTGGCTATGGGAATCCCCATCGTCTCCCCCTCATATTCGACTCCACTTTTGCTTTTCAAATCACTTGTGGTATGTTTTCTCTGACATACTTTAACTTGTGGATTCGTTTTTAAGAAATTCCAGTCAAACTTTTTCCGAGAACTTCCTTTCCAACCTAATATTACTGAAGCACAAAATTAAAATTAATACTGCGAACCAAACGTACAAAGAGTACTCGTCTATTATTAGGTTGTTCGGATATAAACGAGCGTTTTAGTAGTCGACAAAATTTACCTTAAAAACAGAAAAAACACAGTTTAATCCAAAATATATTCACCATTATTATTGATTGCTTCTTGCTATCGTTTGCGCAAAGAATTGATGCCGCTCTTGAAAGACTCAGCCGGCTGTCACTCGAAAAACTTGGCGACCCAATTTTGGACATCTTCACGGTTTTTGAATTTCTCATTGGCCAAAAAGTCTTGAATCGACCGGAATCAATGGTAATCTGAAGGAGCCAAATCGGGAGCATACGGCGGATATGGTAAAACCTCCCATCCTCCATAGATTCTCCAGTTTTTGCTGAGTCATCTTTGCAAGGTGAGGTCTAGCGTTGTCATGGATGAACTTTATCTTTGATGTGTCTACTCCTTGACAAATGAGAACTTCATTGACCCGATCAAGTTGCTGTTTGTAGAGGTCGGATGTGACTGTTTGACCGGGTTGTAGAAGCTCGAAATACACAAGGGCCTTGTTATTCCACCATACTGAGAGCATGACCTTTTTCCCATGAATGTCCGGTTTCACGGTCGGATTTGACCGCTCTCCTAGTCCTAGTCATTTCCGTTTACGAATAGTATTATCGAAATGGATCCACTTCTCATCTTCAGTAACGAGAGAATCAAAAAAGCCATGATATTTAGCGTGGCGGATAAGGATTCCGGCAATAGCGACCCGTGAAGCCTTGTTTGCACTGCTTAACTCGTGAGGAAGCCATTTCCCGCATCTGATCGTCTTTCCAATGTGGAGATGCTCATCAATAGTAGAATAGGAACCTAGAAACTGTTGAGCAAGTTCACGCGTCGTTTGACATGAATCCGATTCGATCGCAGCCCTCAAAATATCGTTGTCTACCGCTTGAGGTAGACAACAATATTCTTGACGAGAGTGTTCATCATCCTCGAGACTTTCATCACCATTCCGAAAGCGTTAAAACCAGGTTCGGCATCGGCTTTCGGAAAATACATCATTCCCAAATGCTTTGACCAAATCTCGATGGAATTCCGCGGCTGTTTTGCCCAGTTTGAAATCGTAAAGTAGGCAGACGCGAACTTGATGTTCGAAGTCGGTCATCCAAAGCAAGAAAAAAAGATCTTAAAAATAACAAATTATCCGTTTAAAAAGTTTCCAAATATGCGCATAGTTTTTCCAAATATTGGGTTGGGGAGAATGAGTCGGCGCCAAACTTTAAAGGGACTTTTTGCACACATAAAGCCTTCTTTAAACATACGTTTGGTTTCATCAAAAGGATCCACTATTTCTCTACAAAATCACTTTTGAGAGAATCCACAAAGCTTTTTTTCGTGGAGTTTATGAACTTCCAAACGCAGCTGGTTAAAATGGCAAAGAGTCCGACTCATCATTTGAACAGTTTCTTTCACATAAACCTTCTTTGGTGTTTATATAAAAAGATAGAGCATATTCAATTACTTAAGTTGCCAAATTTGCAGGAAGATCCCACCAATGGTTTTTTCTAGATGACAGTTTGTAGTTTTTGTGAAAAAATGGCTTTTTCTTGAGCGGAGGCGCTGTTTGAATTTTCTTTTAAATGTCATTTTGTAGAGAATTAGTTAACCATTCTACTGATATCAAACGCATATTATTTGACGAAGTCGAATAGAAGTTTCAGACATTTTTTTGATTTTCGGCGCCGACTCATTCTCCCCAACCCAATAGTTTTAATTTTGTCCTTCAGTAATATTAGGTTGGAAAGAGAAAGTTCTCGGAAAAAGTCTGACTGGAATTTCTTAAAAACGAATTCACCAATTCAAGAACATTTTGTTCTATTATTTACAAGGTGACTTCAGGAAATTACTCGTAAAAAATGAGTGCAGTTATCCCATAAAATTTTAGAGATTTTTGAAATGTTTATTTTCCAGCTTAAATTCAGCTCACTTTTTGCACCAGAAAAACGATTCCTTATGAGGTAAAGCTAGCATAAATGAGCAATACGCTCTATAATCTCTATTTTTGGCCAAAAAATTTTACAGAGAAGCTATATTTCAAAAAAATAAGTTTTTCGTGTCATCTTCTTGGCACTGAGTGTTTGCTAAAATCGGTCATTCTAAAAAGTTAAATCATTAGATAAAATTTGCCATAATCACAAATTTTCCCTATTTTAAGTACTTGATTTTAAGTTTTGAATGGGACCCATTGACTATTCATTAACCCATTAAAAACTTCTCTAAAGGCTGGTCACTCAAAAAGTGACCAAGTCACTTCAGCTGAAGCTGAAGAAATCTCTTATTTTTTACCTAAAGCCAACTCTGATTTTTTTGTCAAAAACTTGTTGAAATATAGTCAAGTTTATGAAAAGTTCTGGAAAAAATTCATGGCTTGGTTTTTGAGAAATCACCGTGCAAACTTTTTTCTACTAACTTTCATGCCAACCTAATACAGAAGAGTTTTCTTGTGCAGATGCTAACTTCTGCTAGCTGCTAAGCTAACTGAAATTTTCGTTCTGTTCTTTGTTTTGTTCTTAGCTAGAGTTGAACATAATACACGAAGATATAACATTGCATTGCTAGTTTTTTTGTTTAAAAGGTAAAACGGAAAGCTGTTCTGGGTGACGAGATATAGGCGGAAAAAGTCAGTGAAGGAGCTACAGGGGGTTCTTCTATTACAGGTATTATAGTACTTAAGTTGCGGATTTTTGCGGATTACTTTTGATTGGAAACATTCAATGATTTTACTTTCCAGACTCTTTTCCAATTGATGTCAATGTTTCGGTGATTTCTTACGTCAAACATTCAACACTTTCGTTTTTGAATTCGTCGCACGAGTGGACACGAGAGTGAGTTTTCACTCTGAAAGCAACTGGCTTTTCTTTTTTCAGACTCGATAATCAATTTCTTGAATTTTCTGAACACAATTTACACGGAATATCGGTAAAGTCTAATAGTCAATGAGTCTAATAGTCAGCTTTTCAGGGTTATTGTCCAAAAAGCCGAACGAATTCCGAATACGATGGATGCTTTTTAAAAGTAAATATTAAGAAAGCAAAATTCTGAACTTATAATTGGTCTTATGTTTACCTTGTTAAACACTAAATTTGTTCGCAAAAGTAAAAATAAAATTCATTTTGTGGGTTGTGTGATATTAAGTTCTAGACTTGTCAAAAGTTCAATCTTATGACAAAAGTTCATTTTTCCATTCATTGCATGTACAGGGTAAGCAAGAATTACCTCCATCGGCGTTCAGACAGGCCTGCAAACGTTTGGGAAACGCGTTGACCGTGGAATCATCGAGCAAATAGTCATTTTCGAGGGTATCCCATCCTTTGATGAGCGCCTTCTTCGCCTTTGATGAGCGCCTTCTTTGATGAGAGCCTTCTTTGATGAGCGATATTTTTATGTGGTTTTGCACATGCACACTTCAAGAACACTCCAGACTGTGTAATCCAATGGGTTAAGATCGGATGAGCTGGGTGGCCACTCAGAAAACGAGTTAAGCCTCCAAAAGTTAAGCTTCTCCCGCGTGGTTTTGGATAGCCAATTGGCCTGAAAAGCTAAAAAAGCCAAAACTTTTGGTAGTCCCCCATGAGAACGTCGAATAATTGGCGATTTGGCTTTTTTTAGCTTGACTTGGCCTAGAGGTCTAAGTAAGAATAACCATGCTGCTGAAAAATGGGACTGCTAACTCTTTCCACCTACGTTAAAGGGGAGGGGGTAACAATCGAAGCCGATTCTAAGTGAAAAATTTTTCGCCGATAACTATCATTTTGTTTTTATTTGATACTTTGTATATATATGAAAAATGGCAGAAATAAATCGGCTGATTGATTGGTGATGTCAAATCAATTTCCATGAATTCAAACTTCATTTTCATTTTCAAGAATTCAAAGTCAAACTCGACTCGCCGGGGTGCATGCACTACTATTAGAGGAAATACGGTATTCAGCTGATTTCGACCTTTAAATCCGATGGATTACTCAGCCTGGAGTGTTCCCAAAGCAAAGACCTGCTCAAAAATACATTTAAGCCCTGATTCACTGAAAAAAACACTCCAGAAAGCTTGAGCTGAACTCGGCCCTGCGTATCTTTTGGCCACCATCGACGGCTTTCCAAAACGTCTCGCCGCTTGTGCAGCCCCCCATATTTTCGAGAAGAAATAAACCAAACTGTGGAAAGCAATCGAGCGAATAACTTTGTTAATGTCCCACCGCTTGTTCAGCCGTCAATGGAAAGATTTTCAAGAAGAAATAAAAAAAAATTGTTGAAAGCAATCTAGATGGCTTCATTGAATAAATGTTTCTGTTTGAAATTGACTCATTACTTATCGGTCAAACCAATATATGTGATAGACTCGTTGTTAATAGAAAACCGAGCTCAAAGATGCTTACCGTCAAGACTGTAATAGTACCCCACCCCCCTCGTACAGCCGCGTAGTCGCAAAAGTTTTTTAGTATTTCATTTTTTTCAAAGCGCCCGTACTTTCAAAAAATGCGTCTTTGGTGTCAAAAAATAGCTGAATTTCAGGGCTATTTTTTGATACCTAAGCGCGCATTTTAGCATAAACCAGTGTCGAGAAAAACTCGTTCAAAGCTAGACTACGCAACACTCCGCACCGCACATCCGCGCGAAAATGTGTTTTCTATAGGATTTTTACGTTTGAATAGCCGATTGACGCAGAAAAATGTGCTGAATCCGAAAATAAAAGAATTTTTGAAATCCCTTCGACAGATTTTTTTAAAAATCGAGTTTTAGTGATTTTACTGTGTTAAATTTCAGCCAGATTTTATTGTCAGAGCAAAATTTTGGAAACAAAAGCCTAAAACAAAAATGTAAGCCGCAAGTTTTATTCTACGGGCTTTTCTCTATCTTTTGATACCAAAAGCATGAGAATTGATCAACCCTATAAAAAGTTATAACCTTTTGAAAATAAAAATGTGATTCCTGGGCTATGGCGCACTATAACGCGGATAGATTACCGGAACCCGAAAGAGAAAAAGAGCAAAATTAAACTTTTTTTGCTACAATCAAACCATTTTCGCTATTTTTCTTCTTTCAAGATGAAGTGTCGATGTCTACGGATTTAAGTAAAGTTGTTTTTTTATGAACAGATGCTTTGCTTTTGAATTTTTCAGGCCTCGACAGGGATTAATCCAAGAAAGGAATGAGCGCACCGTTTGCAACGGTATATGTTAAACGTTTTGAAATAACATTTTAAAGTTTATTGAAACAACAACATTGAAAACAAGATTAATTAAAATGCCCCAGGTCTGATAATAAAATAACCCAGGAACCACATTTTTATTTTCAAAAGGTTATAACTTTTTATAGGGTTGATCAATTTCCATGCTTTTGGTATCAAAAGATAGAGAAAAGCCCGTAGAATAAAACTTGCGGTTTACATTTTTGTTTTAGGCTTTTGTTTCCAAAATTTTGCTCTGACAATAAAATCTGGCTGAAATTTAACACAGTAAAATCACTAAAACTCGATTTTTAAAAAATCTGTCGAAGGGATTTCAAAAATTCTTTTATTTTCGGATTCAGCACATTTTTCTGCGTCAATCGGTCAAACGTAAAAATCCTATAGAAAACGATTTTTTGCCTTATTTCGCGCGGATGTGCACCGTCATTATGGGGTTGGGGTACTATTACGGTATTTACGGTAGGCCTATTTCCTATTTCCTATTCTTATTTTCTTATGCTTATCTTTTTCCACATTTGCCTTGTTTACTTCTTTTCTTTTTATTACGCTTCATTTTTTAATGCCAAATTGTTTATTTTTTATTTGAGTCTTCATTTCTTTTATTTTGTCATTTGAGCCTCCTATTTTGTAAACTTTTGTTCTTAATAAATTCTCCATTACAGGAAAGCTAATTTTTGTGTTTAGATAAATTTTCTACGATCCAAAACAACAATTTAAAAAAAAAACACACTTTTTTCCAAAGTGCAAACAATGTGCACAATTGCAAACAAAACAATGCACAATTGAGTGCAATTTGAAGGGAATTCGTCTTAATACAGAAAAAAAGTCTTAATACAGGACTTCATCTCGTTTTCTGAGTGGCCACCCAGCTCACCCGATCTTAACCCATTGGATTACTCAGTCTGGAGTGTTCTTGAAGCCAGGGCATGTGCAAAACCACATAAAAATATCGAAAGTTTGAAGAAGGCGCTCATCAAAGCATGGGATACCCTCGGTGATGTCTATTTGCTCGATGATGCCACGGTCAACGCGTTTCACAAACGTTTGCAGGCCTATCTGAACGCCGATGGAAGCAAAGTTGAATTTAATAGTTAATTTGTTACTGTTATATTTTATATAAAAATATTTAAGTTAACATTTCGAGATGGTTTGAATATTTGGTTAAAAGCCAGGCCTTTTGTGCCTTTTGGCCTTTTGCGCTAATTCTTGGTCACCCTGTACATGCAATGAATGGATAAATGGACTTTTGACATAAGAACGAACTTTTGACAGGTCTAGAACTTAATATCACACAGCACACAAAATGAATTTTATTTTTACCATCGGCTAGTCGATGGTGATTGAGAGTTTTTTAACGAAACATTTGAAATGCAATGCAGACTTATCTCACATCCACATAAAAAAGGTAGGTTAATCGGATCAAATATTTTAGCACCTCGGAAGGTAACTTCTGTTGCCAAATTCGAAAGATTATGGCATCTAAAAGTAAATTTTGCTTTATGAATTACAAGTTTTATTCACTTTTCAACAATTTATTGCAAACATGACTAGTTTAAAGAATACCCCCTTTTGTTATACTGGTAAGCTGTTGTCCAGCTTTTTAATCACTGGATCTGTCAGCTTGATCGCGCGACCAGCCTGGAGAACAGAGAGCTTTGCTTGAAAGGACCACCCTGTATTTCACAGCTCCAATCTTCTTGAAATGTACGATGTAATAGTGGGATGGTCAAGTTCAAACTGGAGCAGATTTGGTTAAACTAACTGGTAATCTCATGGATTAAGACACAACTAAAACTGGATCTTTGATCAGGGTCGCCCCACACATTCCTGCAAATAAACAGTGCGTTGCAAAATGATAGGAGCACCCTCGATTTTTGACTTTAAATAACTAAAAATGCAAAACAAATCTTAAATTCTAATTTTCCATATGTCGCCGCCGCCCGTGACTTTCAGCCGCTAGTGATTGAATCACCATCGGCTAGTCGATGGTGATTGAAAGTTTTTTAACGAAACATTTGAAATGCAATGCAGACTTATCTCACATGCAAATAAAAAAGTTAGGTTAATCGGATCAAATATTTTAGCACCTCGGAAGGTAGCTTCTGTTGCCAAATTCGAAAGATTATGTCATCTAAATGAAAGGAAATTTTGCTTTATGAATTGCAAGTTTTATTCACTTTTCAACAATTTATTGCAAACATATAATAAGCATTAACAACAAAAAATTAATTAACAACTTCCCTAAGGTGCAACACAACAAAATGCTAGAACAAAATCAAGTTTAACTAAAAAATAATTAAAATTTCAATGTTACTTGTTTGAGTAGGTGCTATTATGACATCGATTGTTGCACAAAACGTTCGACTTGAGGCATACACATCGACCATTTACGCATCCATTTGTACACTTACAGTGCTTGTGCCCTAAAAAAAAGCAATTAAACAAACGCTACAAAAAATACCTTGAGATCCGGTGAGAGATTCGGCGCCGACTGCTGAGGGAAATGATGTCTCCTTTTCGGGCACATCTTCAGCATCGATGAAATTGTTGCTTGCTGGCACAAACTGGTTGCGAGTCAACCTATAAAATTATTTAATAATCAACAACAACAAACAAACTTTTGAGGGAGAATTCCATTCGAAGTGCCAATTTTGTAAAATCCGTCGTTTGCTTCCAACAAAACTCCGAAAAGAGAAGGATGCCCAATCTTCGGTCTATCCACCGTATCGATTGGAACTCGAACAGTTTTTCCAATATCAACAGAACCATATCTAAGAAAAAAGCATAGTATCAATTGAATTAATTGAAAAGCATGCATTATACCTATTTTTAGAAGATTCGAGCATCTTCTCGGCTTGCTTCTGTTGAAATCTGACGGCGCCAGCTCGATGTTGACAAATTTTCTCATCAATACGATTCAATTCTAAAAAAATGTAGATCAATTAAACAAAAGTTTAAGCGAAAAAATTAACCTGCAATTGTGCTATCCGTTTCAATGCTTTCAACTTGATGTTGCCAGGTTTGGTTCAATTCTAAAACAAAGCGTTTGGCCAACTAGAGAAAATAATTAGAAGGCAAAATCAACCTGAAATATGTGCTTCTGCGGCTTCAGCTCGATGTGATACATTTTCCTTATTCACATGATACGATCCTAAAATAAAAAGTTCAATTAAATCATAATCAAAGCTTTACTGACCTGTATCTGTGCATTCCTTGACAATTTCATCATACTCTTTGGAATCGGGCCAATAAGTCGGATTATCCGTTAAAGCAGCCTTGATTGATTCGGTCCAATCTTCAAATTTTTCGGGCTCGGGCTCGATTTCCTAAAACAAAAAAGTTAAACAAAAACTAGAAACATTAACCTCCGTATTTTCTGGTAAATTTCTTTCATCATTGGACGGCTCAACGGTAAGACCGAGCGTTAACTTTCTTCCAAACTACAAAATCAGCATATTTAAGTTTAATTCCAAAAATTATACCATTGCTTCGAAAGGGGAACGTCCAATATCTCGATGATAACGTCGGTTTTTCATTGATTGAACAATTGGGAGAAGTCGAGCCCATTTTGTCGATTTTTCTTCTCGCAGCTGTGTACAGAGGATACGCCAAACCATAAAAATTAACCCGTTTTTCAAAAAAGAATAATAAAATCAACTTACTTCGATGTCTTGATTGCATTTTTCAACTGATCCTTGGCTCTGCGAGTATCGAGGGCGACCATGTACGATTTGGCAAATTCAACTCAAAATCAACTACATAGTTTCGAAAAATAAATTCATGTACTAGCTTTAAATTTGACTAGGTTGAAGTTTCGTCCTTTGTTTAGTCACTCATTGAATGGATCCAAGATTTATTCAAAAAAAACCCGACTCGAAATTGGATAAAAAACCAAATCACTTCTAAACTGAACGACAACTCTAAACCAAAAGATGCACCAGGTGAGAATTCATGAAACTTGAAAATTCAGAAAAACAAAGGATCAGGTGAGAATTCATGGAGTTTTGAAAAACTCTTTATTAACACAAACAGATCACTGAAACTGATAAAATACCAAAGATGCATTTATGCATTTTTATTTAGCATAAAATTAAATTTTGAACTTTCTAGGGACTCCATTGTGCAATCCCACTTGCTCAGCTACTCAATGAAAAGATTTGATGGCATATAAATATTAAAAGGATCAAGAGAAGTAGTTTGTTTGGAATCGTTTGATCATATGGAATGTTTTGATTGAATCTGATTGAATGAACAAAAAAAATAAATGCTAAAGTAGAGCTAGTAAATTTATAGGCAGCCAAAGTTGGGACGGCAACGAGCCATAGCGCTTGGATCTTGAGGAGCTGTTGATCCACCAAGAATGGCAGGTGACAAGATCTGAAACAGAGAAACGTTCGGCAATTTCTACCAGCAGCTGGCTTAGGCTCAAATTGCAAATCTTGGTTTTCCAATACCCACCTCAACAAGCATCTTTCCTTCACTGTGAAACTTGGGCGAGAGAATGCTCGGCGATAGTATCACCAAACCCATGAATTTGTCACTCCTGAATTACATTGTTTTATTGTAGTTAAGTTTTTAGTTAAAAGTTTATACTCATGCACTCATGACTTACATATAATTTGGAGATAATATTCCTGGACTCAAAACATCGATCACCATTGCTTCCGGGCTGAGCACTTTAGGTTCGAGGAAACGAGGAGTGAGCACCTTAGCGACAAAGACTGTCGGAGAGAGGACCCACGAGTTGAGAGCACGAGGGGATAACACCTGAAATTTCCTTTAAACTGATTTTAAACTTTAATTTTTTTTACTGTTTTTTCAAGATTCAAAAGAAAGGAATATTTCTACACCCAAGAAACTTCTCAAGCAATTGAAAGAAATAGTTGTAGTTATCAAAACTATTTTCTTGCTCTGCAATGTTATTTGGGTTGTTTTTTTTGAACAAAATGTTTTTTTTACTGTGTGTAAGTTTTTAGCAATATGAAATAAAGTCTAAAATTTCTCACTCAGGACTCACATCAGCTCGAAAAGCGATCGGACTGAGCGTGCGAGCGATGAGAGCATTCGGCGACAGAATCGCTGCGACGAAGGCCCTTGGTGACAGTGTGAATACCTAAAAATAAATGAAATAGTTTAATTATATAACCATTGGGTTGTCCAGTTATAAATGCGCGTTTTTGAGGGCTTATTCCAAATATTTCTGCAAGTTCACGTGTAGTTTGTCGAGGATCAATTTCGATCGCCTGTTTAAGTACTGCATTATCGATCGCAGGAGGCCGGTGGTCCTCATCTCCCAAAAATTCATTTCCTTCTCCATCGCCGACTTTCCTTCTCGTTGAAACCATCGCCGACACTGGCTTTCCGAAATAGCATCTTCCGAAATACTTTCCAAAGGCCTCGATGAGATTCAGCGATATTTTTGCCCAATTTGAAGTCATACCAAAGACTGGCACGGAGACGAAACTTCGTGTCGTTCACAGAAATTAAATCAAAAATTGGTTTGACGTCAAAAACACAAAAAGTTGTAATCAAATAAGAGATCCTGAACAGCATATAGAAAATTGGGTTTGATAAAATTGTAAAGCTCTAAGGAATGCTGTTCAAGTTGTTCAAGAGCAGGACATTCACAACTGGACAACCTAATATATAGCTAAAAATAGTTTTTCTAGTATGTCTAGTATTTCTAGAATGTCTAGAAAGCCTAGAAAGCATAGAAAGCCATAAAAAAACCCACATTGAGTGCTTGTGGAGCCGCAAACTCGAACACCCAGAAACTCGGCGACAAAGTGACCACTTTCAGTGCCAGTCCTTTGTTGATGAAATTGGTAAAGGGCATCGGTTTGAAGGTGATGAATTCAACGTCTGAAAAAAAGAAATCTAAAATTTAGCTGGTGAATTAACCTCCAACATATACAGATTGAAGGCTTTCCACTTGTCTCTTCGATCGCTTCGAGGCGCCTAAAAAGAGGCCGATGAGAACTTTGTACTACTTTTTTATTAGCTTGTTAATCTTAAAAACACAACTAATGAAATTCACCTGCTTCTTGATCTTCGTACAATTTTGCCATTTGACGGATTTCCTTCTCAAGTAGAGCCTCTTTTTCGTCTTTGTTCATCGCAAGATAGGCGCTCATATCGTCATTGGATGTTCCGTTAAGGACTGAAAGTGGATAAAGATAGAAAGAAGTAGAGTTAACTTAACATCTAATGGATAATCTAATGGATAATGGACAATCTAATGGATGATGGACATATATAGAGGGAGAAACTACATTTTTCAACCAGATAATGCTTCAATTCATGTTAGCCGATTCACTAAAGCTTTCCTGGGTCGTCACAACATCGATTTTCTCAAATCACCTGCTCACCGGACTTAAACCCAATAGAAAACTTGTGGGGCATCCTTGTGAGGAATATTTATGCTAGTGGGAAGAATTATGACACTATTTTGCAACTCAAAAGAGCCATTTTGTAAGCTTGGACGTTAATTCACTCACAAACGCTTTAAAACTTGGTAAACTCGATGAAAAATCCATTACTGGACGTCATCGAGAAAAAAGGAGCCTCTGTTGACGCTTAGATTCTAATTTTATATTTTATATACGCACAAATAAATCATTTCAACTCATTTACTTTCAAAGTCACATATTTTTAATAATTTTTTATTCTACACCCTTTGCAAAACGATAGGACCGTGATGGTCCTATTTTTTTCTTATGTTCTATGTTTCTTTTTCATTTTCTACTTATAATAACTATTTTTCATGCTTGTTCTATTTTTTCAAACTAATTTTTATTTTTTAGGAAGATGGGGCGTGGAAAACCGCTTTCGCGAATCGAACAGATGAAAATTGCGATTTTGAAAGAAAAAAAGTTGTCGAATCGGAAGATCGCAAAAAAATGAAGCGCTCGCACCAAGTTGTCGCAAATTTCTTGAAGTATCCTTTCAATTATGGCAAGAACAAGTCACCGGAACATCATCCAAAGCTCACAGGCCGCGCTGAACCGCATATTGGACGTCTGTTGTCGAATTCGGTGATGTCGCTATAGGGCGTCAAGGCAAAAATTGGAGCCCCCGTCCTCAAAAGCACTCTTTCTCGAGCCATCAAGTGTATGCCTTACATCAAAAGAGCAGTCATGAAGACATGAAGACGATGCTTCAAAACTTGGTGAACTCGATGAAAACTATTAGACGTCATCGAGAAAAAGGAAGCCTTTATTGATTATTAATGAATGTTTCGGTCCTGTTTTTCGTTTGTTTCAAGTTTATTTTTTATTTATTTTTATGTGTTCCTATAATTTTGCAACAGATGTTGAATAAAGAAATCGTTAAATTTTTTTGGCAACTTATTCAAGTCTATTTTTGTATATGTCGTAGCCGATTATGAATGAAATTTTTTGGCAAATCTTTCTACTAGAGCAACCCTTTAATGTATGAGGACAATATTATATCATCTTGCAGCGAATTAAATTCTGCGTCGATTGATACCAAATTTGCGAGTTTAGGTTAAAAATTGCCGGCGCTACAACGTTTCATTCAAAACCCCGTAGCCGATTATGAATGAGTGGGTCTACGAGCGTCCAACCATCAAGTATTTAGTATCATTCAGCGCAGAGTCATTGATAATTATGTTAAATTTTTTAAATTAGAAAGATTGGATAAAAAGAAAAAAAAGTATGGAGCTTCAAAGTTTTCTCTTTTTATCCAATCTTTCTAATTTTAAAAATTTAACATAATTATCAATGATTCTGCGTTGAATGATACTAAATACTTGATGGCTGGACGCTAGTAGACCCACTCATTTATAATCGGCTGAAATTCATAATCGACTACGACATATATTTCTAAGATTTAAGAGCTATTTAGCATTATCAAATTTCATAGCCAAAAAATGCAAAATCCAGGGGTGGCCCTATCATTTTGCCAACGCACTTTATAGCAAGACTATCGAAATCTTTTAAACCAGATTTAGAACAAAACATGATCATTTGATCATGATCACTATCTCATGTATTCACAACCCACAATCAGATCCCGATCCATGGAGATGCTCAAGTTGTTCTCTTTCGAAGAACGTGTATCCTTTTGTGTCAAGTTCTTTTCGTTGATCTACTTTCAGACTTTGGTGAGCTCTCAAATGAGCAAGATCGAGTCGAGACATTTTTTGAACAAGCGGGTACCTCACCTCGTTCATTTCTCTAAATGAAAAGTTGCCTAAATGATCGCCTAAATGATCTAAATGATCTAAATGATACTAGTTGAACTGCTTAACCAAACTTTGCTTTTGCCGTTCATACCTGATCTCATTCTTCATCTTTCCAAGCACCTCATCCAAAACTTCCGATGCTCCACTCGCTTCCAAAATTGCATCCAAGAGAATATGTTTTGAAGTTTCTGTTCCAGTGGCTGCCTAAATGATCTTAGCAGAAATTTTTTCACTTTAGCAAACTTTTAAGATATCATTCATCGAGAAGACACCATCACGGTGAAAACTGAGTAAATTGGGTGAGAAGAAATGTGGTCGATGTTTTTGTGATTGGCTCTCGGGAAAAATCGAGAAAATGCTAGGGGATAGAATGGAGAACTTTTCCTCGTTCAAATGATGACCCTGAAAGAGAGTATTGTATGCAAAAGCCATAATAAATACTTCTTTTGATATAATTTTACAAATTTTAATTACAGTCGACTCTCGTTATAACGACTCATACTTACGGTCTCAGTCAAGTGCTTAACCAAACTCCTTAAGTCGACTCTCGATATAATAGTTTTCTCGATATAACTTTTTTTAATCGCTGGTGTTGTAGCTTTTGATTTGATACATCGATACATACATTGCATACATTTGATACATACATTTTGTGACTAAAACGTGGACAACTTTCTAAAACGGGATGTTGTTCACAGCATAAATGCACTTGATTATTTCCTTGACGACAACTCTACTTCAACTATAGGCGTTCAAACATTGCCCGAAATCGTTTATGCCATAAAATACTCCGAGGAACCAAGAAAGTGAAAAGGAGATGTTGTTGATAGCAGGAAACAGTTCATAGCGGGAAACAGTTCATAGCAGGAAACAGTTCATAGCAGGAAAGAGTTCATAGCAGGAAACAGTTCATGGCAGGAAACAGTTCATAGCAGGAAACAGTTCATAGCAGGAAACAGTTCATAGCACGAAAGCAGGAAACAGAGCAAACGATTTCACGACCCGAAGCTTATAATGTTTTCAAAAGTTCCAAAACTATACAAGGAAAAAAGGCTATTCAAAAGTTTTTGCTGCCTTAACTGTTCTTGATCACATTTTACGAGGGATCTTTTGTTAAAGATAAACCGTCTACAGATTCCTAAAACTCTAAAACACGCAGTCTCACGTTACAGATTTTTTCCATCTAACTCGATATAATTATTTTGGTTAAAAACCTTGGCTTTTTACTTCCTAATAACGATTCCATTTTGCCGACAGAATCGCTATAAAAGACTGTATATGAAACTATCTAGCGAATCACTTTTTCTTTACCGTAAACTTGTTGATCATCGACATCACGCTGTTGAAAATGGCTTCGTCTTTGCGCAGCGTTGGCGTTCGACTTTTTAGATTGAAACGTTCGAGAACTCTGAATTCTTTTTATTTGAACTAAAAGCCACAATTGAAACTGATCATTTTTAACGTTTCTTTAAACTTACTCCTGATTCTCGGTGTTGACCATCTTCAGATACTCATTGCAGACATCGACTTTAAGAAAATGGTTTCGTAACCGGCGGAGATTCTCAAGATTTTTCGATGAGAAGCCAGCTCGATTGTCTGAAATTGAATCTTTCAATGAGAACTATAACGATGGAGTAATGATGGGGTTTCTAAAAAGAAATCTTACTCATCAATGCTCTGAAGTAGGTATTCGCAATTTTTGGCGCTTTGCGGAGGATTCGGTCGACATCAAATTTATCTGAAAGCCATTAATATAGTGTGTAACAAAATGATAGATCCACCTTGATTTAACAGCTTTATTTTGGTTAGCATAAAGGCTGATCAAGGCGCCACAATTGTGTAAGTGACTTGCAAGAGGTTCCTCGATCAGAGGAATACCCCTTCAATAATTATGTTTAATCAATTTGCTCAGTTAACATTAAAAGTTCGTTAATTGGCATTTATCGAATTGTGGTCGAATTCGGACGTCCGAAACCGACCACAAGATAATCAATGGTCGGATACAGACGTCCGGATTCGATGCTGACGTCCGGATCGGATGTCCGGATCGGCCACGGACCTCTGGTCGGATTAGGACGTCCGAAACCGACCACAAGATAATCAATGGTCGGATACAGACGTCCGGATTCGATGCTGACGTCCGGATCGGATGTCCGGATCGGCCACGGACCTCTGGTCGGATTAGGACGTCCGAAACCGACCACAAGATAATCAATGGCCGGATACAGACGTCCGGATTCGATGCTGACGTCCGGATCGGATGTCCGGATCGGCCACGGACCTCTGGTCGGATTAGGACGTCCGAAACCGACCACAAGATAATCAATGGCCGGATACAGACGTCCGGATTCGATGCTGACGTCCGGATCGGCCACGGACCTTTGGTCGGATTCGGACGTAACATATATATAGTGCGTAACAAAATGATAGGTCCACCACGTTTTTTGCTCCAAAAACTAGGAATTTTGAATAAAAATTCAAGTTTTAACCAAAAACAAGTTCAAAATTTAGTTTCAATTCAATTTGCATCAAAATGTTATTTAATCGGGAAAATATTGCGCTTTTTTTATGAGGAATTTTTGTTTACAAATAGTCAGGCAAGCATGCAACACGAAAAACTGCTTATTGGTCTAGAAAAAGAAAAAAATGCCATTCTAAAGATGTACACAAGAAATCCCGTTGTTACCTATTGGATTCAACGAGTTGACGCTTCTCTTCCCTCTCCGTCGCTCAATCCATTGCTCAGCTCTGTAAAATTACCAATTTACTTATAAAACGTGAAATAAGTTATTGACTTATAATTTTATTACTTTAGACTTGAAATGAGTTACTTATTTACTTATTTATAATCTTATTATTTGTTATTCTTTAAAGCTTGTACTTGGAATTGTCAGTGATCGAGAGAAATCTCAGCAAATCCTCTTCAATTGTTCCTCCTCTGATCCTCTTTTGTCTTCTTCTCAACTTTCTTCTTTTCTTCTTTTCGGTTGTTTTTCGTTGTGGTCGGATGAGTTTTCTTTTCCATTCCTCATACGATAAACGATGTGTTGGCTTTCGGAAAGAGATTCTCGGTGTTGTGTTGCTTCTTTGAAGAGCGATCAGGACTCTCCGTTGAATCAAAATTTTCTTAAGCAATGAGGGCTTTGACGGCTAAATAAAGCAAAAATCAAAAAAAAACTATTTTTGACCGATTTCTAAAATGACCCAAAACTATTTAAAAACCTTGAACAAAGAAAGAGAATATTCCTTTCGACGATTCCTCTCGTTCAGCAGACGAACCACACAAACAGCCAGAGCACCGAGCTGCTGAAATATGTAATGTTTAAACCTTGATACAACAAAATCTAAATGCTAACTTTACTTGAAACCAGCTTTTAAAGCATTATCGAAATAGAGCAGTTTGAAACAAAACAAAACATTACTATAAATTTAAACCATACACATTGACTTTGACAACTTTGACAAATCAATTGTCATAACAACAACTCTATTGAGCCACCGATTGAGCACGACTCTTCTCGGATTGAAAGCATTCGACGAAATCACGGGTTTGAGAAAAATATAAGAAGAAGAAGAAGAAGCTGAGGAAGAAGATGAAGAAGAAGAAGAAGTAGAAGCAGGAGAAGAAGAAGAATAACTAGAATAAGTAGAAGAAGAATGAGTAGAAGAAGAAGAAGAAGAAGAAGAAAAAAGACATCTTTGATCTTTGACTAACTAATAAATAGATAGTAGATCAGTGAGAACAGAAACATTAGCGATCGAACAAAATGTCTTATTGTCATTTCACTTTTAGCAACAAAAATTAAATTTTGTCACTGTAAAAAAAGATCTGAAAACTGACACAAGTTTGTATTATTGTGTGTTAATGTTTTAGTTTTCGTCAATGTGTTTTTTCTCTGCCATTCTCACCTTGACTCCTCGAATGCACTCTTCATAGACAATCTTCTCGATTATTGGAAGATCTCTGTAGACATTCATTGCTTTAGCCTGAATTTTTTTTTGATTTTCTTATTATTTGAACATTCTTATTATTTGAAACGTTTCTTGACATTTAAAACAAACCTTCAGCAATGCTTTTACACTCCAAACATGCCACTGATTCCCCAGTTCTTCTTGTTCAACTTCCAAAACTTTTCTCGATTCATCACCATCATTTCCATGATCATTTCCAGCTATTAGTGTAAAAAATAAAGCTAAAAATATGATCATTAAAAGTTTACAGGAATATCATTACAAAGTAGTAGCCACATTTCACACAATCGTTTGAGATCAGCTTCCGGAGCAAAACCCTGGCATAAGAGTTTCTTTTGAAAGTGATCCTGAAAAGAGAACGGTAAAGGATTATGCCCTAACAAAAGAGCTCTTATTCAAGTCGTTGAAGATTATAGTTCAGAGACGAAGATGATACGGCAAAAACATTTTTCCCATGAGTGATCTGGTTATGCCGCTTATTTCAGCGGCATAACCAGGTTTTCAAGTTCATTTTAGCCTAACCTAAAATGAACTTGAACATAGAGAATCTCTCCGACAAATATTGACCGAATCACATCCAAATAACCGCATCGTTAAACTAAGCTAAGCAAACTAAGCAAACTTTCAAACATTTTTAATACAATTGTAACGTTCCTTTATTTGCTATTAGTTGCTAGTTGCTAAAAAGTTACTAAGATTGTTAATGATAGAAAGTTTCAATGTTTTAAAGCTCTCGTTATAACTCAAATCTCAAAAGTCTTCAGCTAACGATTAAGAGATCAACCTTAAAGTTCAAAATCTTCTACTGTACAGTAGTCTCAAGAAAAGAATGATGTTTGAGTGAAACAGACAACTGATCCAATGTTTGAGGAAAAGACAGTTTTACAGTCAACTTTTAGGGTCAACGCAACTTTCGAATCGTAGTGGAGCGTGAAGAAAGAGAAAAGAAAGGCGAAAAACCAAGCCCAACTTACAATAAAGCTATCCAATAGGCCATGAAATCAAGCGTGAAGTCGAATTTGAAATGAGAATTGGAGAGAAAAGAAAGTTGACAAGGTGAGAGTACGTGTGCACCCGTTCAGTGCACCCAAAACAGCAAAAGGGCAACTTTCTGATCGAAAAGTGCTCGAGTTCAATCTACCAAAAGGATACGATTGGGGGAAACTTGACCTGCTGTCCAGCACGGGAAAACAAAGTTCAAAGTCTGAATTTGTTTAAAATCTAAGCGATCTTCTTAACACGCTTTTCAAAAGTTACTCAACATCAAAAGTTACTTTTCAAGGCAAAGCATCTCAATATCAAACGATTTCTGAGATGAATACAAACAAAAACCTTGTTTATAAACAAACAACACCGAAAAGTGCACCCAAAACAGCAAAAGAGCAACTTATTTTCGGCGGGCAAATTTTTGATCCTTTGTCACTTTCTCCTGATTTCATGACTTCCTTATTAAATGAAATTTCTGAGCCACCATTTACCATTACCATATGGACCACCACCATGAGACTTTTGCCATAAAATTAAAACTTTGTACTGGCGTCGTGGTCCATAATATTTACTATTAGGATAACTACAAATTTAAACCATACGCTTTAAACTTTCTTGATCTTGATCAGAGTTTCTTTGGAAAAATGGGACACTTCTTTAAAAAAGGCTAGTTAAAAACCTCTTGTATTAGCATATAATGATCACAGATTACACAGGCAACTTTCTGATCGAAAAGTGCTCGAGTTCAATCTACCAATGATCACGATTGGGGGAAACTTGATCTGTTGTTCAGTTCGGGAAAACAAAGTTCAAAGTCTGAATTTGTTTAGAATCTAAGAGATCTTCTTAACACGCTTTTCAAAAGTTACTCACCATCAAAAGTTACTTTTCAAGGCAAAGCATCTCAATATCAAACGATTTCTGAGATGAATACAAGCAAAAACCTTGTTTATAAACAAACAACACCGAAAAGAAAATTCCCGTCTTAAGAAGTCGTGTAGCTCTGAGTTAACCGCCAAATCTATTAGACGTTTATCGGACTGTTTTTTTGTGTTAATTAACCTTTTTAACAGACTTAACCCCGGCCTGATGCAATCTTTTGTTCCTTTGTTTTTACTGCTTCATTTGTTTTTACACTTTTTGAGTGGAAAAGGTGACGCACATCGGCGCGAAAATGCGTTTTCTATCGGATTTTTCTGGGAGTATCTTTTTTAGATGCGGAAAATTGTGCTGATTCCGAATCTGAAGGAATTTTTCATGACGTCATGACGGGTTCAATTCCTCTAAGGATAAAATCTTTTGTTTTCTCTGTTTTTTTTACACTTTTAACGAAATTATGTTCAATTTACTATATATATATTAGGTTGGTGCAGATGAAACTTCCGTCACACTTGTTTGTTTACATTTTGAACCTAATAAAAGTTTTTATTGAAGATATTTGTCTATCTGAAAGAGCGTCTCTTTGCGCGTCTTTTGATATCTAAGACTTATGCGTTTTACTTAATTTGAAGTAATTTTTAGCTTCTAGAAAATGGTTGACGAAAAATTTCGAGTGCGGGTTTGCTTGTTGTATGATTTTAAACAAGGCAGAACGCCTACGGAATCTCATCGTGCTCTGTGCAAAGCATTCAGCGATGACGTGTTGTCCGAACGTCAATGCCGGACTTGGTTTCAGCGCTTCGAGAGACGGTGATGAGAGTTTGGAAGACGAAAAACGCGGGAATCCACCTCAAATTGTCGACAACGATGAGTTGAAGAACGCTATCGAATCGGATCCATGCCAAACAACTCGGGAGCCTGCAGAGCTGTTTGACTGCGACCATACAACCATTCTCCGCCATTTGCACGCAATTGGTAAGACGAATCGGTGTGGAAAATGGGTGCCACATCAGCTCAGCGACGCAAACAAAGCGACTCGAGCTACAATGGCTGGAATTCTCGTCCGCCGCGCAAAGACCGCCGGTTTTCTCGACTCCATTGTTACGGCAGATGAAAAGTGGATATGTTACGACAACACAACAAGAAAACGGCAGTGGTTGGACGCCGGTGAACCGCCAAAACCGACTCCCAAACCGAATGTCCACTGAAAAAAGGTGATGCTTTGTATTTGGTGGAATAGTAAAGGTCTCGTGTATTTTGAGGTGCTGGATTCGGGCCAAAGAGTCACGGCGGATCTCTACAAAGCCCAATTGAGCCGCGTGGACCAGGCATTGCGTCGTCAAGGCAATAACACGGCGACTACAAAATTCCTCAACGATAACGCTCGACCCCACATCGCAAAGATCACCCAGCAGAAAATCGAGGAATTGGGCTGGGAAGTTCTGCCTCATCCGCCATATAGCCCGGATTTGGCCCCATCCGACTACCACTTGTTTCGGTCGATGCAGCACTCTCTAGCAGAAAAAAAATTCAAAAACCGCGAAGAAGTTGAAATCTGGGTGTCCAACTTCTTCGAGTCGCAGTTGCCCGAGTTCTTCGAAAAGGGCATCCATTCTCTGCGTGGAAGATGGCAAAGAGTCATTGATAATGATGGCGAATATCTTTTGGATTGAGGTTCTGTATTAGGATTTTTATAATAAATTTTGTTTATGGTTCCAACGGAAGTTTCATCTGCACCAACCTAATAAAAGGCAAATGTCCGTCCGCACGGCCGAAATCGCCCCCAGTGAGCCGATTTAAATAATTTTTTCTTTGTTAGATAGGGAATTTTATTTCGTTCTGTAGCTCGTCATTTAAATTTTTTAAAGCAAAAATCGGGTACCTACCGTAAATACTGTAATACATCCCTCGTACAGTCGCGTACCCTCGTACTTTTCGACAAAACGATCACTAAAAACATTAAAAGCAAGTTTTCTGCATTCTTACGTTAAAGATCTGATAATTTTAGAGTTCACATAAGAATTGCTGATCTTAAAAGCTATAGTTCTAATACATTTTTAGGTAATGAATACCGTATATACTGTAATAGTGCCCCAACCCCCTCGTACAGTCGCGTAGTCGCAAAAGCTTTTTAGTATTTCGTTTTTTTCAAAGCGCCGGTACTTTCAAAAAATGCGTCTTTGGTATCAAAAATAGCTGAAATTCAGGGCTATTTTTTGATACCTAAGCGCCCATTGTAGCAGAAACCAGTGTCGAGAAACACTCGTTCAAAGCTAGACTACTAATTTGGATATAAGCTTCATTTTTGATTCTCTACAACTTTCCATTCACACCAAAATGGGTTTCTTTGGAAGAAAGTGTGAGAACTGTGCACATATGGAAACTAGCCGCTGAGTCATAATCCCCAACCCAATAGATGGCTTTATTGAATAAATGTTTCTGTTTGAAATTGACTCATTACTTATCAGTCAAACCAATATATGTGATAGACTCGTTGTTAATAGAAAACCGAGCTCAAAGATGCTTACCGTAAATACTGTAATAGTGCCCCAACCCCCTCGTACAGTCGCGTAGTCGCAAAAGTTTTTTAGTATTTCATTTTTTCAAAGCGCCCGTACTTTCAAAAGATGCGTCTTTGGTATCAAAAAATAGCTGAAATTCAGGGCTATTTTTTGATACCTAAGCGCGCATTGTAGCAGAAACCAGTGTCAAGAAACACTCGTTCAAAGCTAGACTACACAACACTCCGCACCGTCATTATGGGGGTGGGGTACTATTACAGTATTTACGGTATGGGCGGTTGTGTGGGCGAGAGACGGTCGCGCTACCTACTGCGAGGGGAGGGGAAACGGCTTAAACTAACTAGAGAGCTCAAACTATGCGTTAGCCCCAAAACATCCAGCCAGAAACATCCATTCGGCTGGTCTTGATTAATACTCTGTTAATCGTTGGTTAGCCAATTTACCCCACCAACGGGAGTGTTGAAAGGGAGAAAATACATCGTTTTTGCTTCAATCAGTGCTTCCATTTTTGATGTCGGCCATCCGTTGTCCATCGCTCTTTGTAAAAAAGCGTCATAGCCTTTGTCGGGTTGCCGTAATTTTTTGCGGCTTTCACTTCTTTCTCCTTTCCTCTGAGTTGAAAAACTGTAAGACTGAAAACATTACATTAGCATTACAATTATACATATGCTGACTATGTGAAGTATTTTTTTCAAGGTTTTTTAGAGCGTCCAAAAGTACCGTTACCTTGCCGACCGTATCTTCCGAGACTCTTCGAAATTTCAATCATTCAACCGTAAATTGATTGGGTTTTTTCTTTGATCTGTCTTCGAAATTAGGTGTTCCTAATTTGTCCTATTGTCATCCAGTGTTTCCCATCTTGGTTGTTCCTGGTTCAAAGTCTTCGACTTGCTTGTGCTGGTGGTGGTTGCACTCTAGCCATCCTTTCTCTGACCGTCGCTGCCACTCTTGTGCTTCACCTCGTTGCTGGTCTTCCGATGGGCCTCTTCTGGTCTCGTGGTAGCCACTCTGTGATCCGTATCGTCCATCTGTCGTTCGTTCTTCTGGCTACGTGACCGGCCCATTTGAGTCTTTTCTCTCGAACACTTCCACTGGATCTCTGAGTCCCGAGAGCTGGCGCATATCCGTACTTCTTAGGTCTTGGTCGAGCTGCGTCTTCCTATTGTGCCCGAGGAGGTTCCTTTCAAGGGCTCGATGCGTCGTTCTCAGGGCTCGTTCAGTGGTCTGTGTCGTGGTCCAGGTCGCTGTCCCGTAGCAGAGTGCCGGGAGGACGGTGCTGTCGAAGAGGTGTGCCCGAGTCCTCTGGTGATTCTTGAGTATCTTTTTGACTTCTTTGATGCCTCCTAGTGCTGTCCAGGCCCCTCTTTTGCAGCTTTATTCACTTTTGAATTCCCGGTTTCCTTTTTTAAACTTCCTGTTCGATTGGTAGCGTTTAAAAGCCGAAGTTAGCCAAGGTCTCTGTCTGGTCGGGTTATCTCAGGTAAAACTCGATAAATTCAATAGTGTCCTAGTATTAGATGCGTTTTATCAAATGCAACGCAAGGAACTCGATCGTTTTCCCAATTCAGATTCTATTCCACCCACAACCTTTCCCTTCACCAATGACCAAATCCCGGAATACCCATGTTGTTATCATCTATTTTTGCTCAAAATCCCGGAAAAACTCGTGATTACAAATTTCCGTCATTCAGATTCAGATTTAGCTCCAAAATGATGTAGGCTAAATTTCCGAAATAAAAAGCTTTATTATTATTATCACTTTCAGTCATTCATGAACACTGGCAACAAAAAATTATCGGAATTGAGTGAATTATCGGGCGGATAAGTGAATTTTGTCAATCTTTCAATTTTTTGAGTCTGAAATCATAAAATACGGCAAGCTAGTAGGAATTTTTGTGAAAAAAAACCTGGGGAAATGATGTGATTTTGATGAGTTTTCTTTTTGCATTTTGGAAATCGGCTAAACGATTCGTAATGGGCTTATTTTTGGATGCGAAAACTTTGCACCTGAATTTTGGAACCAATTTCAGCAGCAATCTGATTTCACCCAGCTTTTTCAAAGCATTTCGAATTCGAACGATATGGCTTTTTAGTTCCATAATTGGAAAAGTTCTAAAATGGTAAATGTCAAAGGTTTTGCCCATGTCTAGCCAGTACTTTGCTTGTAATTTAGGTTCGAAAAGTCTTGTCGCGTGCTATTTGCATTGAGGTCACTTTTTTGTTCATTTTAGAATTCAAATAACTCATTGGTACCAGTTTTGCTAGGATAGAGTTGCAAAAAATTCTCCATAAGCATACCGTTACTTCACCGAGTATTGACAAACAATAATTCTTGCCTGATTGAGTCCAAACACACCGTATAAGCTTGCTCAAGTTCCCTTAATCAGTCTAGATAGGCTTAATCCTCATTCTTCTGTTAGTTGTGATTCTTTACTAACTGGTAGAAGTAATTTGGGTTATTGTAATATCTGCTAAAAGGGTTGCAGGTTACGGTAGCCGAATTAAGTTGAGGGCCTTAAATGGGTATAGTCAAAACTTGTTGACCAAAGATCTCGCGTTTTCAATGCGTCCTGCAAAAACTAAGACCGGATTCGAAGCCGGCCTGAGAATTGCATCGGATGGGCTGACCAGTCCATCACCAACCATTTTCTCGTCAGCACTATTCTCTTAACATGAGAAACAAAGAAAGAACATGAGAAAGAACATTTATTGTATTCAAAATCGCCAGCAGGGCCAGTTAGTTAGCTGAATTTTATGCAAATGATTACTAATTCGAATTTTGCAGGAGTAAGATGAACAAGTAAACAAGTACTCTTGGAACAATCATGTAACTTGAAGGGCAGAAAGCTTTTATCGAAACATTCCCCACTTTGATTTCAATGCAAGAGTTCAGAAACTCGTATAGACGACGAAAAAATCTATTCCTTAAATGAGGATTCCCACTGATCGTTGTCCAGAGAAAGGCTCTTTTCTTTGAAAAAACCGCCTTGAGAAATTTCCGTAATTAGAAGGTCATTCCCTTGAAAAGAGGCCAAGAAACAGAGAAAAATAGCTCTAGATGATGTTTGACAGGGAAATTTCTCTCAATGATTATTTTGGGGTTCGAAAATGGAGAAAAATGGACGAGAATATTTGATGGCTTTGATGAGATCACAACTATTCTTGGATCGTTCTTTAGTTTTTGTCTGGTAGGACTTGAGTCATTTGTTTTCTGTTGCCAAAAATTTTTGATTAGGTCAAATTTCAGCTTCCGAAAACGTCCATGAGGACGTCAAAACCGTCAACCCGTCAAGTTCAACGACATAGATCAAGAGAAAAAGCCGATTGTAGGAAAAAGCATTGCGTTTAGCAAAGAGACATTGAAAAATGCTAAATGAGTAACAATAACAATAACAATTGACTGTTTAAAAGACATTGTTAGTACATTTATCAGCCGGCCATTGAATGGGTTACTAAAAAAAAGCACTAGGGAAGTCTGAGCTAAACCAAGTTTTCTTAAAAACATCAGAGTTGGATGCAGTGTTGTTTTATTCTAGATGCAGTTTTCTATCAAAGCGGCAGATTGCACGGAAGGCAATTTTCCAATCAAACCAGGCAAGCTAGATAAGGACAGAACCCCTTATCTGTTTTTTTGGTCATGTTGACTTGAATTCTGGCCTGAACTGGTCAGAGCTTTGTTCTGCTGGACTGTGGAGGTTGTGGACTAGCCTAAAGTTAAAATAGAGCGAATTCAAGCGGTTAAACAACAATGAAACCAAAAGGGAAGGGATCGAACCTGAGCAAGAACTTGATAGCCTGTTTCGAGACTCCTATCCACTAAACAAGACTCCTATCCACTACACTCCACGCTTACATTCCGAGACGGTGAAAGAACTTTTATATCGGGACTGATTTTTGCCCTCTAATTGAACCAGATTCCACGCATTTCCGAATCATTTTGCAAAAACGAATAGCGTAAATCGGCGATCAGCGTAAATCAGCGTAAATCAGCGTAAATCAGCGTAAATCAGCGTAAATCAGCGTAAAACAGCGTAAATTAGCGTAAATCATCGGAATCAGTGCAAAATTGTGCGTCGTATGGTATATGACTCATGTCATTTGGCCACCTCAACCTTGTAACCGTCCCATGTCAGAAGCAAAAGCTGAACCTGACGTTTTACTAGCTTACAAGCTTAAGATCTCGATTGGAACTTCTTGAAATGTATCACATTGAAAGTGGGGTTTATTCTGCGATTTCTAGTTGATGCCCGAACATTTATTTACTTTCACTTCGTGCCACTAGTGATTGACTTGAGCCTTGAGCCGTAAAAACTTGAGAATCCGCTCGTCATTCTCTGTTTTAGGGTCTTCTGACATTGAAAAGAGTCTTTTGGCTCTGAAAAGAGTGACAACACTATGCACCTCAATAGAATAAATCTAATTTCAAATCAAATCACCTAAACAACTCCCCAAGCCTATTCTCTCCACCCGAATTCTTGAATTCCTTTTGGAGTGGGCGTGGCTTGAATCCCCATCTTCACTCCTCCCCTTTCGGGACTCCCATCCGAGCCTCTCCATCTCCATCTCTTCACTTGATTCGGGTGCTCATTCGGTGTGCCCCTCCAACTCAATCTACCATTTCCTTAATCATGATCTCCATTCGAACTCTACTCTTCGCCACTCTCCTCCTCGTCCTTGCCGTTCTCTGTGATATGGCCGCAGCTCAATCGTGAGTTGATTATCGCATACCTTATCCATTTCTCCTGGCATAGATTCTAGTCCTTTTGAGACTTGATTCTAGTCCTCTTGAAGTTTAATAGTAAGAATAATCAACTTTGGACTCAGTTATAACAAGGAATACTGCCTCGACCTTGACTGTACACCAAGCATTTAAAAACTTGAGCAAGAAGAACCGATTCTAAACTGTGATTTGCAAGGAATAATAGCTTGACGTTAAAATACAGGGTGCGGCAAAAGCTTGGAGCCGCTTCTTAAGATAGTTAAAGGTTTAAAAACTAGCTTTAAAAAGTTAAAAATTAATAACAAACTCTTTATTCGAATCATAACAACAAATAACTTATAACAAATGCTCGAAATTTCCACCATCCGCTTCGATACACCTCTTTAAACGCTTTGGGAAGTTCCTCACGATGGTGGCGCAGGCTACAACAGTTATTTCATCCCAGACTCGTTTCAGAGCAGATTTTAAAGCATCCACTGTTTGACACGTCTTCGTCGAGATCTTGCCCTTCCAAAATAGCCCAAACGGAGTAATCGAGGGGATTAAGATCTAGCGAATTTGAAGGCCAAATGGTCTTATCCCAAAAGAACCGTTTCTAAACTCTGATGTGCAAGGAGTAATACCTTGACGTTAAAATACATTCATCAATCATTAATTATCAATTGAAATCACTAAAATCTGCTTTTAAAACACTGAACTTCAATGAATTCAACAAATTATCGTTAAAAGATTAGAAATCAGAACGTTTAAAGGAATTTCTTTACTTGATCAAATTGCTGATCAAAGCTGATCAAATTGCTGATCAAATTGCTGATCAAATTGCTGATCAAAGCTGATCAAAGCTGATCAAATTGCTGAACAAATTGCTGAACAAATTGCTGATCAAATTGCTGATCAAATTGCTGATCAAATTGCTGATCAAATTGTTGATCAAATTGCTTGAATACACCCACTTCTCCAGGCCTTTTATTTAAAGTTCAAATCGAAACATTTCTTTTGATTTATATTTGATTTGCCAATCTGAATGCAAATCTATTTGAGCTTTGTGAATTTACAATTAGAAAACAAAGATTAGAAGATTTTCTTGCCTTTTTTTATTTCTCATTAAACTTTTCTGAACCCTAGAAGACATTCAACTCCATCAACTCTTCAAGTCAAAGCGATAATAGCGATTTTCTTTGAGTCTTCAGTCCAAAAGATCAAAATAAACGTTTAAATTCTAAAGCTTAAGCTTGAATAGAAATTTTGCTTTGCATTTTCTTTAGATAGACTGCTTAGATAGACTTCTAATGTTCAAAATTATACACAACGCACCCAGCTATTCTTTTCTTTTCGTTCTTTTCTTTCTTTTCTTTCTTTTCTTTCATCAGTTCAATTTCACTCCTCTTTGAACGAAGAAAGAGTTTATCCCAAAATGAAACTAATTAGAAAGAAGTTTTTTCGGTTCTTTTTTACTTTCGGTGTGAAGAGTTAGTGAAAGTGTAGAGTTTGGAATAATGAGCAAATTTTTGTGGTAACATGTTGATGATGTCGCTTTTTTGTGAGCAGAAAAGGAGAGGAAGTTCCCTTCATTAATTCCGAAAAGAGTTATAGAGGAAATGCACAAAGTGTTGTCAATGGAAAAATAAAGGAAAAACATGATTTTTGTTGCTTGTGCTTTGCTGAGTGAAAGCTTTCTGGGATTTCAAGGGTTCAGGGTGGTTCAATGTAGTTTAACTTGCTTTGTGAGGCTTGTAGATTTAGGCACACATTTGGGATTAGATTCAACTCAAGATCAGATCAAAAATTGAGCGATTTTCAAATGAAAAATACTAAACACTCAATCATTTTATAAAAATAATGGCTAAGAGAATAATGGCTTCATTTCTTTACAAGAGTAAAGAAATGAATGACAAAGAATTTGGGAATCTGGAGGAATCGAACCCTCGACCTTCTCCTTACCGGGGAATTCTTTACCACTGAGCTATCGCGTTATCGCTAAACCAGCGCCTTTTTTGCCCAAGAAGAAATAGAAGAGACAGGGAAGAAGAAAGAAAGGAAGAGAGGGAAAGTCACAGCTACTGCTCTTGTACGGCAAATAGTTAAATCATTGTCTTTTCAACATAGAGTTTGTGAATGCATTACTTATCAACTAAAATTTAACCCTGTTATTAACTGAGGTGGATTCAATTTTAACTAGATTTAACTCAATAGATTAATTTAATGGACACATATATTTACTTGGTTCAGATGGATTCCGGCAAAATCGCTGGACAACTGGCAATCCTAATTCCGTTGGTTGATTGTAGTATTCGCATCCACTAACAAGGGAAGGTTAATTGGATTTGCTGGCCAAATCACATGAGCCATAAACCATTCGACGCAGAATTTCACTCTGATCATGATGCTGCTTTTCTTTTTTGCTACGGAGCAGTCTGGCAAAAGTTATACGTGTTCAAAGTTTTCTAAGGAGTTTTAAAAATCAAGCAGCGATATTACAACCCTGTCTTCTGCCAGCTCGGCAGTTGCGGCGTTGCGCGAATGGTAGTGAGTTAGGAGGCAAAAAACCAGAGGGCTCGGACCAGAGGATTCGAACTACCCTCACCTTGAGTCCTAATTCACTACCACTCGGCCACCGCTGCAACTGTCGAGCTGACAGAAGACAGAGTTGTAATGTCGCGGTTTGATTTTTGAAACTCCTTACAAAACTTTGAACACGTATAACTTTTGACAGAGTGCTCCGTAGCGAAAAGGGAAAGCAGCATCATGATCAGAGTGAAATTTTGCATCGAATGGTTTGATGCTAGGCTAGATTGCTAGACAGCTAGGCATGATTTTCGGATCGTATCGGATCAATTCGGATCTGATCCAATCCGATCCGATCTGATCCGACTAAAACCTGATCCAACACCATGTCTATCTATATCTCATGCCATTTGGCCAGCCCATTCCGGTTAGCTCTCCCTTGTAAGTGTATAATGAAATCGAACGGACTATGAGTCTATTTTCAATTTTATAAAAGATTATAAGTTTTTGAATGTACTAAAAGGCAGGTCACTAGAGTCAAATCTGGGCTCAAATCTGGGCTCTTGCTCAGTCAAATCTGGCTCTTGCTCAGTCAAATCTGGGCTCTTGCTCAGTCAAATCTGGGCTCTTGCTCAGTCAAATCTGGGCTCTTGCTTGAAAGACTCCTAAAAAGCAAATCGTTTTTGAGTTGGGTGCAGATTTATGTTTCCTTTATATTCATAAATTGCTCAAAATAGGTAATAACCTTTTCTAATTGCTTTTGGAAATCCATTTCTATCCATTTCTATTTCCTCATCGAAAATTAGCCAAATCTTCCTTTCTCTGACTTTTTGTTTCCCAGGAAAACCCTCAAAAAACGTTTTTTTTCTGCTTCGATATACTAGTTTTCACAAAATTTCGGACGAAAATCAAATTTTTACGCAAAAATCCAAGGACAACCAGGATTTTTTATGCAAACAGCAAATCCCGATTAATTTTAACGCTTTAGATTTGAAATTTTGAGACATTGTGACGAGATTTTTGTAGAATTTAGAGAAAATACTGTAGTTTAAGAAGTTTAATTGATGTTAGAGTTCTTAAACTCGTGAATACAGGTGAATATCTAATAGCAAGCAAAATTTGCAACTTGATCTTGATCAGCACAAACTTTTTCTCAAAATCTCACCTGTTTTTCGGAAAGTAACGAGAAATTTTTGCTTTTTCACGTCACCGGCGAAAGAAAAAAAGATACTCATCTATTCATGGCCCATTTTGCGGCCCTTGCGGCCCTTTTCATGGGATGAATGTGATGGAATTTCAAGCCAACAAATCATAAGAGTCTGCAAAAATAAAAGGTGACCAACGAGAATATATTAGCGTTTATTTACATTCTAGTTCATCAAGATTTAGTCCACCAAAGTTTTACTGAAAGAAAATTGAAATACCAGAAGAAAATTCTTTCGCTAAAATCCCAGATCTTATTTCATAAACACAATGAAGCCTTATCCGGACCAGAGGGCCCGGACCAGAGGGCTCGGACCAGAGGGCCCGGACCAGAGGGCTCGGACCAGAGGGCCCGGACCAGAGGATTCGAACTACCCTCACCTTGAGTCCTAATCCACTATCTAAATTCTTATCTCAATTCGAATTCATATTTAGATATAGAATATCTAGATAGAATCCATCAGAGAATCGGGAAATGTACTCAAGAGGCTTAGATTTTAATTTTGAATGAACCACTTTACTAGGTTAGAGCACTTGGTTCTATTGGATTGGTGACTTGAAAACTGCGGGCTGTTGTCATATGTCACAGTTTGAGCACTTTGTTCAAAAGAAACCCATTCTGGTGTCAATGGAAAAGTTGTAGAGAATCAAAAATCAAGCTTATATCCAAATTTTCAGAACGATTCAAAAACTGGTTTTCAAGAAATGCCAAATTTACGAATTTTCACAAAACTTGCAACAAGACTTGCATTTTAAGCGAAACTACTAAGTGTATCTTTTTGGAAATTTGGCTATAAGCCTAATTTTTGATTCTCTACAACTTTTCTATTGATACCAAAATGGGTTTCTTTTGAAGCAAGTGCTCAAACTGGGAGTACCCCATCCTCCTCTCCAGTCCTCCATTTTTGAGTCTCACACTTGTCTCACACACAAACCAAAATCCTACTACGAAAGAGGAATCCGCATCACTTGGTTCTAGTACAGGGTGACCAGAAATAACCCAGTCAACCCAATAGCATCGATAGATAATTTTTTATGTAAGCTCAAAAATGGTTGGGCAAAAAAATAACGAACCATTTTTGAGCTTACATAAAAAATTATCTATCGATGCTATGGTCATAAAATCTTGAACATATACAGAAAACGATGTGAATTTTCATTTAAAAAAGAAACTAATCGTTTTGGTCCACAAATAACAGAAATGTGAGGCTAGAACGGACGATTAGGATTTCTGATCACTCCGTACTTATGGTTTTGACTAATTTTTTTTCTTTTAGAGATGAAGAGACGCAGTTCCTTCGACAATTCCGAGCGCCGAGCCCAAAATTCATCCGCTTCGGACGAGCCGGCCAGAAGTTCATTCGATTTGGAAGAAGTGCGAATACTTGGGTTTGTGGTTTTGAAAATTTTTAGACCTTATTGTAAAATTTACTTGAAATTTTAGTGTGACAAGGTCACTTAAATCAAAAGTTGATAGTCCTGGTTGAAATTTTCTGGTTGCTGGTTGAAACGGTTATTTGCCAAGTATGAGGCAAAAGTTGTGCATGAATTAAGCTGCAAAAAGTTGCACAGATTGAGTTAAGTAATTGGATTCATAAGATCATTAACAAACATAACAAACAAAGAAACAAACAAAGAAACAAACATAACAAACAAACAAACAACCAACCAAACAAACAAACAAACAAACAAACAAACAAACAAACATTCATGTAGTGGGCGGGGCGGGGATAATGCAATGTTTGATAGGTGGAGGGTGATACTAACATACTCCTAGGGGATAATGTAATGTTTGGTAGGTGGAGGGTATACTAACATACTCCCAGGAGGGACGCGATAATGGACACGGGTGCTATAATGCAATACTCCAAAAAAACCATTTCATGTAAGTGAGGTGCCATTCTATTTTTCAATACCCCCTCCGGGTGTCATTCTAATACAGCATTTACTGTAATCCTATCTACGCTTGTAAACTAAACCTTTCCCATTCACCCAATCAATAGCTTTTCACTATAGCCACACTAGCATTCCTCAATTTTCTGTCTCATATTTCCGAAATTCTTTAAGTGTGCCGTTTTTTGAGCGATCTTTCCGGCTTTCACGTGACCTTTTTAGAAAAATTCCTCTTTTCTCTTCTCTCTTTAGGTCTCTAGTATTTCCGATAGATTTCCTTCAAGTGCACTACCCACAAAAGCCCGATAAGTGACGTTTCTTTTCTCTAGACACGTTAAGTGGTTAAAAATATTGAATTCCTGTAATTGGTTAGTAGAAATTTTTTGAAGTGAAATGACGATTTTTGTGAAGATGTGAAGACTCATTCATTCAAAATCCGCCCTCGCATGTCACTTGGATATTGAGGGGGAAAAAGTGTCAAAAGATCAAGTTACCGCTAGGAGAATTTTGTTTCCTCATCGGGAATTCCTAAAATAGTAATAGATTGTGCCTCTAATTGCAAAATTACTCGCAAGTTTTAGTTGTAAGTTGTGCAAAAATGAAAAAGAAGAAAAATCAAATTTGACAATTGGCAAAGGAATTTGTTTTCTTTGTTTGTTGCAATTAATTTGCTACTTAAAGACTGATCGAATAAGTTCAGTATTTGATAAGCTCCTCATTATGTGACTAAAAAACTAAGCTGCTACAACTTGCACAAGTTTGTAACATCTTCAACCAACAAAACTGAGCAAACCAGATTAGAATGTTTTCCTCACAAGTAATGTGTTTTTTTCAAACGGAGACCTAGGAAAAATTATCGTACTTTTAGCGAAGATTATGGTAGACAAATGTGACCATTTTTTTGCGCCAACGGCCTATTAGCGTACCATTTTGCGCACCCGGCTCATTAGCGCACCTTTTTTTACGCACCATTAGCCCAAAAAAGCTTAAATTAACCAATTTCTATTCCAAAAGATGCTTTTCTGTGTAATTTTAGGACGTAGAATCCAAATTTTGATATACCAGAGCTAGTGGAACCAATTTGAAAGATCAAACGGGTAAATTAAAGTAAATTGTCGGTTCTTCTCTATGTATAAAAAAGCGAAATTAGCATATAGTTTTTGGATCCCGTATAGCACTGAGCTTTGTTTGAAGAAGTTGATGAACTTCCAGCTTTGTTGACTGAATACTTTTATCCATAATACAGTAGTACAAGTCTACAGTATCTTTGTGCTACAGTACAGATAATTTTTTAAACATAAAGCACACTTTGAAAAGCAGTTTGATGCTTTAGAGTCTTGAAAGCCTTGAAAGCCTTGAAAGCCTTGAAAGCCCTGAAAGCCTTGAAAGCCTTGAAAGCCTTGAAAGCCTTGAAAGCCCTGAAAGCCTTGAAAGCCTTGAAAGCCTTGAAAGCCTTGAAAGCCTTGAAAGCCTTGAAAGCCTTGAAAGCCTTGAAAGCCTTGAAAGCCTTGAAAGCCTTGAAAGCCTTGAAAGCCTTAACAACCTTTAACAGTCTTGCCAGCCTTATCCTACCTTCCCGGATTTATTTCTATTCTATTAATAAACTTTTTATTTGCAAAACTGTTCCTCATTAGTCTAGAAAATGTCAGTTAAAAACCGAACGAGCTACTTCCTTTCAATTAGCTAGACTACACAAAATTCAACTCAACTCTGCTAGATTGCCTATCCTAGGGTTCAAAAATAGCATCATATAGCTTTTTGTTAGCTATGAAACCCCGAGAACCCTGAAAAAATCTGAAAAAAATCAGCTCCCGCTCCATCCTCCAATTTCCGAATGCAATTTGTGGTGGTGTCAGGGATTTCACCCCCAAAAAATGTCCGAATTCAATTTTCTTAAAATATAGTTCAAACAAAAAAACGATATCGTGGATTGTTTAAGTATATTTGAGTGATAATGGGGAGTTAAAAACTACTTTGCGAACGTCTTAGTCAAGATTTGGTGAGGATTTGAAAGATTTGATAAAGATTTGATAAGAGTTTGAAAAAACTAGAGCATTCTAAAGCTTACTAGTTTCTAAAGTTTGCTAGTTTCTAAAGCTCGCTAGCTATTTCAGTATTCTAAAGCTTGCTAGCTAGTTCAGTCGAAGTGCTAGTTCAGTCTATGTAGCACTTGTGTACCTAACTTTGTTGTGATTAGACTGAAGTTGAGTGAGTTTCCATGTCGAATTAGTATCCAAAGTGAAGTATAAAGAAGTCCTTATGTTTGAGAATGAACAACTTTTCTCTATTATTATCAAATCTCCATTATTATCGAATCTCTATTATTACCGAATGAGTGCTTCTCAACGTGAAAAAGATTCGTTCGTAATCAATGGCGTCTGTTTCAATTGAATTTCACGGGTTTTCTCAATGTGAAAAGGATCGGGGAAATGATGTAAAAAGATTTGAGAGGAAGCTTCTTTATTTTTCTTTTTCTTCCTTTCTCCCACAATATCAATGAGGAACCCGGAAAAATAAATTTTTGGGAGAATCCACTAGGGGGATGTTCAGATCCGGAGAAAGAAACAGAGAAAAAGAAACAAAGTGAGAAATAAAGAAATAAAGAAAGAAAGAAAGAAAGAAATAAAGAAAGAAAGAAAGAAATAAAGAAAGAAAGAAAGAAAGAACGAAAGAAAGAAATAAAGAGCGAAATAAAGAAATAAAAAGCGAAAGAAAGAAAGAAAGAAAGAAAGAAAGACAGAAAAGAGAAAGTACGAACAACTACAGTGAAACCATGATGTGTTTCGGGAATTTGATGAGTTTAAATCTTGAATCATTTAGGGAATTAGTTTACGGAAGATTTCTAATCCTAAACTAGCCACTAAAGACAAGAAACTGTAGAATACATCACTTCAGAACTCTGACACTATGGCAAACATGCTTATAATTAGCTTTAGTATCATAATTGGTCTACTCAACTAGATCTAGATCTAGATTCTTTATCTGAACCCATTATTAGAATACTCTTTAGCTTTAAATCATTTAGTATTCAGAGACAGGACTCGATGCTTTCAGTATTCAGTAATCGATAGTCTACTTCTCAGATCCATTTCCCACTTCATTTCCTTTTAAAAGCCCGTACTGCTAAGACTCACGCTCTCATCGTCACCAAATTGAATCTCTCTGTCCAAAGTTCCCATCTTTTTTGACTGCTTTTTGATATATGTTCCAGAGAAATTCCGCTTTTTTAACGTTTTCCCTTTTTGAGAAAACTACTCCCATAAGTGAACGAGGAGAGCCGAAAATTGTTTATAGTTCAAGCAATTCGTTAAAAATGCGTCTCGAGCTTGTCTTTCCAAGTAGTATTTCGAAAAGTGAATGGGCAAAATTCGTTTTACTCGTTCTTCTTTCTGACTCTGCTCAAATTGATTGAGAAGATTTTGACACGAGTAGTTGACCAGAAATCTTGTAAAGGGAACACTTCTCAATCAGATTTTAATCCCAGGAGATGACTCAAAGCTTTGTGTGTAAAGGAAAAGGTTATGGAGTTGGAGCCATGGAGTTGACTTGGGAAATGTTGTTAACAAGTTGTCAATAACATCTCGAAAATATTTCGCATGAAAGGTCAAAAGTCAAAATGATGGATTTGCTTGAGATTCGGCAATAGTTCACTGTTATTTGACTTCATAATGGCTTCATAAACATAGCTAGATCTAGTATTAGTCATAAATATATTCATAACTCTAGTCATCAATTTATTAGCCATATAAAATCATCCGATCGGCTGTTCCTGCAATCTAGCTTTTGCGCTTTTGTCTAATCTAGCTTTTGCTGCCAAAGACTCAGATTGAATAGCAAAATATAAAGCAGACAAACTCAGAATATTGTTAGATTAAGAATCTATTTTAAGTAGTATCACAAGTATTTAATTTTAAACGAGTTTTACTAAACACTTGTCAAAAACCACGGTTTTTCTTGGAAATCCGGGTCTTTTGAAAAAATGAGGGTCTTTTCATTGTTAAAAGCTATCATATGCACAACCCAATGTCAAATCGTTGCTCTTGGGACTTTTCTAGGAACAAAATGTTAAAATAAACTCCGTCAATCGATTCTACGACCCTGAAAACCCCGGGGGACAAATTTTTAACATTAAATCTCATTTGGGAATCATTTACAGAACAAAAAAAAACACTGACTGGTGAGGTGTTCTTTGTGAGGCCGCGCAAGCGCTTGCGACCTGGGAAACCCGTTTGGTATAAATGGTTTCCCTTTTCGTAATCTTCAAAGGAAAAGGAGTGAGTCGGTTTCGCCGTTCTAGGCGTCACTATGCCCAAATCCCTGGGATCAATTTTTGCCTTAAATTTGGCTGTTTTTTTGGGACAAATTCCACCTCGCTTGAAACCAAAACTAGCTGAAATACTCACGGATGAAGCTGGCCTAAAAAACTGAAGCTGAAAAGCTGAAGCTGAAAAGCTGAAGCTGAAAGGCTGAAGCTGAAAAGCTTAAGCTGGAAAGCTGAAGCTGAAAGGCTGAAGCTGGAAAGCTGAAGCTGAAAGGCTGAAGCTGGAAAGCTGAAGCTGAAAGGCTGAAGCTGGAAAGCGGAAGCTGAAAGGCTGAATCTGAAAGGCTGAAGCCGAAAAGCTGAAGCTGAAAAGCTTTTAATTCTGATAAAGTCATATAAAAGGTCCCGTATTTTGTCAAAAAACCCGGATTTCCGAAAAGAACCAAAAGATTTTCTAACTTTTTATATAGAAGCTAAAATCTAGAAGTTTAGAATCAAGAAGCTCAGAATATAGAAGTTTAATCTCAATTTTCCAGGACGACTCAGCTTTGGACGATCCTGAGGGAATCGACTTGGCGATGGCGAAACGGGCCGGACAGAAATTCATTCGATTTGGCTAATTTCATAAAAATTTTCAATAAATCTATAATATCTATAATGTTTTCGTCCCAAATCTTTCCATTTTCTTCTATTTACATCCCAACGAACGTTACCGGTCATCGCTCGATCATCCAAAGACCAACAAGCCCATTTTCAGTGATAAAGTATTAGTTGAGTTGATATTAGTTGATGTATTTGAACCCAGTTTTTCTTAGATTTTCTAAAATCAACTAATTTCACCAATTTCCTCTCAGTTTTCCGATCCAGCTGAACTTTTGTGCATAATAAATTGTTATTTGCGTTGTTTGAGGGAAAACAGCAAAAGCTGTTTAGCAAAACATCCGTGCGATAGAAAACTTAAAAATGATCTTGAGCATCTGGTGAAGGAGAAGTGAACAAACAACTAATTGATCAGTTAATGTCGGATTGGTGACTTGTCCAGACTTGGGAACATCTTGAAAACTTGAAAATAGATGCACATCAAAGTACTGAAAAGCGTCTTATGGTAAACTAATGTTCTGTAATCTAACTTTTGACTTACCACTACACCATCGAATCATCTGCGAAGGAGAAAGGGTATGTGCTCAAATAGAGCAGAGACGAGTTTGTCGATAGTAAGCAAAATGCCTTGATCCTTGAGCTATTTAACCAGGGTCCTTGAGCTATTTAACAAGGGAATCACAAATACTTTGCCCCCAAAATTGGTGTGTAAGCAGAATCGACTCTGGGGAACAACATATTAACAATTCAGCTCCAAGATTTCGAGAAAGCTCCAAGATTGCGGTAGTTATGAAGATTATAAGCATTTTGCTTTCTATCGAGAAACTTTTTTTCTCTGCTCTATTTGAGCACATACCCTTTCTCCTCCGCAGGATGATTCGATGGTGTAGTGGTAAGTCGTTAGAATACAGAGCGGAGTTCTCTGGCTCAACTTCTTGGTGGTGTTTTCTTCTTGCTTTTTTCAAAAAAAGACTCAAAATGTTGTCGAAATTGTAATTGTAAGATCTGAATAGTCCGCTCTTCTCCTTAAAGTCACAAAATGGATTCGCTAAACCCTAGAAGCAAGCTTATCGTCACAAGCTTACGGTAGCAAGCTTACTATAGCAAGCTTACCGTAGCAAGCTTCCCGTAGCAAGCTTACCGTCACAAGCTTCCTGTAGCAGGCTTCCTGTAGCAAGCTTCCTGTAGCAAGCTTCCTGTAGCAAGCTTCCTGTAGCAAGCTTCCTGTAGCAAGCTTCCTGTAGCAAGCTTCCTGTAGCAAGCTTCCTGTAGCAAGCTTATCGTCACAAGCTTACGGTAGCAAGCTTACTATAGCAAGCTTACTATAGCAAGCTTATCGTCACAAGCTTACTGTAGCAAGCTACTGTAGTTTTGAAAGCTGGCACGTTTTAGAAAGCGCTTTATGCGCAAAGGACATACTAGAGTCGCTTCAAGAAAAGAAAGAGCCAAGTGGAAACTCAAGTCCAAGGAATAAACAGGACCAAAGATGATATTGAAAATAGTAGTCATTTTACAATATTCCTATTAGAACCAGTGATTCTATTAGCATCCATTTATAGTTCACATTCATCTTTTAGTCATAGATTTTTTATCTTGACTTCATGAACTTCGACCTAAATGCCAACAGCACTGTCACCCATGCCATTTGCTTGATGTCATTCAAATCTTTCCCCCTCATGAGCATTTTGGTTGACTACAAATGCACAATTTTAGATTCAGTAGCTATTTCTGTCTACTAGTCCATGATGTCATGACGAATCCAATATTTTGGAGTTGTAGTCGGCTTTTGGCGCGAGATGAAATGCCAGTTGTTACCACGGGAGAGTGGGGTTGTTGAAGGGGGAAAGGCCGTGTGAATACAAAATTTCCACATTGAATATTTCTTGGTCTAAAGTGGATCGCCCGAGAGTGGGTGCGAGAAAAAAATGGAAGAGAGGATAGGGCACTTCTCTTCAATCCACGTATGTTTACACCCCAAATAGTCGTGTTTGTACACTATTACGTCAAAAAGTGGCGAGTCAAAAGGCAATGTGCTTGAGAGTGCAGTTAAAATCCTGCTAAATAGCAAAAAGTTAGTCTAAAGCTAGTAAAAGTTTAAGTTAGATTTTGGAAAAGTCAACAAATATTGGAAACAATCCAGTGCAGCTTTGCCTTTGAGACTTTGAGGCAAGTCTTTGAGTTTTAGTAGAACAAGGGAGAATAGTAGGACAAGCTAGAACAGTAGAACAGGCTAGAACAGTAGGACAAGCTAGAACAGTAGAACAGGCTAGAACAGTAGGACAAGCTAGAACAGTAGAACAGGCTAGAACAGTAGGACAAGCTAGAACAGTAGAACAGGCTAGAACAGTAGGACAAGCTAGAACAGTAGAACAGGCTAGAACAGTAGGACAAGCTAGAACAGTAGAACAGGCTAGAACAGTAGGACAAGCTAGAACAGTAGAACAGGCTAGAACAGTAGGACAAGCTAGAACAGTAGAACAGGCTAGAACAGTAGAACCAAATAGAGCCAATAGTAGAACAAGCTGGTTGTTCCAAAGAATTGAAAAAGCCAGGAAAATCAAGGTCAGGAGAGAAGCCAGTTCTATAAAAAGCTCTTGGTTTTGTTAAAAGCCTGGTTTGAACCTGTTTTCTGTCCTAGCTCTAGCCTTGCCTGATTTGGGCCCGATTTCATCAAACTATTTAACATTTAACTAGCATTCATCATCTAGCATTTACCAATTTAGCATTTACCAATTTAGCAAACAATTTAGCAATCAATTTAGCAATTTAACATCTAGGAAATTTGCTAAATGCTAAATGGAGAGGCAACTTTGCTAAATCTAGCAAATGTGCAGTTTTTGTACTTGCTGTTTCTGTTTGCTGTTTTTTTGACGACAATCTTCTTTTCTAATGACGTCAATCGATCTCTCGACCTCGAAATGGCATCTGGCTTATAACCTCTGCATCGGTGTCCCATCTGGCTTATAACCTCACATCGGTGTCCCATCGGTGTCCCATCGGTGTCCCACATAGTCTATTCCCAACAAAATTGCTTCCGGATTTGACGGCAAAGAAGCGATTGTCTCCAATTTAACCTAGAATCTTGGATGAAAAATGTGACATGTTCAATTGAAACCTCCGTCAAAGACTTCAAGCATGCCTTCTTCCGTTGTTCTCCCTTTGGATAAGGTTTAGTTGTGCCAGAGAATGCCGTTAGTTGATGGAAGAGAGCGAATTCGGCCTCATAGAATCGCTTGAAAAATTGCTGCTGTTTTGGTGGAGAAATTGATGTCGTTGGCTGTCTTCATCGGTGTCAAATCATCAATTTTTAGAGCGGCATAACGCAAAAAGCTTACGACACTCGGGATTACCAAGCCGTCTCCGATCCAAGTACTAACCAATCGCTTAACTTGGCAGATCGGATGGACGGATGCCGAACGTTTTCAACGTGGTATAGTCGTAAGCGGGTGGTGGGCGGTTAATGCCGATTGAAATAGTGAAAGAGCGAGTGATCCTTCGTTGCTGGTGAGACGCGAGCCCCCTCTGTGCATCTTTCGTGTGTCTCGTAAGAAAAAACCGCATCTGGTACACGGCCTTTCCACAAAGGGCGACAGATACCCGTCTCGTCGGTTTAATTACCCAAGTTTGTGGTTATCATTAACCCCCAGACCTTGTCGAAGTGTATCGGACAAATTTTGGAACACGGCTCGTAAAGGAGATGCACTAAGCAATCGAAACCTCAACTGTTCAAGTGTTTTATTGTTGAATTTGAGCGTATTGTTGCTTACTCCGATCTTCTCTGAATTCAGAAAGATCGGAGTAAACAAATTTGTAAAGTACATGATGGCATTTTGATTTTTTTATGGTTTTTTCATGGTTTTTTTTCAAAAAGAGTTCAGGTTCTTAAAATTAGCCGAATTTTGGCTTCTTTTGTAGCCAGAATATGTCGGAGTTCTAATACGCAATTAGTTTTTTAATATCTTTAGTCAGCGCTGAGATAGATGCGTTTTTTTGGAGTTGGCGACACTGCAAAACAATCTCGAAGGTTTAGCTCTTCAGCTTTTTAGCTTTTTAGTTCAACTTTTTAGGTTTAGCTCTTCTTTAGCTATTCTAGATGGTTTAGCTCTTTTTTTCTAAATTTAGCAGTTGGTGAAACCGGGCTCTGGTCTTTCTTACAAGCCAAGGCCCGATTTGAGCACACCTGGTCAAGCTAAAAGCTATTAGGTTCCACTTGAAGCTATTAGGTTCCACTCCACTTCAAGCTCCACTTCAAGCTATTAGGTTCCACTCCACTTCAAGCTCCACTTCAAGCTATTAGGTTCCACTCCACTTCAAGCTCCACTTCAAGCTATTAGGTTCCACTCCACTTCAAGCTCCACTTCAAGCTATTAGGTTCCACTCCACTTCAAGCTCCACTTGAAGTTAAAAACATTTAATCTTAACATGTGCACTTTTTCTTCCACAATTGTAGTGAAATTTGACGACATGACCAGTTCGTGAAAACATCGCTTACCTCAAACAATTCAATCAGATCCCAGTTTTTGATCTCAATGCGTTGGTGGAACAAGGACAAACCGTAAAAAGCCAGCTTCTCTGGCTACAAATGCTTATTTTTTCTGATTTTATTTGAAGAAATTTCGAGCTGTTGAGCAGAGTTCCCGTATCCAAAATTTCTCGTATTGTATCCAAAGTTCTTTTCACAAATTGTATCCAAAATGCTTTTGGATACAATTTGTGAAAAGTTCTAGAATAATTTCCGTTTGTTATTTGCAACAAGGGATCGGTTCACTAAAATCAAATAGCTTTTGCATGATGCCAAAATTTAGGGAAGCTCACGAAATGTTCAAAAAGCTTTGAAGCTGTTAGTAATAGATTTCTTGATTCAGTAAGCTCTGTAGATAAGCATACAATCTTAAAGAACCCATAAATAGTATGTAAACGTACAATACCTATTGTACTGTAAGTTTTTATCGTTATCGTTTATCGTTGTATCGTTTATCGTTTCCAATGCCCTTAACTTCAAATCTGCCAAAATTGAATGGTATTCAGTTAAGAGTTTCAAAATATTCATTCCAGCTCATCACTTGTAGCTAGGGGCTTCTTACTAGGGGAGAGGCACTAACTTAAGGTGAAGTTTAAGCCTAAAGAATGGGACCCTGGTAGAGTTTAAGCGTATAGAATGGGACCCTGGTAGAGTTTAAGCCTATAGAATGGGACCCTGGTAGAGTTTAAGCGTATAGAATGGGACCCTGGTAGAGTTTAAGCCTATAGAATAATACCCTGGTAGAGTTTAAGCGTATAGAATGGGACCCTGGTAGAGTTTAAGCCTATAGAATAATACCCTGGTAGAGTTTAAGCCTATAGAATAATACCCTGGTAGGGTTTAAGCGTATAGAATGGCACCTTGGTAGAGTTTGACACGTGGAATCCGAATCCGTTTTTAGTGTTTCTTGCGGGCATCTCAATCGTCAGATATTTGGCATCAAAGTTTTTTGAGTGAAATTTGGTGCGCTCTCTAGATAGCTCCCTCTCAAGCCAGGCGCTCCACCAGTGGTATCGAGGTAACGCAGTGGATTCATGGGCAAACGATCATGGTTCGGATCCGATAGCGCCGAATTTTTTGCTTTTTTTCTAAAGGATCCGTAGCTAAAATGTAGCTAGACCTTAACCTTGTAACCATACTCTTTTTAAAAGCTCAGTTTTCAACACAATACATAAGTACCTAAATTAGTTTCTTCTAATTTAGGTACTAATTTAGGTACAGCTGCTTTGATAAAATTTGCATTAAATTCCCTCTCTTAAATGCAATGCACGTTGTAAATTTTAAAGTCTAATAACTCGACAGGAAATGACGTTTTCTACAAACGGACTTCAGATTCGGAATCAGCGAATTTTTTAACCCTAAAATGGAAGTTTTCAGTTCTTTAGCTCAATTGAGGAGAAAATTTGTTTTGAAAATGGTAAGGGTTCCCAAAATTGTGATTTTGGAAGATCCTGACATGATCAAAACCCTATGATTGCATGTAATCCTCTTGGTAACACCATCCAAACGTCATCACATCTCAAGAGGGTCTCTTGACTGTTTTGTCTCGATGGATTGATGTCATGGATGGAACAAATTCCTTCTCGACTCTTAATCATAGGGTTTTCCTTTCCGTCGTTGTTTATCTAGTCTCTATGCCACTGGAGAAAGAATGCGCGGTTTTGGTGATCGCGTTTTTTTTTATTCGGCTTGTTTCCCACGATCATCTTTTCTTGATCCGGTGAATCACAGGGGAAAAAGGGAGTGGACAGTAAAAAGTGGAAATGATTGTATCAGTTTGTATCAGTTCAGTGTATGATGATGCTCGTCTGGTTTCAGCGGAATGATTTTAGGTTTTAAAAGAATGGAATTTGAGGGAAAGGTTGGAGAGACTTGAGAAAAATGTTTTAGATTTATCGAATTTCTGGAAATCATAGTGAAAATGTGAATTGATGTGTGTTACTTGCAACTGAAGAAGTTAGATAAAAGCATTATAAGCATGATTAGCTTAAAAAAATAATGAAAATCACTTAAAGAACAATGAAAAATGATGTCAGAACATAAAGCACTACTCTCTTGTCACAAAAATGTAGTACATATTTCAAATTTTTTCACATTTTTTGATTGAAGTTTAATAGAACCAATGTCGCTTTATACATCTTATAATCCTGAAATCTTATAATCCTGAAAAGTAGAGTATTATGGGTAAGCAAAATACCCTACACTTTTTGGGAATATCGTTATTTTGCAAGATTTTCGTACGAAAGAAACTTTTGGATGGCAATGGGACAATACATTTGTGGACCACTGTATATTATAGTAATATTATTATTAATATTAGTATTACAGCAATATTGTTATTAATTATATAAATACTTTATTTAGAAAGAAATAAAGTGCAAAAACGACATCAAGAATGTACCAGATAAAAGGTCACAGAGTCACTTAAAATGCAACGAAGTAGCCCTTTTAAAACCAGACACGGTGGAGATCAAACGCAACTTGTCGGGAAGGGCATTCCAAACTTTAAAGTGTCTTTTCTTTGTAAGTGTCTTTTCTTTGTAAAAGATCCAATTGTAGAAGGGTAAGCTTTTTGCAGTGGATAACTTGAAACTTGAACTTGAATCTTGAACTTAAAGCTCCAAAAAGGTGTATGGCAAAAGAAGTTTTGCCACTTCGCTACTAAAGGCTCCATTTCATTGCGCTTTTCTGCACTAAGTAAACAAAGTACTACTTTGTGCACATGTTTGTTAGGCAAGGTTTATTGTTATTTGTCGCTATTGTCGTTATTTGTCGTTATTGTCGGTAAACCCTCTGCTAAACAATTGATTAGAATGAAACTTCTTGCATTCTTGCAAAAGTTATCACTTAGATGCTACGATCTACGCTTTGGCATGGGTTACGGGTTACAGTCGAATGCAGAAGAGACACAAAGCTATGGGCTTAATGGTGTAATTGTTAAAGGTAAGTTAGTTGTTTGTACTACAAAGTAATGTAGCTTCAAAGTAATTGTTCAAAGCAATGGTACAAGGTAATTGTTCAAAGTAATGTAGCTATCAAAAGCCTAATTTAATTCAAAGTACAAATACATGTACAAAGAATTGAAGAGAGATACAGAGAATTCTCTATTATACACAGAATTCTCTGTTATACAGAGAATTCTCTGTTATACACAGCATTGAAGCCCTGAATCCTGGCTACATTCAACTTTCAAATTATAAAACTCAATTCAACACAGACTCCCAGACTCAAACTCCAGACTCTGCCAGACTCGCAAATGTGCTCTAGCCGGCCTTTTGCCTGCCATTTTTGATGAATTTCTTTATGTCACACGAAATCCTATCTATTATCTTGCTAATCGTAATTCAAAAATTCCCTTAGCAACTAAAAAGCCTTAATCGACTATCATCCATACAAGATCAATGAGAAAAGCCATAGATAATCGCAAGAAAACCACCAACAAGGCCAATTGGGCACAAAGAGAAAGAAGAGAAGAGCAAAAGACGAGCAAAAGAAGAGCAAAAAGACGAGCGGACACGTAACCGGTCACCCTCTTTTCCTGTCTCTTCTTTTGCATCCTCTTCTCAAAGGACACACATATTGGGGGTACAAAAGTGTCTACAAAAGGCCATCCAGGCACTCCACTCAGGCCATTTGGTGGGCACGCATTCAGCACAGTCAACTCTAGCAACTCTATTGCCATTCGAGCATCCTCAACACCCAACACCCAGCTTCTCGGTCATTCAGCATTTTGCATTCAGCACAGCAATGACTTTCCAAAAGCTTGTACCTGCTTTCGTTTTGCTCACAGGTGAGCTATAGCTATCTTTATAGCTAGTTATTGTTTTGCAATAGTCAGCAAATATCCAAATTTTTCAGTTTTAAGCCCATTCTATTATCTTAAACATTTAAAAACTTGTAAGTAGTAGAATTTACTAGAAATAAGTAGAGATAGTAATGAGTTAAACTTAAGAAGTCAAGCTAGAGAGGTTAAATCAACTTCTTTCAGCTAAAGACGTTAAATCAACTCCTTTAGTTTAACTTCTTCAAGCCGATTCATCTAAATTTTAAACATGGCTCATTGAAGCTCATTTATCTAAATAATTTCATCTGAAAAGACTGTAATGAAATAAAAATGAATGCTTTATAGTATCTTCATTATATGAAATCGTATTAAGCTCTTTCCGTCGAGGCTTTCCTCCCAACTTTCGATATGATGAGTGAAGACCAAATGTCCTCATTTCTACCATCACCCCATCCAGAGCTAGTTGCCGCTTATCGAGATTTTGAGAGTAGAACGAGGTAAAGCTTTTTGTTGGTAAGGCTTGTTGTTGGTAAGGCTTGTTGTTGGTAAGGCTTGTTGTTGGTAAAGCTTGTTGTTGTTAAAGCTTTTTGTTGGTAGGGCTCTTTAGTTGAAAACTCGTTGGTTGAAAACTTTATTAATGTTTATTTGTTTAATACCGGCCGAAAAAACCCGTCTAATAGTGGCTTTTTCTGGCTGAATGTTTTGCCGTCGTGGCGTAGTGGAGAGCGCGCTTCTCTAAGACCCACAAGGCCCGGGTTCGATTCCCGGGTGCTAGTAGCTAGTTGCCGCTTACCGAGAATTTGAGAATAGAACGAGGCAAAGCTTGTTGTTGGTAAAGCTGTTTAGTTGAAAACTCGTTCAGCGTTGATTATGAGCTGTTTCTTCTTTGAGTCTTTGAGATCTTTGAGCCTTTACCTCGAATCTAATTGTAAGATTTCAAAATTTTGTCCTAGTTAGCTGGTAAAATGCTAATATTAGTTAAACAAGCCGAAAAACCTAACGTCGGGTTTATCTAGCTGAATGTTTTGGGGTGGACGACATGCGACCGGTGGAGCGATCGGGAGCGCGCTTGTCTACGGCCCACACGGCCTGTAGACGTGGACTGGTCGGGAGCGTGCTCGTCTACGGTCCACACGGTTTGGGTTCGATTCCCGGGTGTTTCGCCCTACTTTGATTCTTTAAAAATGGTGTTTTAAATCGCAAAACTACAATATCTTCTAGCTTTTCTAAAGAAGTTTTGGCTTTATTGTAGCTAAAGAAGCTTGATTGGTCAAAACATGAACGAGAAAATGCCAGGCAGACAGACAGACACTGCTCTTCTATATATATAGTAGATTACAAGTTTTGTTCAACACAAGGCTTTGTTCTTTGAAGATTAATTCTTAGATTAACCCAATCAGTCCAATATCAGATACGGAAAACCGAGAATCACGCAAATTGTGAATGTGACCACACCGGTTCCACCGTGTTGTGCCGATACGATCTCGTCGATTGCCTGCAGAAGGCTCTACAACCACAACCCTGCTCGATTTTTGCAAAGGTTCCATCAAACACCAAAGCTTATCGTTGCTGTCTTCTAGACAATCTTCTAGACAATCTTCTAGACAATTTTCTAGACAACCTTCTAGACAATTTTCTAGACAATTTTCTAGACAATTTTCTAGACAATCTTCTAGACAGTCTTCTAGACAATCTTCTAGACAAAATTTACCTTTCTATCAAAATCATCCAATGAACTTTCCATTAAATTCGTCGATTCACCGATTTGATCATGGATTTTTAGATATCGATGAAACTAGATAATCGATGAAAAATTTAGATGTGAATTTGATCCCGATTTCTCGTTGATCCAATGTTGCAACACCTGTGGCCTCGAGAGTGCCGATCAGCGATACTCGAAATTCTTTGACAAAGTAAAAAAGGACTTTCTTTCAGAACAAAGAATTAAAACTTAGCTTTAAGCTTAAGCTCAAACTTTAAGCTCAAATTTTCAGCAACAAAACTCCCAGCATTGCTACGATCGACACAGCGTCGACTTCTGTATGCGCTTCTTGAACAAGGTTAGTGAAAAAGAGAGTCAAAATGAGAATGAGATTGATAGTAAGCTTTAAAACGGGTACTTGATATTTGTGACTTTTCTACGGGCACTTCAAAATAAGATAATAAAGTAAAAATAAGGTAAAAAGAAGGGTAAAAATCGGGTAAAAATAGGGTAAAAAGATTAAGAAAGGGATCTTTGTTGGTGTTGGTGACAATGTTGCTTCTTCAACTTTGCCACCTTTGTGGTCACCTGGTGGAAAAACTGCTGGAAAAGGGAGAAACATTCAGTGGACGGAAAACGGCACAAATTTTACCTGAATCCTGGCTACATTCATCTATTTCAAAAGAGTGACCGAGTGACCAAAAAAGGACACTTTTTGAAAACCTCGTTCGTTGAAAATGATCTCAACATCGGTGCCCGTTCCATACTTCTCGAAAAGTGCCCTCAAATCGGGATCCCGATAACGGAAAGGGATATTCGAGACGTGAAGTCGTTTCGGTGACTGATTTGAAAAAAACGGGAAAAAAAGCTAACCTAGCCGGCGGAATTGAACCCTCGACCTCCAGAATAAAACACAAGGCTCTTCGCCAAGCAGCCATGGCTGTTGGTGCTAATTTAAACCAATTTTTTCTAGGCCGATGTCTGGGGAACCTCGTCATGGAATTGTGATGGAGCCTTCGCCACATTGGCCTTTCGAATCTGTCGCCGAACATGCGGCTTTTGCAAACCCGATCTATACAGCACAGTTGGCGGGAAATTCCAAGTGACGCCGTGTGGACGATCTCCAAAGCTTATCGCTAGTGAAACAATCTTCTAAACAAAATTTAATCTTGAATCAAAATCCATCGAACTTTTCAAATCCAAAATCCAATCATCCAATGAATTTTCCATTAAATCCGTCGATTCTCCGATCATCTCATTATGGAAATGTTTCTCCAAATCTCATTTCGTCATCCAGATTTTTAGCGTCATCTAAATCCAAACCTTTCAAGTTTTTTTGGAGTGAATTTCCTGTCTGATTTCTAAATTCAAACATTGTGATGCCAGTACTTGCCATTTTTTATTTATCTTTTGATCGTTCTTCTGAAATTGATTCTTTTTTTTTCAAAATCGTACAATTCAGTGAATCGAAATGAAGCTTTTCTCTTTCGCTAATAAATTTTTGCGCCACGGGATATAGAAAGAACTTGCTCGATGTACTCGTGAAGACTACTTGGACAAAAATAGACCGTGCACCGCTGGAAATCTTCATCAAAATCACCTCAATCTTTCGATTAAAGCTGACTAGCAGGAGAGCAGAACTGCTTGAGAAACTTCCAGAGAGAAATTTAGAGAGAAAGAGAAATTTACTGAGCTTAAAACCCGAGTCATTAGAAATGAATAGCTTTAATCAATTCCCCAATCCCGAAAACCCTCGGGTACAAACTTACAGCCAAATAGCTTACCTTTTTGCAACATCTACAAAGCAGCTACAAAGCAAAAGAAGAATCCCTACGTACAGGGTGCGTGAAACTTCTTGACCGCCTCTATAAGCTTTGGAATTTTTTAAAACTTGTTCACGAAGATAAAATTCACTGTAAAACAATGAAAATAATCCACAAAAACAAAAAAAAGAAGTGAATAAAACTGTGACCTTCTTTTGCTCGATGTACTCGTGAAGACTACTTGGACAAAAATAGACCGTGCACCGCGGGCAATCTTCTTCAGAACCGCCTTTAATGCATTAAGAAAAGAGTTCTTTTTTCTTGAAGGAACCAGTTTCCATTTTCGCCGGTAATTTTCATCATATTTCATTTTTCTTTTATGCAGTATACAACTTCTTTTATTGTTGTTTCCTTGTCCAAATTTTCAACAAGGCAAAAAGAAGTAAAAGAGACCAAGGCAAAAGAGGCAAAGAACTATTGATAGCCCTGGGTCTCTTCACTGGGCAAAAACGGCAAAAAAAACGGCCAAACCCAATCTAAAATCTCTTTTTTCTTCTTTTCTTTCTTGTTCTTTTCCCTCGAACAGCTTTTGCATCATTTTCTATACTTTCTCCAGCTATTTCCCCGTCTTTCTCCATCTTTTCACAACCATTTTGTTTCACCGAAAATCCCTGCCCTGAAAAAAGCTTCCTATTACGTCATTATTTCACAGTTTCATAATTTTTGACCATTTTAATCAATAAAACTTTCAGCTCAATGTTTTTATTCTTTTCAGCACAACTTTTGTCAACTGCTGCTTTTCTTTTTTTGTTTCTTTAGCTTTAATTGCCAAAAAGTATTGAAAAACATGATTGCTTTGAGATAGACTCTTGTGAATCTTGTGAATGTTTGTTGATTCTTGTGTTTTGAGTGCAGAATGTTTGACATTCTGACGCTCTTCAGCGAAAAACTGTCTGACTTGGTTTGATGACGGGGGAATAGAAAAACTAAACAAAAAAGATGATAGAAAAACAGAAAAACAGAAGAACAGTAAAACAAAACAAAAAACAAAACAAAATAAAAGAACATCAGAAAATTATCCAAAATAGCACTAGACTAGCAAAATAGCACTAGACATTCACGCTTTAGCCAATCTTGGACCAACTTTGCCTTTGTGCTGGTGCTGAATCCTCTGGGAAACACTAATGCTTGTTCCCAAATTGAGAAATGCTCCAAGGCTTTAAAACATCCTCTAAAACCTCTTTTTTGGAAGGATCTTTGTTGATTTTGATTCCCACATCGACAAAAACAAGTGGCGCCTTTCCATCCGAAGTGGTCGTAGACATCCGACTAGCAAAAGTTGCATGTAAGCTTTGAAAGAAATCTCAAAATTTTATGACCAGATCTCTTCCCATATGGTAGTATTTGGCAAAACAAAGCAAAACAGATCATCAGTGTAAAATTTCATTTCAAATATTACACTTATACTTAGATCTCACTTTACCTCAAGTCCGCAAGTCCTCAGCTACCTCAAGTCAACAGTCTTGTAAGTAAGTTCATAATTGTAGAATGGTAGAAACTTTGTCCAGAAAAATTCTGCGACTTTGCTTTGACCATTCTGCGACTTTGCTTTGACCATTCTGCGACTTTGCTTTGACCATTCCGAGACTTTGCTTTGACCAACCTTGCCAACTTTGCCCATTCTCTATATTGCTAAAGTTTTACAAGATTTTAAAGTAAGCTAAACGATTAAACTTGTAGAAATCGTGACTTTTTTGCTTCCAAAATCTTTGCCTTTCTCTTTGTTCCCCTATTTTTGTTTCAATAGTTCACAGTCTAGACAAATTGAAAGTGCAAATCGGTTTTTTTTGCAGAGATTATGTAAACAAAATTGACCATTTGCCTTTTCGGGTGACTTTCAAAAGTTTCAAAGAAAAGGGTATTTGGAAACAATAACTTTGACAGTTTCTAGAGTTTAAAAACAAGTTCTGGCATGACTCTGTTTCCTGGATAGGTTAATCGCTTGATAAATGGCTTGATAAAATTATTATTAAACTTCTCTAATCTTACTTTTCTCTTAGCTTTCATACTTTTTTTGCCTCTTGTTTCCTCAATCCCTTCCAGATCAGTGGATTGGTCAAAAGTTTCGATTCTCAACAATTTACCCGGCTTTTTTTTCACTCTCTCTCGAAAATATGTACTCAAAAAAATGAAAAGAGACCAAAGAAAGTTGGGATTTAAAGAAAAACAGACAAAAGACAAAAGAAAGAGAAAGAGAGATAAGAGAAAAGAGGTGAGATCGAGTTGTTGTAATCCAGAGCAGTCCTTTCGGATTTTTGCTGAAAACTTTTCGATCGTTCTCGATTTTTCTTGCAACTTTGATTGGTATTGGAAGCTTTTTTTAGAGGTTTTCTTGGTTCTTGATAAAATCTTGATAGATTCCTTGAAAAGTTGTTCCATTAAATCTTTATTTCTCTTCCTGAATTCACCAAATTCGAGCACCGTTGAGCCAAGTTCAAGCTTGGTCTTAGTTTGAATAGAAAAACCATTCGTATTCCATTCTTATTCCATCATTCCATTCTTATTTCATCATTCCATTCTTATTCCATCATTTGCTTTGCTTCCATTTTGCTGAATTAGCAAAATTATTTGAGAATTAACAAGATTGTTTGAGCCAGATTGTTTGAGAAAATACTTCTTGCATCTGTCATTAGCTATTTGCTGGCTTTGAACTAGACATGGGCATTATAAACTACAAAAATGACGAACTGCCACGCTAAAAACGCTTCTAACTTTCTTTAAAGTTGGCCGGATTGACATGATTTATAATTCAAAAAATCGAGAATCCCAAGAGCTTTCGAATGAACTAAAGTACAGCGAAAAATATCAATGCTAAAGAAAGTTACAGCACGATTACAGTACCATTAAAGTTATCATTGTAACTTTCTTTAGCATTGATATTTTTCGCTGTACTTTAGTTCATTCGAAAGCTTCTGAGATTCTCTATTTTGGAGTTATAGACCATGTTAATCTGGCAAATTTGAAGAAAGTTAGAAGCGTCTATAGTTTCCGTTTGTAGTTTACGTTTGTAGTCTATAAGGCCTATGTCTACTTTGAAGTAAGCAAACTCAGGTACTATTCTATTGGCTTGTCAAACCAAGAAACCCACTAGCTCATCCCTTGTAAATTTCAAACTGACTAGGGAACTGTTTCAACGTAGCATCGAGTTCAGCTACGAGTCCTGGTGCATCGGATTCTACGCAAAATTCTGAGGAAAACCCAGCAAATCCAGTTTAAAATCAATCCAATGAATCCTTTAACCGTGTAAAAACGCGTTTGAAAATTGGAAGCAGGAAAAATTTTCGGAGCTCGATGATGTAAGCCTTCTCTCTTCCATTCTCGAACGCTTAAATTAGCAACAAACGGCTTAAACAGTCCATTATCTTGGAATTTCAATGTAAAATGTCAACAAATCACTTGAATTAGCCACAAAACACGTAATCGAGCAACAAATCACTGGATTTGAGCGAAAAAACGCTTGAATTAGCAACAAACGGCCTAAACAGGCCATTATCTTGGCATTTCAATGTAAAATGTCAACAAATCACTTGAATTAGCCACAAAACACGTAAATTAGCAACTAATCACTCGATTTCAACAAAAAACACTGCAACAGTTGAGGTTTCGATTGCTTAGTGCATCCCCTTGACGGAGACGCACTAAGCAATCGCTATGGCCGACTGGCCTAGCGGCCTAGCGGCTAGTGTGCTCGACTTCCGAACTTTTCCTCGCTATTTCTTATCCTCTCCCAATCAAGATTTTTGCTTTTTTTTGCAAACAAGTTTAGAATACTTTTGAGCAATTTAAGGGGTTTTTATGAACAATTTAATAATACAAAACTTTGAAAATAGTCAAAATCCTAGACGCAATAACAATTACAAAAATAGTTCAATTTGACGCCATGAGCATGAAATCTTTCAAAAAAACGTAAAACAAAATTTTTCGGTCACAATAGGTGCTGTTAATCATTGAGGCTCCTTGGCATTGAGATTGAAGCAACGATTGGAGGATAGGTACTTTAAAGATGAGGTGAATATAATGGATCAATAGATTTTTGGCTGGGTTTTGCAAATGTGTGGAATTTATAATTGCCATAGGGTTATAATTGTCTTATTATTGCGTCCAGATTTAATTGACGATTTTCAAATTGCGATTTAATTGATAAATTGTTCATAAAAAACCCTTAAATTGCTAAAAAATATTCTAATCTGGTTTGGAACAAAAAGCAAAAATCTTGGTTGGGAGAGGATCCGAAACAGGAGGGATCCGAAACAGGAGGGGATCAAGGAAAAGGATCCGGAGGGGATCAAGGAAAAGGATCCGGAGGGGATCGAGGAAAAGGATCCGGAGGGGATCGAGGAAAAGGATCCGGAAAGGATCCGGAGAGGATCGAGGAAAAGTTCTAAAGTCGGGCACACTATCCGCTAGGCCTGGTGATTAGAGTGTGTTCCTCTCAAGAAATAGTGCAAAATAGCAAACGGGTGCATTGAAAATAAACTGAATAGCTTACAAATTGTAGAAGATATTTAAGATATTCAGTTGATTTCAACCCAACCCGTTTCCTATTTCACAATATTTCTTGAGGAGAACACACTCAACTAGTGAATATCGAGGATCGACAAGGGAAGGCTTATATCACCAAGCTTCAAAAATCTTTCGCGCTCTCACTTTTCAAGCCTGTATTTACACGAGTTAAAGGACCCATTGGGTTGATTTTAGAACTGGGGTTTGCTCAGAATTTTGAGTAAAATCCGATCTAGGTCTCGTAGCTTCACTCAATGCTAAGTTGAAACAGTTTTCTAGTGAGCAAGCTGGAATTTCTTTTCTATTTCTTCGTTAACCATAAGGTTTCCACCTATTTTGTACATTTTTGGCTTTTTACTTCAATATTTTCGATGAATGACGCAATTTCAGTCAGGGTAAATCATGGCTGCTGCCGCTAAAGTCCAAGTGCACCGAAAAGAGATCGACTTGAGCCCATTGAAGGCCGCCAACGTCCCAATCATTTTCATCGTTGGTAAGTACAAATACTATTTTCCATACTAGCTACTATTTTCCATAATATGATCAAGCTTTTAAAAGGTTGTGATTCTAGGTGGACCCGGTTCCGGAAAGGGAACTCAATGCGACAAGATTGTCGCAAATACGGCCTCTCCCACTTGTCATCGGGAGATCTTTTGAGGTAAAGAAGAATCATTTTCACCAAGCTAAACTCTTTGATAACTTTCCATGTCAAACAATTTTCTATTTGCAGAGATGAGGTCAAGTCCGGCTCGCCCCGTGGTTCCGAACTCACCGCCATCATGGAGGCCGGACAGCTAGTCCCATTGGTGAGTCTAAGACAGCGATTTAATTCTGGAATTGTAAAATTGACGCTTTCTTTGATAACGAATTGATAAGATCAATATCTCTTCTCTTTTTGATCAACATTTCATGCATAATTTCTTTTCAGGAAGTCGTCTTGGACTTGGTTAAAGAAGCTATGTTGAAGAAGGTAGCTCAAGGAACAAAAGGCTTCTTGATTGACGGATATCCACGAGAAGTTGCTCAAGGAATTCAATTCGAGGGAGAGGTTAGTAAAGTTGTGATGAGTAAAGAAACTGCCAAGAAAAGGAACCAAAAGGGCAAAGCTAGGGCCAAAGCTAGGGCCAAAGCTAAGATCAAAGCTAAGATCAAAGCTAAGATCAAATTTCGGAGTGTTTCCCCAGAGTTACTGATAACAATTGTTAATGATTTCAGATCCCAGCCAGATAAGAGCTTCAATCAAAGCTAAAAGCTATCATTTTAGATCCAAGAAGCCCAACTTGTCGTCTTCTTTGACGTGTGTGAGGACACTTTGGTGAAGAGGTTGCTTGGACGCGCCATCACCAGGTAAACGACTAGATTTTGTAGTTTTGAGTACAAGATAAACAGTTTTTAGAAAATCTCTATCTAGAAAAATCTTAAAACTCTATTTAAAGAACACTTTTTAGTGGCCGAGCTGACGATAACATTGACACGATCAAGTTGAGACTTCACACCTTCATCAACTCGACCGCCCCTGTTGTCGACCACTACGAGAAGCAAGGAAAACTTGTCAGAGTGAGTGATATGAATAATTAGATTGAATTCGTCAGTCATTTGGGTCTTTTGCAAAGCTTTTGGTAATAGGCCCAATCTAAAGGTGAAATTGAAGCTCTAAACTAAAGCCATCGGCTTTCGGTTGGCTTGATTTGCTTTGAGTTTAGCTTTTTGTCAACCCTGGCTATCTTACTAGTCTTACGAGTCTTACGAGTCTTACGAGGCTATCATGACTATCTCCTGCATGTCTAGAGCTCTGACTAGGTACAACATCACGACATAAACTACCAAGAAAAGGAACCAAAGGAGCAAAGCTAGGGCCAAAGCTAGGATCAAAGCTAAGATCAAAGCTAAGACCAAATTTCGGAGTGTTTCCCCAGAATTACTGATAACAATTGTTAATGATTTCAGATCCCAGCTGAGGGCTCGGTCGATGACATCTTTGCCGAGGTGTGCAAAGCCCTTGACAAGTGCGTGAAACACTGAAATCTTTAGACAATTTATTGTTCAATTTATGCTGTCTTTTATTTTCTGGTTTTGCAACAATTGTGATGCTCACTAGTCAACAAATTCAGTGTCGGTCAACTCTCATGAACAAGGTTTCATTGCTGTGCAATAATAAAGAATTTTATCAGCTTTGAAACTTGACAAAATGGGCAATAGAACAGTGAATAATAGTGACAATTTAAAGACTGAAGTAAGGCATGAGTGGCATTGAGCTGGCCTTGGCATTGAGCTGGTCTTGGCATTGAGCTGGTCTTGGCATTGAGCTGGTCTTGGCATTGAGCTGGTCTTGGCATTGAGCTGGTCTTGGCATGGCCGGCCGGGGCGTGGCATTGAGCTGGTCTTGGCATTGAGCTGGTCTTGGCATTGAGCTGGTCTTGGCATTGAGCTGGTCTTGGCATTGAGCTGGCCTTGGCATTGAGCTGGCCTTGGCATTGAGCCGGTCTTGGCATTGAGCTGGCCTTGGTTCTGTTGTCAGTGGATTGGTATTAAGTTGGTAATGAAGTTTGATTCCTATTGACGTTAATTTGGGTCGACATTTGTCTTAAGTCAGTTACTAGTTTTCAGTGACAGTGACAAACAGTTGATGTTGATGGGAGTCAATATTCTCTTGTGGCTTTATATGGAAAGCGATGTGCCAGATGGAATGCGATTGTGCGCGCACATAAAGAACACTAGCCACTTTTTGAAAAAAGCCTTGAAAAAAGAAGAACTCCAAAGCGAGGATCGAACTTGTGAGGTCTCGCTCTAGAAAAGACCGATATACCTCTTGGCCATAACTGCACCAAATTGGCCCTGCAAGGAGGCCGCTAAGAGCCAAATGATCACATTTTCCTAACAAAACTTTAGACACTTATAACTCCTGGCAGATTGTCATTTAGTAAAAACGGAATATATATTTGGAATCAGCATAAAATTCTGCGTCGAATGATATAGATCGCATAGCATTTAGCCGGCTCTGACCTTCGTTTCTTAGTTTAACCAATTCTCTTTCAACTAAAACACACAAAATCTACCAAATATGAACCAAATTATTGTCTTTCTTTGAATTAAAAACGACACTGAGAAGCCAGAGTCAAAGTCAAGTCAAGGATCGCATAGCATTTGGCCGGTTCAGGCTGAACTTCCTTGAATGAGACTGTCAAGTATCGTTTAACTACAAAACAAATTTGATCTAATATTCTATTTAATCATTATAATTCTTTTGAACATTTAAAATAACCAACAGAGTAACTTCTCTTGCATTTCTCTGATATCAATAGATCCCTTTCGTGAAGGTGTCGTGGAATCGCTAATGGAGTCTTTCCCCCTCCAAAATGGAGGTAATCCACGCATCCGGTCTTCCATTCTGAAGCTCAAATATTGATTCAAAGCCGGTTACCTCTGATCTTATATCAAGAATATGTTCTATAAGAACACGTTTTGAAATTCATCTACATTCTTATGGCCATTCGAGAAACGCTCAAGCAAGTGAAGGCAGCTTCGAAACTCCGCAAGTTAACTGGAGGGATTTTGGTAAATTTAGAGTCTTTGTATTATAATAATGAATATAATAGTATAATAATCCAAGAATTTATTGATTTATTGATTTAAGCTAGCCAGAAAATGGCTTTTACATGAAAAGCAGCGGCACGATCATCAAGCTGATGAGTTGAACACGAAGAGGGTTTTCGATATCAATTTGAGAGAGCCACCCGAGAAAGGGAAAAGATCATGGATTAGGTTGGTCAAAAGAGAATAATCTATAAACTTTCAATAGCAATTTATTGGATATAAATAAATCTATTGAGTCTAGTGTTTTTTGATGAATTGATACGGATTTCTATTAGGTGTGTGAAAAAGTAATCCACGTTTTTTATTTTTATTTTGTTTAAATAAATATATCTAAACAATTTTTAATTTTTTGTTAACGATATATATATCGTTTAAAAGCTTATTTTTTCCTCTTTCGAATGATATATTCATTTTGTTAAAAGGACGACAATAAACTACCTTCATTGTAGTTTGAAAATGGTATACACAAGTATCTTTATTCGGTCAAATTTGCTTTATGAGTTCAAAAATGGGTTGAAATCTGCGGAGGCTGCACGTCGAATTCGGAATGCGTTTGGCGAAGACGCCGTTACTGATGATACCGCTAGGTTTTGGTTCCAACGATTCAAAGGTGGTAATGAAAGCCTAGACGATGTGCCACGTGGCGGTCGCCCTGAGACCTGTTCGGATGACCAAATAAGACGCTGTCTTCTCGAAAACCCTCGTTCAACCTCTTCAGAAATAGGCCTTACATTAAATTATGATGGGTCAACCGTAAGGAAACGCTTGAATGCCATGAATTTTATCAAAAAGTTGGACAAATGGATACCGCATAAACGTTAAAAACGTGGATTACTTTTTCACACACCTAATATTTGAGGAAAAAATCAAATCCTTTTTAGAGATGCTGCTAGATGAAAAAAACTAAAAAAAACTTTGCAAGCTATTCTTTGTCATCGATTCTTTGTCTTAAAGATTCTTTTTCATCAATTCTTTGTCATCAGCGATTCTTTGTCTGATTCAATCTCAAAACCAGTAAAAACATCCCCGTGCATTTGTCTTGAATACTTGAAAAGACTCATTTTGAATTACTTTCTTACATTATCAGTTCAAAAAGGGATGTGCTCTGGGAAATGGACGAGAAAAATTGACCCGAAATTACTAGATGGATGAGATTATCTCTTTTGAATCATTCACCCAATTTTCCTGGATAGACACCGTAAGGTGATCATAACCAAATTCCCGTGCATTACTTAGATATTACTTACTGATTACTTAGATATGAAGACCATGAAGAGTTCTTTACTGTTCATCTCATTGTTTGAAAGCTTTTCAGTGAGATGGATGAGGAAATCCTCACTTAAACACACTCATTCAATCCATCCAATCCCCATATCCCGTAATGAATCAGTACAATCTCAATTCTGACAACGAAACTTTAAAAAAAGTAAACATTTAAATGCATTCAACAATTGTATTCATTATTTGGACATACAGATTTTATATTAATCTTCAAAAACTAAAAATTCTAGGAGAATCGTTTTCTGGTCATTTGACGAAACAAGCACATTTTTCTACTATTGGTCGATGATCATTTTTCTTGGTTGTTTCTATAATTTGGCTACAATTGCTGTGATGACTTTTGAAGTCTTGGTAATGAAGCTATTTTTATACTCATATTTATACTCAATCCTTTGATCATAGCTTGAGAATCACTTCCGGAATTGGATGATTGGGAATTTCGTCTTTGACTCTCTTTACTTCGTTGATCTATTGATTTTGACAAGGAAAGGTAAATTTATTTGATTTGATAATGATATTTGATAATGATTCAGTTAAAATTCTTTAGAATTCATCAAAGATGGGATTCGAGAAAGGAGAATTTTCGCTTTACTCGTGTTTCGCCTCAAATCCCCGCAGTTTTACTTGGACACTCTCTCACTTTTACCAACTGACCTTTTCTTGTTCCATTCGCAGATGTTGAGCATAGTGAGAGTGAATCGATTGCTGAAAGTAAGTGAATACAAGGAAAGCTTAATCTTGAATTTGTTTTGAATCCATTTGAATTGAATCCATTTGAATTGAATCTATTTGAATTGAATCTATTTGAATTGAATCTATTTGAATTCAATCCATTTGAATTCAATCCATTTGAATTCAATCCATTCAAATGAATTCAAAATAAACTCAAGATTAAGAGAAACTCGTTTCAAATCAAACTTTGCCTAACAATGCCTAATTGCTTAACAATCTCATTACCGCAACACACAAAAGGCCTGGCTTTTAACCAAATATGCAACCCATCTAGTAGCTGCCAATCTAGTAGCTACAAGTTACTAGTTGCAAGTCACTAGTTGCAAGTCACTATTAGAAATTGGCCTTTTCCAAAAAGCCTCTAAAAACCTGCTTGTGAACATTCTCCTTTGATTTGATCACTTTTCCTTTTGAATTTGAAAGTTTCGTTCAAATCACTTGACTGGTTTTTAGAGATTTTCTATCCAAATTACTTTCTAGCTTTTGGAAAAAGCTCCATGTAAAAAAATTTTATGTTGAATCTGGAAAAGCCTTTTGCAAAACTAAAAGTTACCAAAAGCGTGGTTCAGGACCTGGCTTTTTCCTGGATCACAAGACTTTGGACTAGTTTCTGGACAAGTCTAGAAAGTAGGCCTGGAAGTCTGGCTTGCTAGGTCTTGTCTAGCCTAGCTTGCTTCAAACCCAAGTGGAATCTATTTCAGTAATCTTGAATTGAACTCAAGGTCAGCTTCAGGTTTATCGCGTACTCGAGTTCTACACTCTAACCGAGATTCGAACGAATCTCCCAAATCTCTTTCATTTATTCAAACTCGTTTTCTTATGTCTTGTGATTTTCCATTGGAATGCGAGTCTCTACTACTTCTTGAGTACAATTTTTGGCTTGGAAAGTAGGTTCAAAGTATTATTGATGATTAGCTTAGACAAGTCTAAGCTAATCATCAAGCTAAACAATGATTTAGCTGGCCATATTGAATCCTGGATTTTCTCATACGACAAAGTACCGGATCCAATCTTTGTCACTTGTGAAAAGTTTGAAAAAAAAACATTTCCGCGATATCAAAATTTTAGCGATTACCGTTGTCCACCAAATGAACATCACCCATTGAGTGATTATGAAGAGTGGACGAATTTCTCGATGCAATGTGAAAGAACGATGGAGATTTGGAGTAATAGGTAGCCTTAAAAACTTATTTGATTTAAATAGAGCTTTCAGAAGTTTTCCGATGAAGTTTAGCAACTTCTCGAAGCAGTACAGCTTGAGTTTTTACTGGTCAGCGTTAACATTGGTTACACTCGGTGAACAGGTGAAGAAATTCTTTGCAGGAACATCTTTCAATCGTAAAATTCACAATGGGAACAATTTAAGCTGATTCTTTTGAAATCTGGCTGAAATTTGAGAGTTGCCATCATTTTGTAACTTTTCCTGAATCAAGCTCTAGAAAAGTGCCCGGCTTTCTAGAGCCAACGAAATTAACAGATACAAATTTCTCAGAGCATTCAACTGCTGCTTTACTTACATATTAGATTACTTGGTTGTTTACTTACTTGTTTGTTTACTTACTTACTTGTTTGTTCGTTTACTGTTCACTTGTTTACTATTGGGTTGTCCAGTTATGAATGCGCGTTTTTACTATTTGGTAAATTTCTGAACATATCGAACAGATGTATATGAGTGTTATAAATCATTCGAAAGCTGAAGATCTCCTCTACATTTTGGAATAAAAAAGTTTTTGAATTCATTCAACTTTTTTGGGGAAATTGACTGCACAAAGGGAGAGGTCGTTTTCAAAAAAAACCCATTCCAGCCTAGCTATTCCTCAAGTTTTATGGTGTAAAATAACCGCCCAGAAAAGAAAAGAAAAGCAAAGATGCTCTGAAATTGTTATATTTTTAAAAAAGTTGTTTTGATATATCTATTGACCAAACATCAAACGGTTAACTCAATTTGAGCGGAGCCAAAACTTGATCCAAAGGCATCCTTCCATTTTTTGGCCACCTCTTCTTCTGTGCAGTCAATTTGCCCAAAAGCTGGGCAAATTCAAGAACCTTTTATATCAAAATGTAGAGGGGATCTTCAGCTTTCGAATAATACTCAGATATATCTTTTTCTTGATTTCGGTATCTTGAGAAATTTATAAAGTAGTAAAAAACGCGCATTCATAACTGGACAACCCAATAGTAAAGTAGATCAAAGTTACGTTCAACACCAGTTCCTCACTTCTTATTCTTGCTATACTCTTGAATTAAAGCTTTCTACGTTTAGCCATCTCCTGAGCACTCTTTCCAAAACACTTTCGAGATTCTGGACACCTTTCTGGGGCTTGTAATCTTTGCTGTGATTCTTGGAGACATTGGTAACATGGTGCAGGTAAAATTTTCTTTTTTAAAATTTGAGTTTCTAAATCTTCCCAAGAATCCACTGCATTTTCAATTTTAGACAATGAACTTAAAGAAAAGCGAGTTCGAGGAAGTGCTTGATGGCACACGATCCTACATGCATCGACAGTGAGTACAATAAGTATACGATCTTATTCTTGCAATTCTAGCAAAGTGCATCCAGCTCTGCAAAACAAAATCGTTCGCTATCTGCAATATTGCTGGAGTGAAGGGCAAATGAGCGTCGATGAACAGGTCAGCTAAACTGATAAATCAAATTTGCTATTTTTGTCTCAACAATGCACTGGAATCAAACGGCGCTAGCTACTTTAAAGTTATTTGACAGAAAGCAAAGATTTCAGTCTTGATATGATGGACCATCAAGACTGGTAAGGTATAACAGAAAAGTTGTAGAAAATCAAAAATGAAGCTTATATCCAAATTTCCAAAAAGATACACTTAGTAGTTTCGCTTAAAATGCAAGTTTTGTGAAAATTCGTAAATTTGGCATTTCTGGAAAACCAGTTTTTGAATCGTTCTGAAAATTTGGCTATAAGCCTAATTTTTGATTCTCTACAACTTTTCCATTGACGCCAAAATGGGTTTCTTTTGAAGAAAGTGCTCAAACTGTCACATATGACAATAGCCCGCAGTTTTCAAGTCACCAACCCAACCTCTTTTTGGAAATTTGGATATAAGCTTAATTTTTGATTCTCTACAACTTTTCCATTGACACCAAAATGGATTTCTTTTGAAGAAAGTGCTCAAACTATCAAATATGACAATAGCCGGCAGTTTACAAGTCACCAATCCAATAGAACCAAGCGATCCAATCTAGTAATTGGTTCATTCAAAATTAAAATCTAAGCCTCTTGAGTGCATTTCCCGATTTTCTGATGGATTCTATCTAGATATTCTATATCTAAATATGAATTCGAATTTAGATATTGGATAAGCCTTCATTGTGGTTATGCAATAAGGTATGGGATTTTAGCGAACAAATTTTCTTTTGGTGTTTCAATTTTGTTTAGCCTGAAGTTTTCAATTCACCAAACCAATAGTTTCTAAAAATCAAAACAGCTAGCAAAAAATGTTAAAATTGAAAGAGTTATTTGCCAAAGATTGTAAAGAGAAAATGTAAAGAGAAAAAAAGAGAAAAAAAGATGAAAAGAGTTATTCCTCCAAGATTGTAAGCCGAGGGGTAAATCTAGCGAATTAAGCTAAATCTAGCAATTGGTGAACCCTGTTCTTATCTCAGAGATTGTCTGTTCAAGGAAATCGCCGATTTCCTTCCAAATCGCCTCTACGGTCACATGTCTGTTCACATTCATATCAAGGCTAATCTTGTGAAAGAGATGGCCAATCGAAGCCAAGTCTGACCCTAAGTCAGACCAGTATCCCTGCTTTCAGGCTTGGCCTTAGCTTGTTTTGGTTATTTTATAAGAGCAGTCTCAATCCTCTTGATCATAATATACAACAAAAGATTGCCTGTTCAAGGAAATCGCCGATTTCCTTCCAAATCGCCTCTACGGTCACATGTCTGTTCACATTCATATGGAAACATTGCGGTTGGATTCTGATGGTTAAATTTTCAAGTCAAGTCAAGTGATTGTTTTAGGAGAGTTCCCCTATTTGCTGACTGTGACCCAACTCTGCTTTATGAATTCATTTTGAGACTCGAGTTACAAGTAGGTTAACAGTGAAAATGAAAAACTGATGAATTTCAGGTTTACAGTCCCGGTGACTACATTTGTAGAAAAGGAGAAGTTGGAAAAGTCATTTTTTTCTAAATGAACTCTTTTTCACTTGTGGTTTAGGAGATGTACATCGTAAAATCGGGCTTTGTTGAAGTGGTGAACGAAGACGGGACAAAGGTTTGGATAAACTGGGCGTACTACAAAATGAAAACACACTTTCTGATGCACTTTTATCAATGATTCTTCGTCCAGCTATCAATTATTAAAAAATGAAATTAGCTTTTTAGACCAGTTGAGTATTCCAGCTATTTTAGACCTAACAAAATGTAGAATTTGTTTTCAAAAATACTGCTAAATTTAAGCAGAAATTGGTCCTAAGAATTTGGACATAGTGAGGCCCAAATTCTTGGAAAAACGGAAAAGTTCAGTCGCTCAACGCTCCTTCCTCCTCCAAATTGGTAGAGGAAGGAGCGTTGTTCCAATTGATTGACTTGGTTCCAATTGATAGGCTTGGTTCCAATTGATAGACTTAATAAAATAAATAGCTCCAATCGATTCTCCGACCCCAAAAACCCGCGGGTACAAATTTACAGCTGAATATCTTCTTTTTGTGTCATCTACAAAGCAAAAGAAATCCCGATGTAAATGACTGGCGAGGCGTTCTTTGTGCGGCTGGGTAATCGCTTGCGAGTTGGAAAACCCATCCGGTATATAGTGCTTCCTTTTCGAATCCGTAAGGAGGTAGAAGCGGTGAGCGACTGAACTGCCGCTTTCTGACGCTTTTGAACCGATTTGAACCGAATTGAGCTGTTTTGAACCGAATTGAGCTCTTTTGAACCGAATTGAGCTCTTTTGAACCGTTTTGAACCGATTTGAACCGAATTGAGCTCTTTTGAACCGTTTTGAACCGTTTTGAACCTCTTTGAACCGTTTTGAACCGCTTTGAACCGTTTTGAACCGCTTTGAACTGCTTTGAACCGTTTTGAACCGATTTGAGCCCTTTTGAACAGCTTTGAACCGCTTTGAACAGCTTTGAACCGTTTTGAACAGCCTTGAACCGATTTGAACCGATTTGAACCGAATTGAACCGATTTGAACCGTTTTGAACCGTTTTGAGCTGTTTTGAACCGTTTTTGCCGCTTTGGTCGCCACTATGTTCAGTTTTTTTAGGACAAGGTGTGCCTTAAATCTAGCTATATTTTTGCCACAAATTCTACATCCTTCTAACCAAAACTAGCTGAATACTCAAGGCTGAAAGCGACCTGAAAAGCTGCTTTCAGCTTTCAATACCTGATAAAAATGATTGATGAACTGATTTTCTTTAAAGATTCCTATATAAAACTTCATCAAAAATGATATTCCTGTTGATAAATTGGTTTTAGTGAGAATCGATCTTAATTCGAAACTTTTCCTGGAATTCTTTCCAGGTTTTTGTCCGCCTTGGTGAGGGTACAGTGTTCGGTGAGCTCTCGATTCTCAACATTCCTGGAAACAAGAATGGTGATCGTAGAACGGCAAATGTTCGATCAGCTGGTTACACAAATCTCTATGCTTTAAAAAAAGAAGATCTCTGGGAGGCACTCCGAGATTATCCTGATGCAAAAGTATCGTTATTGGAGAAAGGTAACTTGTTTCGTTATTAGAGAAAGGTAACAATAAAATACAAAATTTGTTAGTTAATAGGATAACAATTTTACAAAGCTCAAAATGATAAAGTAATCGGGATCAAGATAAATTTAGGTAAACAGATTTTGGCAAAAGACAATCTACTGGATGAGTCAAACGTTGAGCAAGATAACTGGGATCCGGATGCTCCAATAGAAGAGAAATTAGCATTGATAAAAGATGAAGTTGAGGCTTTCACAAAGCAATTGAAAGAAGCAGAAGTTATGATTCAGGTAAACTTTAGTGTAACCTATAATGACAAAGCTTTCGAAAGTTAATAATTGAATCCTTTTCGCTAACATTTAGGAGCTACCTAAGCCTCCATTTAGCTTTGATTAACCGTATTCGTAAAAGCTGAAAGAAATTTCTCATAGGTTCACCATTGATTCGAGTAATCTTGAATACCTTTAATAGGCTTAAATGCCTTTAATATGCTTAAACGGGGGTATTAATCGCGGCCGGGTGACAATAAAAATTTTTTTTACGGCAACCACCTGTTTTTTATTTTAATATCGCTGATTTTATTATAAAAAGAATAAAAACCACCCGGCTAGAGTGATTTGATGGGTTTACAAATTTTTGGAGACACTGCAAGGCTTGGAGAAAAACAAGATCGTCACTCATCAGACATCTCAACTAAAAGGTACCTATTTGAGAAAACTAAAACCAGAAGCGACCACAAATGGAAAAAAAGATCTAATTGTGTCAATCAAAGCGCTGAAGACGTCCTACGGTGGAGGAGATCCAGTCACTTCTGGTGAAGATGCGCTGGAAATTGATAAGATAGGAAGCCGATTTAAGGAACTTATCGTCACCCGGCCGCGATTAATACCCCCTTTAAATGCCTTTAATAGGCTTAAATGGAAATTCCTTTGATTGAATCGAAATCGAGATGAAATCTAGATGAAATCAAGTTAGACCGCTTATATTAGACGGTTTAGATTAAAACTAGACTAGCTAGGGCTGGTTTTAAAATGATCCTTATGAAATTTGGTTATAGAAAAGTAAAATTTATTTTGTATACTCAAGTGTAAGAACATAGAGAAAATTTGAGTTACCATTTATTCACGCATTCTTTAACTATAGGCCTAGCTTTTCCTTCCCTTGCGCTACTTTTTTTGGAATTGAATCGAATGGAACATAAAAATAAGTCGATTAGCAAAAGAATACTTTACGTTATCAAATGATCAAATTTAGAAATCGATGATTTCTCAAAAACAACGCGTCGGTGGTCTGGAACGACTATTTGCTGAGGCATTTGAAGAGCTTTTAATCAACAAAAAGAAATTTGGAGAATCATTTGATGCCTCTGCAGAAGATTCAGATGAATAAATAATCAAAAGCAGATAAAAGAGAATCATTGGGTTGTCCAGTTATGAATGCGCGTTTTTACTATTTTGTAAATTTCTGAAGATATCGAACAGATGTATATGAGTGTTATATATCATTCGAAAGCTGAAGATCTCCTCTACATTTTGGAATAAAAAAGTTTTGAATTCATTCAATTTTTTGGGAAATTGACTGCACAAAGGGAGAGGTCGTTTTCGAAAAAAAAACCCATTTCAGCCTAGCTATTCCTCAAGTTTTATGGTGTAAAATAACCGTCCAGAAAAGAAAAGTTGCTCTGAAATTGTTATATTTAAAAAAAATGTTGTATTGATATATCTATTGGCCAAACATCAAACGGTTAACTCAATTTGAGCGGAGCCAAAACTTGATCCAAAGGCACCCTTCCATTTTTTGGCCACCTCTTCTTCTGTGCAAGTCAGAAGCAAAATTCGGGCTTGGCTTCTGATCTGGCCTTGCCTTTAGAATAGACTTCAGAATAGAGAAAAAGAATAGACGCATTTGTATTGGGTTGTCCAGTTATGAATGCGCGTTTTTACTATTTTGTAAATTTCTGAAGATATCGAACAGATGTATATGAGTGTTATATATCATTCGAAAGCTGAAGATCTCCTCTACATTTTGGAATAAAAAAGTTTTTGAATTAATTCAACTTTTTGGGAAATTGACTGCACAATGGGAGAGGTCGTTTTCGAAAAAAAACCCATTCCAGCCTAGCTATTCCTCAAGTTTTATGGTGTAAAATAACCGCCCAGAAAAGAAAAGAAAAGCAAAGATGCTCTGAAATTGTTATATTTTAAAAAAAGTTGTTTTGATATATCTATTGACCAAACATCAAACGGTTAACTCAATTTGAGCGGAGCCAAAACTTGATCCAAAGGCATCCTTCCATTTTTTGGCCACCCCTTCTTCTGTGCAGTCAATTTGCCCAAAAACTGAACAAATTCAAAAACATTTTAGATCAAAATGTAGAGGAGATCTTCAGCTTTCGAATAATACTCATATATATCTTTTTCTTGATTTCGGTATCTTGAGAACTTTATAAAGTAGTAAAAAACGCGCATTCATAACTGGACAACCCAATAGTAAAGTAGATCAAAGTTACGTTCAACACCGGTTCCTCACTTCCTATTCTTGATATACTCTTGAATTAAAGCTTTCTACGTTTAGCCATTCATAACTGGACAACCCAATAAAAGATTTAAAATCTTGCAGTTTTCAGTAAATGCAAACAAAAGCTTTTCTTTTATCAGAATAAAATTTGGAAGGCCTTCCCAAGGTTGCAAGATTTGACTAAGCTTTTCTAAAAATAAAACTCCAACTTTTAAAGATATTGCATTCATCGGTTTCATTACATCAGTTTTTCTTTACATTTCTTTTTGTGGGCGTTCAAGAAAAGACTTTCAAGTCAGAAGAAAAGACATGAATGGATCGGATTTCAGTTTTCACGTGGGTCATCGCCCTCTTGGGGTATCTTTAGAGAAAAAACGATAACGAAGAAGAATCTCTCTATTCCATTTTCAAGCTTTCAGCAGTTGTTTTGAGCCGACAATTTGTTTTCTTCTTCACAGCTGCAATTCCTTGTTGTCCAGGTTTTAACCAAATCTTTTTCCTTTTCCTTTTCGCTATTTAGTGCCTTGGTCTTTCTTTGTGTGTACTCTTCAAAGCTTAATTTTCACGTTATGACTTTTGCTGGCCAGTTCACTTTATGCCTTTTGCCTCTCCTTAGAACAATTCATCTGCTTGACAAACCAAAATTTTGTTTTAAAAGTCTCAGAAAAAGGTCTTACACAAGAATGATATCTCTCGAGGGACAAAAAAGGAGCGAAAAGAATTTCTGAAAAGCCTTAAACTAATGAAACTTACCCAGTTTCTTGTGTGACTTTGAGCGAAAATTGTTTAATTGTTTATTTTAAACAATTTACTTTAAACAAACAACTTTTAAACGTTTAAACTCTTATTGCTTAAACGGGAACAAGATTGTTCTCTTTTTCTCTTTTTCCTTCTAAAATTCTCTGGATCCAGGTCCAGGCCTAGTTTCTGGGCTTGGTTAGTTTTACTGCAGTCACGATTTACAAAAAGTAGCTGAACCTGGTATCTGGCTAGATCTAACTAGAGAAAGCCGCCGACGCAAGTTGAGATTTTGGAATTGGACTTGGACCGTCTTGTGAAGTTTTTCACGGGGAATCCGATGCTGCTTTTAGATTTCCTTAAATGACACGCAAAACGCGAGATATTTAACAAAAACTCGGCATATCTGAGGCGTGAATACATTTCCCCAACAGATGCCTTGGTAACCTAGTCGAGAAGAGCCATGTCCCTATAGCAAGCTCTGCAGCTGGTGGCAGTTGAACGACCTGAATTTTGAAAGGATATCAAGGTTTTTGGTTTACCAGATCGTTTGCGATTACATGTTTACCTAGGAATCACCTAAAAAGAAGTTTTGCCATTGAATCCGAGCAAAAAAAACTGCGAAGCTTGTTATAGAGAAAAACCTCTTCTCCACTAGGCCACCAAGGCTGTTAGGGAAGTGCGCCTCAGATATGCCGAGTTTTTGTTAAATATCTCGTGTTTGCGTGTCATTTAAGGAAATCTAAAAGCCGCATCGGATTCTCCGTGAAAAACTGCACAAGATGATCTAAGTCCCATTCCGAAATCTCAGCTTGAGTCGGCAGCCTTCCCTAGTAAGTGCAGCCGATTTGTCTAGAACACTCCTTTAATATCTTAGACGGGAATTTCACAACCTATCGACTATATCAAAACTAATTTGCTTTGTGTTACGAATTATTGCTGTGATTCTGCCATGAAATTCACTAGAATGGCTGGCTAAACCTGTGCGCTTAATAACAAAACCAATCGCCAATAAATAACAGAACCAATCGCTAATCAATAACAAAACCAAATTTATCTCAAACAAAAGAAAACAACTTCCACAAGATCAAATAAGAGAAAATTCTGATCAAAATGGGGAAGAAGGCGTCCTTTTATAGTGTGTGAAACATTGTTTAGGGTACGGTATCTTTGGTGTCTTATTAGACTGCGGCAGCTTTGGACTCAGCAGCTTTGGACATTTATTTTTGGTGACTCGTCGTCACAGACTAGAATACTCATCAAGCTTTCAGCCTTTTTGTTCCTAACTTTTCTTTACAGTCAATACATAAATCAACCCCCAGTGGTCATTTATTTAAGGGTAGTTCATTGAAAATTCTTACAATTTCCTCGTTGGGTTTTCTCCGTTCTTGTCGCTCCTATTTAGAGTCTTAGTCCTACATAAAAAATGAAAAACCTCGAGAATTTCCTATTTCTGGGCACAGGAAATCTCGCAAGGATACAAGATGCAAATATTAATTCTGTTCCGAACTAAGATATCCATGGCTTAGCTAAGATATGCATGGCTTTAACCCGAGCTAGCAGTCCGGTAGGATCATTGATTTAAGTTTAAAAGTGTTATAAAAATGGAATTACAACAAAGTTTAAGTAATCTAACACATTTGTCGACTTAATCTGCCTTCATACAGTCCGTTTCATAAGGCGTAACACATATTACAGTGAGCCTGTAAATAGAGTGAGCTTTTTTTGAAGAAGCTCATACTTTTAAGCATTTTATTTGAAATGACTATCTTTGAATGGCTTTTATAATATTATAATTGAAGTCAAATTGAAGTTTGAATTAGTTCTACTCCTCAAGAAATGGGTTTTTTTGAAAAATGCGAACTTGTTTAAGGATTTCTTATGAGTTTTACTGCAAAATGTTCAAAAAATCATTCTAACTTGACAACTATAGGTTTCCAATTCTAAACTCAATTTTATACAGTTCAATTACTTCTTTATTGATTTTCACTTAATTCTAAATGCTTCGAACATTCCCAAAAACAACGCTGATCATCTGTTCTTCGTTTTTCATCATTTTTTTTTCGTTTTCCCATTTATTAGCTCAGTTGGCCGCCTTTTTGCATAATTTTTAGCGTGAGAATTTGTTGTTGCTCTTATTTTTTTCCATGGCACTTCAAACATTTCTAGATTCAGAAGAAAAACATTTCTATTGAAGATTTTGCTACGATTCACTGAGAAAAATCGATTCAATCTGGATTCCAGCATACAATTTGTGAGTTTTTTCAATAATAGAAACAAAAAAAGATGGCTTTGTGTCCTAACTATGAAAAACAAAGTTCAAATTCTTACTCGTTCACGGTTAGCAAAATTTGGTAATTATCGATTACACTGGGCGTTTTTATGCAAATTTTATAAAACGGCATCAAAAAAACTGAGGTACTTAAACGTTTTTTTACTAACAATAAGTTGATTATTAGTTGATTATTTTGCATGGCGGAACGAATAGGAACAGTAGGAACCGTTTGGGAACCGAATAGGAATCGAAAAGGAACTAAATAGGAGCCGAAGAGGAACTGAAGAAGAACCGAATAGGAATCGAATAGGAACCGAATAAAAACCCAATAAGGTTCGAATAAGAAACGAATTGGAACCGAATAGGAACCGAATAGGAACCGAATAGGAACCGAAGCCGAATATGAACCGAAGAGGAGCCGAATAGGAACCCAATAGGAACCCAATAGGATTCGAATAGGAAGCGAATAGGAACCGAACAGAAACCGAATAAGAATCGAAAAGGAACCGAATAGAAACCGAATAGGGTTCGAATGAGAACCCAATGGGTGTCGGATTGTAAACGAATAAGAACCGAATAGGAGCCGAAGAGGAACCGAATAGGAACCGAATAGGAAACGAAAAGGAACCGAATAGGAACCGAAGAGGAAACGAAGAGGAACCGAATAGGAACCCAATAGGAACCCAATAGGATTCGAATAGGAAGCGAATAGGAACCGAATAGAAACCGAATAAGAATCGAAAAGGAACCGAATAGGAACCGAATAGGATTCAAATACGAACCGAATAGGATTCAAATAGGAACCGAATAGGATTCGAATGAGAACCCAATGGGTGTCGGATTGTAAACGAATAAG